TCATGTTCTAGGGGTACCCCACCCTCCCGTCCCTCCACCTCAGGGGCACGCTCAGAAGGGGATCCTGCTGCATCACCCTTGGTCCCTCATCTCTTAGCTCAAGTGTCACCACCTCCAGGGAACTCTCTGGACCCTTGTCTGGGAAGCCTCCCTCAGCTGGGTGACGCTTGGTTCGGCCTGTCTGCTCTGTCCCCACAACCAGCAGAGAACAGCTTCTAACCTGGCATCAGAGCCCAGGTGCGGGAGGGTGCAGCTTCATTCAAGGGTTCCGGGACCCACCAACTGTGCTGGAAACTGGCCCTACCCAACCCTCCTGCCTGTCTCCCTACCGGCTCTTTGTGGCCAGAGGGGCTCCTTGTAGGAGGGGGAGTGGGGGAAGGTCACACTCCTGTGGTCTCAGGAAGGTGTAGGGGCAGTGTGGGGGAGAGATGAGGGAGTGGGGGGAGCAAGAGAGAGAGTGGGGAAGAGTGTATGGGGGGTATGTGGAGCTTGCAGGGGGAGCATGGGGGGTGCAGCTTCCCGTCAAGAACTGAACCAGGGGCTGGAGCAATAGCACAGTGGGTAGGGCGTTTGCCTTGCATGTGGCCAACCCGGGTTCGATTCCCAGCATCCCATATCGTCCCCTGAGCACCGCCAGGGGTAACCCCTGTGCATTGCCGGGCGTGACCCAAAAAGCAAAAAAAAAAAAAAAAAAAGAACTGAACCAGACACTGCTCATAGCCCAGAGTGAAATTTTCGGGAGACTGGAAACTAGAGTGCTTTCCTGCCAGGCCCTGGGCTCACGCTCTGGCACTGCAGAAATAAAGAAGCAAGGTGAGGCTGGTGTGATCGTACAACAGGCAGGGGCTTGCTTTGCATGCGGTGCACGCGGCTGTCCCAGGTTCAATCCACAGATGGTTCCCCAAGCTTCACTGGAAGTTATCCCTGAGCATGGCTGAGTGGGACCTAAAGGTCTCCCCTACCCCCACCCAAAACCCCCCTGCGAATACTCTACCAACTGCAGGGCTAGAAATACTCTATTGAGGGTTTGCAGCCACACTCAGCAGTGCTCTGGGGACCATGAGTGTCAGAATCAAATCCAGGGCTTACACTTGCAAGGCCTGTGCCCATATAGCTGGGCATGTGTCCTGTGCACAGTTTCCGTCCGTGGTGCCCTCTGAGCCCCGCCAGAAGAAAGCCCTGAGTGTGGACGGAAGAACAGTCCCAGGCAGGGGCCAGCTCAGAGGGCCGGAGCGTCTGCTTCACTCTGGAGCCAGAGACCACCCTGGTTCTGGGAGCTGGGAAGAACCCCCACCTGCGCGGGGTGTGTCCCCCAGACAGCAAGCAAACGAGAAAACCAGACCCGGAGCTCAGGCAGAGGGAGGCACCTGCCTTGCATGTGGCCCACCAAGGTCTCCTGGGCCCTGTCAGGAGTGATCCCTAGTGCAGAGCAGGAGGGGGTCCCTGCCACTCCAGCACCGAAGGGGGCGGGATGGGGGTGCAGACCAGCCCTGGACCCATGGTCCAGTGGAGATGCCGGTCGCCCTGGGCCTGTGCCCCAGCAGAGACTGGCTGCCCCAGGCTGGACAGGACACAAGAGGCTTACCATACGATGTCTTGTGGTCACTGTGTGGTGGTACTCCCTGTACACAGCATGGTAGAAGCAGGACCCACCCTGAGGCACCCACAGTCTCGGCGAAGACGGGCAGGCAGCTCTGGACTTGGCCATGGTCACGAGGCCCCTGACCACCTGCACTCACACCCCAAGGACGTCCCGGGGCCCATGGGGTACCTGTGCCAAGCCCCGAGGCTGACGCCTGCCCCCAGGCCAGCCCATGCTGACCAAAGCCTGGGGCACTCAGGCTGCAGCCCCTCACTGCCCTGCCCCTCTTGCCCCGGCCAGCCCCTGGTCCTGAGGTTCACCCCACCAGGTAACAGCCCTGGGGTCTGCCTCCAAATCTGCCGCTCGTGTCTCTGCAGACATGGCCACAGAAGCCCTCCTGGGTCCCAGAATTCCTGCAGGAAGCCCCTTCCCAGGCAGACCCTGTCAGGAGACCTGAGCACTGAGGGCTGCCCAGGACGGGTGGGGAGCCCGCAGCGGGCCCAACCCCAGAACCAGCGTCCTCTCACGCCGTCGGGCAGCAGCCGTGGACAGTAGTGGGCGGTGTGAGAGGGCTGGGGGTGAAGTGGTGTCCTCTGGTCTGAGCTTCTGCAGGGAAGGGCCCCCGCCTGCTCCAGCCCCCCAACACAGCCCTGGGCATCCACGGGTCTCCCACCAACAGTGTCGCAGACCGACTGGGCCTGGCAATGAGCTTCTGGGAAATGATCAAAATCAAGAAGAAATTGTTCAGCCCTGAAGTAGCCAAAGGCTTAAAGATCATTCCTTAGGAAGTGCACCTCAGGAAGGAGGAGCCGTAGAGCCTCCACAGGTGTGAGGAGGGTTTAGACCACCAGCAGGGTGGGGGGGGCACCACCCGGGTCAGGGGGGAGGGGGGAGACCACCCGGGTCAGGGGGGAGACATCTGAGTCACCAGGGTTGGGGGAGGGTGTGAGACCACCGTGGGGTACTGGGGGGTGGGAATGAGACCTCCAGCTAGGGGGGAGGGTATAGACTGTCAGCGGGTGGCGGGGGGGCCATCAGCTGGGCAGGCTTCTCTGTGACAAGCCCAGGTTAACTTCTCTGTGTGCCAGACACCAGAAAATGACATCGGGAGGATTGTGTAAAGGCTCACCCTAAAAGTCACTAGGACTTTGCTCTTGAACCAGTGCTCCCCTGAGCTTCCCACCCTCTGAGAAGTCCATGCTCTGCTTGAACACACATTCCCTTTCGGGAATTGCAGGAAAACACACCCAGCACCCCACCTGTCCCGCTCAACCCCCAAGAAACACACACAGGCAGTGAGTTCGTAGTGGGGTTTACTGGGCAGGGGCAGGGGTCTGGGAGACCGCAGAGGGGAGGAGGGTGAGCAGGACAAGGAGGGAAGCGGGAGCAGGAAGGGGGCAGGTCACTGGGCTCCTGGCTGGGCCGGGCCCCTAGATGATTTCCTGCGCATAGAAGAGGCCACTCAGGGGCTGCCTGGGACGCGCTGTCACCCTGCCAGGACCTATGAGGGGCTCCAGGGCTCCATAGGGCCCAGGTCTGCTGGAAGGAACGTGAGACCCCCCTGTCCCGCACAGAGACCCCCACATCCTGGGGTCAGTCTCACACGGATCTGTCAGTCTCTACACACACACACACACACACCAGGATCTCTCTCCCTCTCTGAGTCACCAAGTGGGGTCCCAGCTCCCTCAGGGTGCACTCCGCCCCTCAGAAGCTCCGCACACTTCCCTGTAGACCGGATAGTGCGAGGACCAGAGCCTGGCGCCCACACCAACAGGAGGACCACCCTGGGGATAGGGGGAGGCCCGAGGATCTGCCTTCTGGGTGTGGGTGGGCTACATGGCTGCAGAGACACCCCCTCCTGACCCAGCTCTCTCCCCTGGCGTGGAGGGGTGCAAGGACAGCCCCTGAGGGTCTGGGAACTCACCGGCCCCATTAACTGCACACAAGTCACTGGGGACAAAAGAAAGAGGTGAGGCGGGTACAGCATGGGCAAGGGTGAGATGGGTCTGTGGCCCCCCATTCTGGAGGGCTGTGAACATGGGGACCCCCAGAGGGCCTGTGACTGGGGACCACAGGAGGGGCCATGAATGGGGACCCCCAGAGGAGAGGCTGCACACGGGGACCCCCAGAGGGCCTGTGAATGGGGACCCCCCAGGAGGGGCAGTGAATGGGGACTCCCAGAGGGGCCGTGAGTGGGGACCCCAGGAGGGGTCGTGAATCCCCATTCAGTGAATCCCACACAGTGATCCCGGAAGGGGGTAAGCAGGCCCCAGGACACTCACTGTCTCTGAGCAGCAGGGACACGTCAGTGCTGGCCAGCCCACTCTGCTCCACATTCTGGTAAAAGCTCTGCAGTGCCTCCTCGGAGGGTTCCAGGACCCGACCTGTGAGGCAGGGCACTGCCGAGTGGGGGTCCCCAGTCTCTTCCGGCCCCAAGGCAGGGCGCCCCATGCCACCCACCAGCCTTACTGTAAAGCTTCAGGACCTTGTTCGTCCCCTTCTGCTCGGTCACCTCCAGGATGGCGAAACTCGTGTAGTCAGTGCTCAGGATCTGCACCTCTTTGCTGCCTGCAGACAAGCACTTAGGCTCCCCATCTGCCCACAGACACACACGTGCACACGCACAGACCACACACACGCCCGTCACAGGACACGTGTGGGCACATGTCCAGTGGCTGGACCACCTCTCCTGTGCCCCTCCATATTGCGACGGGCACTTGAGATGGGCCCAGATGGGATAGTGCCATGAGCACCCTGGCCGGGCGGCCAGGAGCAGCCCCTGAGGCAGGTCCCCCTCCACAGGGCCCCTGGTATGAGGAACCACAGGGGAGGTGGCCACCCGGGTGGCAGAGCCCAGGCCTGGCCATGGGCACCTTACCCGCCTTCCCCTGCAGCTGGAACTGTCGGGGTCCGCTTTGCCTCGCGTGCGTCACCTCCTTCACGCAGTGCTGCAGGCTGCGGGCGGGAGTCTCTAGTCAGGCCCCTCCAGTTCCCCGGCCCCCTGTGCCCAGACCTCGCAGACCCGCTCAGAGTGGGGTCCCGCCCTCACAGCCCGCTGGCTGGCAGCAGAGGCCGCCTGGGACAGGGATAGGGACAACCCCCTCGGGCTCCCACGGCCCCTACTGACTTGTTGTCATAGGCGGACACCAGGCTGAAGTGTGAGCCCAGCAGCTCCATCTTCACCACACCGACCCTCCTGGGCCTCTGGGGTGCCCCATGCTTCGCGGGCTGGACAGCTAAGGCCACCTCATACCAGACTCCTGAGAGCTGGGGGGAGGCCGGCGCTCGTCACTGCCTTCTTGCAGGGGCAGGGGCAGCTGGAAGGGGAGGGGAGCCAGTACCTGCACCAGGTCCAGCTCCTGCAGCTCCGCCGGCAGCAGGCCTGTGGCCAGCAGCACGGCCAGCACCAGGACCCTCATGCTTGTGCGGGCACTACGCACAGCCGGGAGCCTTCTACCCAGATCACCAGGCCAGACTGCTCCTTCTCTGCTCCAATGCATCCACCTGCGCGTGGGTGGCCGTCTCAGCACAGGACATGGGCAGTGGGGCAGAACGAAGAACTGCCCCCGAGCCCTGCGCAGAACCCTGGCCTGGGGAAGTGAATGGGGGCCTGAGCCCTGGTGCTGCCCAGGGTCCCTGGGGCAGCCAGTGAAGTCGCGGGCAGACAGCTCCTGCCAGGGATGAGGCGGGATCCATGGGGGCCAGCATCCTTACCACAGCCTGCCGGGCAGGGACCTCCCTGGACTCGGGGCCCACGCTGGCAGGGCCAGGCTGCAGGGAGGGATCTGATGGTCCGGCCAGTCTCCTAGGCCTTGGAGCCCCCCGCATGGCTGGGCCTGGGCGCTGTTTGTCCCCCTGGGACCCAGCTGGACAGGCAATGTTCCCCCAGTGCCTCTGGACCCGCCCTGAGGCTGGGCTGACCCTTCTGGGAGCCCTAGCCCCCAGATGCCCACAGGCCTCCAGCCCCTGCCCTTTGAGGGCTGCAGATCGGGCTGGGCTCCCTGCAGAGTGGGCCGAGGGGAGGGCCCACAGGCCCAGGCCAGCTCCGCATCAGCAGCCTGGTTCTGACGGGGGGCCTGTACGGTCCCCCCAAGTGCCTCCAAGCCCATGGGGCCGGCCTCGAGACTCAGAGGCAGGTTCGGCCTGGAGTCATGCCCCATGCCCCTCCTTCCTGGCTTGGCACAGCATGGGCACTGCTGCCAGCACCAAGTGGGCATCGGCCTTCACCTGGACAAGGCGCTGTCTGGGCACGTTGGGCACATTCTAAGGCTTCTGGGTCGTCCTGAGGCCACTCGAGCCCGTGGGGGGAGGTAGAGGGGACCAAGGCCCGGTGGGAGGTGCTGCCACAAGATGGGGGGCTCCAGCACCCCTCTTGGGGCCCAGAGCATTCCAGGGGGCACAAGGACCAGGCCAGGTGAAGTGGGGCCTGGCTCTGGACCTGCCTGACTCAGCCAGCACTCCACCTCAGTTTCCCCATCTGTGATAAGGAAGCCACACAGCCTGGGGCAGAGAGCACCAAAGGGAACAAGAGGGACCCCTGCTGGCCCCCACTGGGTGGGGCAGAAGCTGGGAGGCCAGGCCCCCCACACCTCATCAAGGGCCCGTGTGGAGCCCAGGGGCTGGCCTTTGCCGCTGAGCCTGTTTCCTGCCTATGAAGCATGTGAGGGCACAACTATTTAGGGTCCGTCAGGAGGCGTCAGAGAGGCCCAAGGCCAGACTGCACGTTGGAGGGCACCTCGCAGCTGTCCCACCACCCCCACAGCGATCCCAGAGGGCAGGGGTCCATTGAATGCAGCCCCCACAGGTGCCAACCCAGGCTAGAGTCTCCTCCTCCCTCAGTCAGGAGCCCAGCGCCCGCCCTGCCTCAGTTTCCCAAAATGTGGGGCCAACATAGGCCCATGTGCCCTTGCCAAGGGTCTGTTGCTGGCAAGATGTGAGGAGCCTGGAGTCTGCAGATCCATTTATTGCATAGAAGGTGATGGGGCCAGTTCGCCACAAGCTCAGGGGCCTGGGGAGGGCCGTAGGTCTTGAGGGTTCAGGGTGACAAGGCCAGCAGGTCCCTGGTCCGCCTGAGACAGGAAGGGCCTTGTGACTCCTCCTACCCACACTTACACACCCACGCACCAGCAGGAACAGCAGGGACAGCCAGGGACAGAGACAGCCAAGGACAGCCAGGGACAGAGACGGACAGCCGGGGACAGAGACAGCTGGGGAGAGAGACGGACAGCCAGGGACAGAGACAGCCAAGGACAGCCAGGGACAGAGACAGACAGCCGGGGACAGAGATGGACAGCCGGGGACAGAGACAGACAGCCAGGGACAGAGACAGGCGGGGACAGAGGCAGACAGCTGGGGACAGCCAAGGATAGCTGGGGACAGCACTGTGGAAGCCAAACCAGAGGGATCCTGGCTGGAATAGCTCCCAAGAGCCCAAACACCTATCCCAGCCAGGAAAGGCTACTGGCCACTAGGTCACCTGTCACCTAGTTTAATGGAGATCTCCACACTCAGAGTGGTGGCCTTGCGGGGTGGGGTGGGGTAAGTTTTTTGGTGTCGCAGGTGAGGGAGGTGTCAGGTGCTCCTAGGACCCGTCCTGAGGACAGTTACGGAGGGAGTGTCCAACTGGGCCGCTGAACTGGCATCTCAGAGAGTCAGAGGGGCTGGGCTGGGCAGTGACCCGCCCACTGCGTCTCTCTGGAGCTTCCCATTACCTGGGAACCCGGCGCCTGCGGGCAGAACGTCTCGGGTGTGGACACTGCCGTGGCCTGCTGACCCTGACTAGGCGGAGGGCGACCCGGACAGACACAGGAAGATGAAGGACAGGAACCAGAAGGGAGTGGCGGGGCGAGGCAGACGCTGAGCCAGGAGCCCGGGGGCGCACGCGGATTTGGACCTGGCGCTGCCGGGAGGGGTCGCGTTTCCTAGGCTTTAAGGCGCCTGGATCTGGCGGCCGCCGGGACAGAGCCAAGGGCAGCGGGGACAGCGAGGAGTGGGAGGCGAGAGCAGGCGGCGGGCGCGCACAGCCCGTGCCCACCTGGGTGGGGCCGGGGCGGCTCTCCGGAACGGTCTCGGCGGGTGCTGGGGCCTCCGCGGGGCAGGCACCTGCGCAGGAACGGTCTGAGCGACTGGCCCGCGGGACTGCCCATCCGCGTCCAGGGCAGGGGAAGGAGACGCGCCGGGCAGCGGCCGCACGAAGTGGGCGTGCCTGGGCGTGTCTTTGGCCGAGTGGGCGTGTCTAATTGGTGGGTGGTGTGTCTGAGCGGGACTTCGGAGAGTGGGCGTGTCTGGTTCGAGGGTGGGCGTGGCAGTTGGCGGGTGGTGTGTCTGGGCGGGGCTTTGGCGGGTAGGCGTGGCCAGTTGGCGGTGGGCGTGTCTGTTCGATGGTGGGCATGTCTGGGCGGGGCTTAGGCCGGGGCGGGAGGGTTACCTGATTTGGGCAGCATGACCGACATGTCGTCCGGGAGCCCTACGGTCGGGTAGAAGTCCCTGAAGGCTGTCACAGCCTGTGAGCTTGGGTCCTGGCTCCGGCCTGGGGTAGGGTGGGGGCCCCTGTCAGGCAGCGCTCAGGGAGGTGGTTGCGGGAGCTCCCTGGGGCTGCCTGCAGGAGCACCTGCCCAGCTGAGCAACAGAGGCCCCAAAACCCGTACAGGGGCACCCCCGCGGCGGGGGAAGGGAGCCTGGTCCCCTGGGATCCCCCACCCCGCCTCTCGGCCTTGGGGAGTCCCTGGCCCATGCTGCCGACCCTGGGACATTCAAACAGGTTCCGGTCTCCGCCAATGCAGGGTGTCAGGCGTGGCCCGGGCCCCTGCGTCAGCCCAGGACCACAGAGAGGCCGGTCCCACCTGGTTGGTGCCCCCTGGGCCTAGGGTGAGGGCAGAGCAGGAGTGGGGTGCAGGGGCTCACTGTAGAGCTGCACCATGGTGCTGAGTGCCCCCTCCAGCTCCTTGTAGATGTAGAGCACTGCGAAGGAGCTGTAGTCCGTTTCCACGACACGAACATCCAGGTAGCCGAGGGCTGCGGAGGCAGGGACCTTGGAAGGGTGACCCCAACCCATCCTGCCTCAGGGCTGTGGGCAGCAGGGCCAGGATGGAGGGGTGGGAGGGGGCGGGGCTAGGGCATTGCAGTGAGGCGCTCCCAGGGCTCAGGGATCCGGAGGTACCTGGAACTCTGAAGTGCCCTTGAGAGCCCACCCTCAGGAAGTCTGCATCCTTCTGGCGACAGCCTTCAGGTCTGTGGAGAGCTCAGGGAACTCACTCCAGGCCCAGCCGGGCCCCCTGGCACTGCCCCAACCCCACCCCTCTCACCCCGGAAACTCCATGTGCACGCGGAGGTCACCATCTGCCACCGCAGTCACAGCCCTGGTGGACATCAGCAGGTGGTCCTTCTTGCCCAGGAAGACCTTGCAGTCGGAGGCCATGGAGACCACAAACCAGAGGCCTGAGAACTGCAGGGGTCGGTCACCGAACCCGGGTGGCTTCGTGCAAGGCAGATGCCCGCGCTAGGGCCCTGGGCACTAGCCAAGTCGCAGGAGCCTGAGCCTGAGCCCTGCTCCCTCATGCCCAGGCCCCCACCAGGGCCTCTGGGAGACACAGTCACAGCAACCTCTCCCCTGCCAGCACCGAAGAAGCCTCCGGTACCTTTTGGGCATCAAAATCGGGCTGCAGTAGGACCTCAAGCTGAGCAGCAGAGGCCCACAGCACCAGCAGCAGCAGGAGCGGACCCCCCAGGAAGCACGCCATCCCCAGGCTGTGCTCAGGCCACGCGCCCCATCCCTGCTTTATAGCCCAGCTCCCCTGCAACGGGCGGGAGGGGGACGGAAGGCCCGAGGAAACTGGGGCCCCCTTTGTTCATTGTTTGGCACAATAACTGGAGTGTCCCCACCAGCCTAAGGGTCATTTCCTGAACGGCTCCAGGATGCCCAGAGCTCACCTGACTCCTTCCGGGGAGTCAATACGGCACCTCCAGACAGACTGTGGGGGTCTGCCCGAAGCCCCAGGTCCTTTGTACCTTGATCCAGGAACCAGGGTCCTTGGGACGGACCCAGAATCCTCACTTCTTCTCATCCTTAACCCTGGCCATACTGCGGGTGTTTATCTAGGTGGGGACAGACACCTGACTCCTCCAGGCCCTGCCTTCACGCAGCCCCAGATGGGCCCCGGGCAGGTATGTGGGGACTCAGGATTATGGTATCACAGCCACCTTATCACAAGTTGCATAAGCATCCGGGGGGCGTGTCGCCCCTGAGGCGCCCAGGCTGCAGGGGGCTGCGGGCCAGGCCCAAGACCGGCTGGGCCTCTCCAGGCAACCTCTAGTGTCCCCACCTACAGTGCCCAGGGCACCACAGAGCAGTGAATGGCTCCAGGAGTCACAGGGCATCATCCTGGAGGGCCAACAACATGGTGCTTCTGGAGTGGAAGTGGGTAGAGGGTGGCAAAAAAACCCTCAGCCCCTCGAAGAGAGAAGCAAGTGACTACAACTGCCAGGGACACTGCCCCACCCACAATGATCAACTAAAAGCTTTTCCACGAAACCATGTACAAAACACATGGGCAAGGACTTACCTCACAATCTATACAGAGCTCTCAAGACTCAATTATTCTTTCCTTCCTTCCTTCCTTTCTTTCTTTCTTTCTTTCTTTCTTTTTTATTTTTTTTTAGTCACACCCGGTGATGCACAAGGGTCACTCCTGCCTCTACACTCAGGAATCACTCCTGGCAGTGCTCAGGGGACCATATGGGATGCTGGGAATCAAACCCAGGTTGGCCACATGCAAGGCAAATGTCCTACCCGCTGTGCTATTGCTCCAGCTCCTCAATCGTTCTTTTCAAGCAGGAGCAGAGAAGCAGCACAACGGGTAAGGCTTTGCCCTCCTCAGGTGACCCATCTCCATCTCCGGCTCTGTGAATAGTTCTGAGCACTACCAGGAGTGACCCCTGAGCACTGCTTTTGTGGCCCAGTCTCCCTCACCCCACAAAAGAAAAAAAAACACCAGGTTAAAGCTTTGAAAACATCTCCCCCTGCATCCCTGCTAGGTCCAGGCAAGGCCTCTCAACCTGGGAAGCCCCTTCTGGCCACACAGTCCATCCCCTCCCTCACCTGCACTATAGCCACACAGGCCTCTGGAACCTTCTGAAGAGAGAACTTGCCCAGGCTTACTCAAAGATCTGGAGAGGGTCTGGAGAGATAGGGTCTGGAGAGATAGGACAGCAGGTAGGATAGTTGCCTTGCTCACAGTCAATCCAGGTTTGATCCCCAGCATCCCATATGGTCTCCTGAGCACCACCAGGAGGGATTCCTGAGTGTGGAGCCAGGAGTTAGCCCTGAGCATCACCAGATGTGGCCCCAAAACAAAGAGTTCATTGCAAGATTGTCTGCCGGTACTTCCACCCCACTTCTCCCTCTGAGAGCCTTCTTCCAAGTATCTCGCACACCACGCTCTCCATTTTTTTTTTTTATTGCTTTTTGGGTCACACCTGGCGATGCATAGGGGTTACTCCTGGCTCTACAGTCAGGAATCACCCCTGGCGGTGTCAGGGGACCATATGGGATGCTGGAAATCGAATCCGGGTCGGCGGCATGCCAGGCAAACGCCCCCCCCCCCCTCCCCCGGCTCTCCATTTTGTGAATCTCTCTCTCCAGCTTGTTTTGTGCTCCCGGGACACCAGGATAATATGGTGGGACCCTAGCTCTCAGAACTGGCCCCCAGCCATGGTGTACTAGTGGTTTTGGAGTTCACTTGCCAAATAATCCTTTGACTTATCACACTCCGTGGTTTTCAAGTAGCTCAACCTTAAATACTTGTGACCATACTTTTTTGTTGTTTGAGGGCCACACCGGGTTGTGCTCAGGGGTTAATCTTGGCTCTGTGCTCAGAGATCATTTCTGGAGACATCGGGGAACCATATGGGGTGCCAGGGACCGAACCCTGGCGGGCTATGTGCAAGGAAAACGCCGTACGCGCTGTGCAATCGCTCTGGAACGGATCCACCTTGGTCTACATGGAAATAAGCCTGGTGACCTAGACCCCGCCTCTCTGACCTGCCACTTCTGCGCAGGCGCGGCGCCAACCCCGCCCCACAAGGCCCCGCCCCTTCGCCCAGCCTGTCTCTGCGCAGGCGCGAGCGTTGGGCCCAACCCCCTCGCCCAGCCCGAATCCCTGCGTGTGTGCGGTCATGGTCAATCTGGGCCTCTCCCGGGTGGACGACGGCGTGGCCGCCAAACACCCGGTGAGAAAGCCGGCCTGGGAGTCCGGGCCGGCCTAGGGGGCGTAGCGGGGCGAGGAAACCCCCCCCCCCCCCGGGCAGAGCGCGGCGTCCGACCGGGCAGAGCGCGGCGTCCGACCGGGCCTCGCGGGGGCTGGCCAGAGCGCGGCCAGGGCAGCGGGGCCAGCGGCGAGGACAGCTCTGAGCGCGCGCCTCCCGCAGGGCCTCGGGGAGTACGCCGCCTGCCAGTCGGCCGCCTTCATGCGGGGCCTGGCGGCCTTCGTGGCAGGTAGAGGGGCCGGGATGGGGCTGGCCCTGTCCTTCAGGGCCGCAGCCGCTGACCGCCCGCCGCCCCGCAGGCACCGGCGCGACCTTCGGCCTGCAGAGCCTCCTCCCGTGGAAGCTCCTGTCCCCGTTCCGGTGGCGAGTGCTGGTGGCCGTGGGTGGGTATCCGCCCCGTCTTGCACGTGGACCCCGGAGGGGGGGGGGTTCGACCGGGGTCCCGACCCAGCCCTCCCCTCTGCCCTCTCCCCCTCCCGGCCCCGCCCCCTCAGTCACAGGCTCCGTGGGCAGCTACTGGGTGACCCTCGTGGAGTCACAGAAGTGCAGTGACCTCTGGGTCTTCCTGGAGACTGGCCGGCTCCCAGCAGATGGGGACACACAGGTGAGGGTCCTGGCCAGTAAGTATCACCGGGGCCCACGGCCATGGAAGTGGGGGCTGGAAGGCCTTGGAAGGGGTCCATAGACACTGCCCCTGTCCCAAGGGGAGGGAGCCGGGAGGGTGACAGGGAAAGAGATTTGGGGGCTGCTACTGCCCCACACCCTGGGCCTGCCCTGCCCTGCCCAGCACCCAGGGCCTGCCCATCACTGCTCGGCGCCTGCGTCTGCCCTGCCTGGCACACAGCACGGGCTCAGGCCTGGCCTTCGGTCACAGGTGCCCGTCTTCCTCTTGCAGGCCGGCGCAGCTAGGGGAGCCGTAGCACGGGAAGGAGACCAGGGACCAGGATTCCCACACAGCCCCCAGAGCCCGCCACCAGCCCGGGGCGCCTCCCTGTGACCCAGTATGGTGTGCAAACTCCGAGCCTGGTCCAACGAGGTCGGGGACAGTGGGCTTCCTACAGGCAGCCAGCACACAGGTGCTGGAGCTGAGGGGGCTTGGCTGCTGCCCACACACTTGTGCAGGGTGGCCTGCACCACCGCTGGCTCTGGTGCCTGGACACTGCATGCAGGCGTCCCCGCGGTGACTCTAATAAATACTAGTCAAAAGCCATCAGGAGGCAAGTCACATGGGAATATTCCTGACGAGTGTCCCTTCCTGCCTTCCTGCGGGACTGGAGGACGGACCTGGGGGGTTCTAGGGCTTGACCCCAGGATACGAGGTTCCTGCGCCTTGGGTTGCTCTGCAGCTTGGTGAGGAACAGGCTTGCAGCATGGACACAGGCTCCCAGGAGGGGAGACAGGGCCGACATCCCTTGCCCCGAAAGCAGCTGTCTGCCAGATCGAGTCACTTCACACCCTCCGGGAGGGGCAGAACGCCAGTCACAGGAAAGCAAGGCCCAGGGCCCAGACCTACCGCCCCTGCCCTCTTGGCCTTCAGGATGCTTATGGAGCACCGGCGGTCAGCGTGGCACAGCATGCCCCTTGAACCCAGTCAGGCCCGGGCCCCACCTAGGCTTCCCGTGCCAGGGAGGGCTGCGCCTGCTCCAAGAAGCAGGAGGAGGGAGGAGGACAGCTGCTGTCTCTTCTGCCCCTGTGACAGTCCTGTGTGCCACAAAGAGCAAGCAACTGGTGTGTCCACTCACTCCAGACTTCTCTGTTGAGGAGACACCCTGGCTGGCGCCTCTTCTGGCCTGACAGAAGATTGAAGGGGGGACCAGCCCCTGGAGAGGGCAGAGAGGGCCCTGGGCATTGCCTGCGGGTCTCCTCCCTTTTGGGGGAGTCACAGCCAGGGTTGCGCAGGGTTTGAACCTGGGTTGGCTGCATGAATAGTCCCCTCCCCACTGTGCACTCGCTCTGGGCCACGGCCCTTTAAAAGCAGAGTGAGGGGCAGGAGCTATAGTACCCGGAGGGCATTTGGGTCAGCCCGGGTTCAATCCCTGGCATCCCATCGGGTCCCCCAAGCACTGCCAGGAGTAACCCGTGAGCATCGCTGGGTGAGACCTCAAAAAGCCAGAAATAGAGTGTCATGAAGGAAAGTGACTGGTGGCCACGTTAGGGGCCGAGTTCTGTCCACCCTGGGTCCTGAGAACATGACCATTCAGAGATGGGGCTGGGCTTAAGGGGGTGACGGGGTGAGGAGGCCGCGAAGCAGCCCCAGGAGGAGCGACTGTTGGTTGCGGATGAGGCCGGCACAGCTGCTGTCTTGGCCGCAAGGCGCGGCGGGGGCAGGGAATGGGTGCCGCACCCTGAGTGGGGTTCCGGTGTTCCCCCGGTGCTCAGAACCCCGAACCCACAAAGGCGAGCGTTCCACAGACCACCTGTTCTCTAGCCAGCTGTGGCGGTGGGGGGTCCCGCGGAGGGCCCCAGCTGCCACCATGGAGGTGAACCAGCTCTCCAACACTGAGGAGCAGATCCAGGAGCTGAAAACCATCACGCGACTCCAGGGTGAGCCTCAGGGCGAGGGGCAGCGGGACCCGCACTGCCTCTGTCCGCGCGGGGCCCACAGCAGCCCGTCCGCCCGCAGAGCAATGCCGGGCGCTGCAGCTGCAGTCGGTGAAGGAGAACACGGAGCGGAACCTGTCCACGCTGGCCGCCCTGCACGGGGACGTCCGCCGCCAGGCCCTTGAGTGGGCCCTGACCCAGAAAGTGAGCGGGGGCGCGCGCGGCCGAGGGGCCGGCCGCCACCAGCCAGAGGCCACTGGGAGGCCTCTCCGGTCCCGCCCGTGCAGATCGCGGTGGCCGGGGGGGCCTGCGGCTCGCGGTGGGGCTGGCGCGGGCAGGGGGCCCGCCTGAGCAGTGCCGCCCCCCAGTCGGACCAGCGGATCGTCTCCAAGGCCTGCGGGAAGAACCTGCCGCTGAAGCTGGCGCTCTCGCACAGCACCGTGGAGGTGAGGGGAGGGGGGCGCGCCCGCCCCCGGCCCCCCGGCCCCCCGGCCCCCGAGCTGTGCCGTGCCGCCCACAGGTGGTGCGGGAGAAGCTCTGCAAGCTCGTGCTGGAGCGCGTGAACGCGCACAACGCGCTGCTGCACCTGGCGCGCCGGCGCGGGCGCACGCTGGAGCGGCTGCGGCGGGAGCTGGCGCGCGCGCGCGGCTACGGGCCCGCGTCCCGGGAGGCGCAGCGGCAGCTGCAGGTGCGCGGGGGCGGCCCTCCCCGCGCGCGCGCCCCGCCCGCGCTCAGCCCGCCCGCCCCCGCAGGCCATCCGCCAGCTGGAGAACAGCATCGAGAAGAAGCTGACGCTCATCGCCGCCACGCAGCACGTCCGCCTGCTCTACGAGCGCCTGCGCGAGCACCTGCGGCGGGTGAGCGCGGGGCCGTCGCGCCGCGCCGCCCCGCCGGCCTCTCCGGAACGTTCCTGCAGCCTGGGAGCCGTGGGGCGCGCCAAGGGCCGAGTGCCCGCTGTGCGCGCGGGGCCGGGGCGCGTCCTTCCCGACACAGCACCAGCGGGCGCGACCCAAACCCGACACAGCACTAGCGGGCGTGACCCGAACCCGACGCAGCCGTCCCCAAGGCCGCCTGGCCGCGCCCGCACGCTGGGGGGTCGGCAGGGGCGCACCGCCAGCCAGTGCCTCGGGCTCTGAGACCCCGTGGGGCGACCGTCACAGCCGCCTGCAAGTGCCGGGTGGTGGCCCAGCCCCCGAAATCCTTCCTTTCCGTTGCTTCAGGCCGGTTGAGCCTGGGGTCCCAGACACACCCACCAGCTCCTTGGGGCTCACCCAGAATGGGGGCCAGCACAGGTCACTACAGGGGTCACAGGACATCGCCGGGCAGAGGCAGGAATGGGGATGGGAATGCGCTTGCCTCGCACATGGCCAGCCTGGGTTCCGTTCCCAGCACCACACAGGGTCCCCTGAGCCCCCCAAAGAAGAAATTGCTGAGTGCAGAGCCAGGAGCCCTAAGCACCGCCAGCCCCCAAACAATCCGAACAACAACCCTCCCAAGAAAGCCAGGCTGGGAAGGGGCCGCGGCAGTTGGGCAGCCCTTGCTCCGCGCCGCAGATGCTGTGTGGGTACCCCAAGCTGCTGGACAGGCTGCAGAGCAAAGTGACTGACTACTGTTTGGAGCTGACGGACATGACGGCCATGTCCCAGGAGGCCATAAAAATCACAGATGGGGTGAAGGTGAGCCGAGCCAACGGGGACTTGCCACTCACCCGCCTAGGCGGAAAAGACGGGGGGGGGGGGGGGGGGGGGGGGAGGGGAGCCAGGCAGGGGTCAGTCACTCCCCACTCCCCACCCGGCCTCAAGGCACTGGGCAGGCCAGAGGTGGGGCAGGGGACCCCTGCCGGAGGAAGGGCGACTGCCCAGGCTGGGGCACTGGAGTGAGCAAGAGGCGGAGCTGGGCTGACAGGTGCAGAGGACCAACCCCAGGAGAACGCAGGAGGGCATGGAGCAGTATGGTGGACGAAAGGGGACTCAGCCAGGAAGCCAGAGGGTCCCTGCCTGGGGTCTGGTGACAACTTAGATGTGGAAACAGGGAGACCATGCCCAGGGGGCCAAGCTATGGGGCAAGGCCCAGTAGGGGAGGAGCAGGACAAGAGTGGGAGGAGTAAGGGGGAACAGGAGGTGGAGGAACAGGTGGAGGAGGGGAGGAGGAGGAAGAGGGGGAAGAGGATGAGGAGCAGGAGGAGCAAGAGGGGGAGGAAGAGGAGCAGGAGCAGCAAGAGGGGGAGGAGGAGGAACGGGGGAGGAACAGGAGAAGCAGGAGGAAAAGGGGACCAGGGGAAAGAGAAGGAGGGGAGAGGGAGGAGCAAGAGGAGGAGGAGGGGGAGAAGAGGGGAAGAGGAGCAGAAGGAGGAGCAGAGGGAGGAGGAAGAACAGGAGGAGGAACAGAAGAAACAGGAAGAGGAGAGGAGCAGGAGGAGGGGGAAGAGAGGGTGGAGCAGGAGCAGAGGAGCAAGAGGAAGAGGAGGGGGAGGAGAGGGGGAAGAGGAGAAAGGGGGGCAGGGGGAGGAGGAGGAGCAGAGGGAGGAGGAGGAACAGGAGAAGCAGGAGGAGGAGTGAAGGGGAAAGAGAAGCAGGGGGAGCAAGAGGAGGGGGAGGAGGCAAGGGAAGAGGAGGAGGAGAAAGAGGAGGGCGAGGAGCAAGGGGAGGAGGAGGAGCAGGGGAAACGGGGAGGAGGAAAGGGAGGAGGGGAGGAAGAGAGGGAGGAGCAGGACAAGGAGAGGGAAAAGAAGGGGAGGAGTGGGAGGAGGTGGAGCAGGAGGATGAAGAGGAGGAGGGGGAGGAGCAGGTGGAGGAGGGGGCAAAGGAGGAGGGGGAAGATGAGCAGGAGGAGGAGCAAGAGGAAAAGGGGGAAGAGGAGCAGGAGGAGGAGTGGGAGGAGGAACGGGAAGAGGGGGAGGAGGAGAGGGAGGAGGAGGAGCAGGAGCAGCAAGAGGAGGAGGAGGGGGAGAAGGAGAGGGCGGAGGAGCAAATGGAGAAGGGGGAGCAGAAGGAGGGGAACGGTGACTGGGGCCAAGCGCAGAGTGGGGCACCTGCAGCCAGTCTAGGGCAGAGGCGCCTGGGGGACGGCAAGGGATCAGGCAGAGGCCAGTGGGGGGACCAGGCCCTGAGGTGCCACTCGTGAAGTCCAGGCCCGGGTGGGGTGGGGCCATGGGGCACATCGCACCAGCACCTCCCTGTCGCAGAGGAACATGAAGAAGATGGAGACGACGTTCATGGAGGAGCGCAGGGCCCGGGAGGAGCGCCTCAGCCAGCAGAAGCGGGTCAACGACAAGATCCGTGCCAGGGACGTGAGCGAGAAGTTCCGCCGCCAGGTAAGCCCGGGCCCGGGAGTGGGCGCATAGCCGAGCCCTGCTCACGGCGCCCCTCCGCCTAGGGCCAGCAGGACAGACACTTCGCCTCCAGCCCGCTGAGCGCCAGCAGCCCACGGGGTGAGTGAGCTCGCCACCCCAGGCACTCCCGCCCTGGGCCGGGTGCCTGAGCGCGCACTGCCCGTGTTCCCTCTGCCCTGCCAGTGAAGAGCAGAGAGCCCAGCAGGGTGGACAGCCAGTACCAGAACTCCGTGAGGAAGCTGGTGGAGCAGGTCAAGAGCTCCGTGCAGTGCTCACACCTCTGGGTAGGCCGCCAGGCCCTTCCCCTGCCAGCTCCCCCAGCCCTGCCCAACTGCTGTGCCCACCGAAGGCATGGTCTGCCCAGCCCTGGGTGCGGCTGCTGAGTGGGGAGCGGCCGACAGAGCATCAATAGAGCATCATGCCTGCCACTGTCCCCAGGACATCACTGGGCGCTTCCAGGCGCAGAGGCACACAGAGGAGAACCTGGAGGTGCAGATGCGGGAGTGCACGGAGCGGCAGGCACAGCTGCAGGCCCTGGGGCAGCAGCTGGAGCTGGAGGAGATGGCACTGAAGTTCCGCCAAGCCCCCTCCTTGGTCAGGTGCTCCAGGGACCCAACCCTGCACCAGGGGTGGGTGCAGAGGTGCCGAGCCCCTCCTGAGCGCTGGAGCCCGCTCACGTCCCTCCACACCTGGCAGCTCCAAGTCGGCGGAGGGGAGGATTCAGGTGAGACTGAGAGACGAGCAGGAGCGGCTGCAGCTGGCCCACGCCAGCATGGTCAAGCGTCAGCAACTGCTGCTGACCATGGAGATGGGCGTCAACAACCTCTACTTCCGGCTGATAGGAGCCACACTGCCTGAAGCCCAGGTGCGGGCAGGGAGGCCAGGTCGGGGTGGGCTCCACTCAGGGCCCCTGGCAGAGCGCAGACGAGGTCCTGCCCGGCCCCAGAAGGCAGTGCTGCCTCCAAAGCCGCTGGGTATGTTCGACAAGCTGGCGTACTGCGAGGAGAGGCTCGTGCAGCTGGCCAAGAGGACACAGATGCTGACCAAGACAGAGGAGGTAGCTGTGGGCAGGGGAGGGGCGGCTACCACCACCGCCCTAGGAGCTCAGCCTGCCTCCCGCTGCAGATCAGCGCTAAGGTGAGGGATGCCCTGGAGTCCTCCACGCTGAAGGAGAGACTCAACTACAGGATTCGCTTCAAGGAGCTGGAGGACGAGGAAGACGTGATAGGTCCAGGGTCCAGGGGCAGATGGAGGGACAGTGGGGCAATGGGGATGGAGAGGGGCACGTCCACTGCACCGTGGGACTCTGCATATGGAAGTGACCTTGGTAGGCAGGGGTAGCGGGTGCCTTCGCCAGGGCTGGGCGCATCTGGGGGCCGAGGGGGGCTCAGGCCAGCAGGTCAGCATCGTGGTTCGGGTTCCTGGAGCGGCACCGGGGCTGGTGTTGGCCCGTAGCGGCCTGCGGGTGCCTGCTGCGGCATCCGGCGCCCACGCCCCCCCACTCCCAGCAGGCGCGAGACAGGGGGCGCCAAGTGCGAGGCGCTTTCCCTGCCTTCCAGAGACCTTATTCAGCGAGGCGGACCAGAGCTACGTGCCTTCGCGGGCCGAGATCAAGAACCAAGCGCAGGAGCTGATAAGCGGCAGGCTTCGGGGGTCCAAAAAGAGGAGGTGACCTCTCCGGCCCGCCTCGCCGCCGCACACAAATAAACGTTTTTCCAGGACGGCTGGCGGCTCAGAGGTGTGATCGCAAAGGAAGTTCTGCGGGCGAACCGGGCGATCGCGTGAACTGGGACGGCAGATGCGGGAGACCGGGGAAGAGGCGCGCCTGGGTTTGCACAGAGCCGCGCAACGCGCACGCACGCTACGTCCCACCGTGCGCATGACCCTCGCGGCGCCCCGTAGCCCCGCCCCCGGCGCCCCGCCCCGCCGCACGCGCTGCCATCGCGGCGCCCCGTAGCCCCGCCCCGCCGCACGCGCTACCCTCGCGGCGCCCCGTAGCCCCGCCCCGCCGCACGCGCTACCTCTAGGCCACGTAGCCCCGTCCGGAGACCGACGTCGTGGCGCCCCGTAGCCCCGCCCTGCGTGTGGCCCTCGGGGCGCCCCGTAGCCACGCCCCGCCGCACGCGTCATCCTCGCGGCCCCAGTAGGCCCGTCCGGATGCAGTGACCCTCGCGGCGCCCCGTAGCCTCGCCCCGCGCGTGACCCTCGCGGTGCCCCGTAACCGCGCGCCGCGCCCGCCCCGCCGAGTCGGCGCCGAGATGGCGGCGCTGCCAAGCGGGAAGCGGAGCCGCCGCGGCTGAGGCCTCTCGGGCGGGCGCTCGGCCGCCGGGACATGGTGCGCGCCGCGCCGCCGCGCCGCCTCCGCCGCCGCTGAGCTGAGCTCGCGGGCCGCGCGGCCCCCCCGGGCGGGAGAATGTTCTCGGCGCTCAAGAAGCTGGTGGGGTCGGAGCCGGCGCCCGCGCGCGACAAGCACATCCCCGCCGGGCTGCAGTCCATGAACCAGGCGCTGCAGCGGCGCTTCGCCAAGGGCGTGCAGTACAACAGTGAGTGGCCGGGCCGCGCCCAGCGCCGTCCGCAGACCTCACCCCGCGTGCGGCGACCCGGGCCGCCGTCCTGCGCGCGCTGTCCCCGGGGCGCCGAGGGACGCGACCCGGCGGCCCGGGCGACCCCTGACCCCCCCCCCCCCGCCACCCCTGCCCCGCCGTCCCGGCGTCTCCTGCCCGCTGTCCCGGACGACCCGGCCCCGCCCTCCCGGCGACCCCTGACCCCGCCGTCCCGCCCGTGTCGGGGTCGGGCCTGTTCCCGGCGCGCCCAGTGGGGTGGGAGGCTCCGGCCCTTTGGGGCGAGGTGGGCGACAGGCCCCGGCAGCCTCCGTCCCGGGAGGGGACCCGTCATTGGGCGTCCCCGGACAGGTGGCTCGGGGCTCAGGCTAGTTTAGGGGGCGCTGGTCAGGGCGGGACCGCACCTGTCTGCCTCCGAGGTCAGCGCGTGGACGTTGGCCAGGCCCGGCGGAGCTCCCGGGACACTGCCCCGCGCCCAGGGGGCACTTCTGGGGATGGGTCCGAGACCAGGGAGTGCGAGGCTCGCGCCCATCCCTGCGCTCAGCCCGCTGCGGGTGTTCACGGCAGACGCGGAGGACACTTGGAGCGCAGGACAGCCGTGGCCCAGGCGGGCGGGAGGAGGCGGGGGCCGCAGCCCCTCAGAGACCCGAGCAGATTTTAACTCCCAGGAGAGGCTGTTTCCCCGCCGTGCTCGGGGGTCCCTTGGCCTGGCGTGCAGCGCCAGAGCTGGTCTGCTGCTGCCCTCTGCCTTGCTCTTGTGCCCTAAGCCTGTGTGGTGGGCGTGTGCTGTCCTGCGACAGCCCCTGGCCTCGAGGCTCTTGACAGATAAAGCCACATCATGTTGTTGGTTCCATAAGTAAAACCTTGTAGAACTGTAGGGTTTGGGGGCTGAGCGATTATACGGCAGGTGGAGCATTTGTCTCGCACATGGCTGACCCAGGTTTGATCCTTGGCATTCCATGTGGTTGGTACCCTGAGCCCCACCAAGGAAAGATCCCTGAGCACTGCTGGATGTAGCCCCCCAATCTTTCCATGAGGGAGGGGGAGGTTCTCCCAAGAGTTGATGAGGGTGCCCAGGGGCTGACAGTTCAAACACCCCTACATCCTCCAGTGCCCAGGGGACCAGGTGCTTCTGGACTCAGACCCCTGTCGCTCAGCCTGCATCCCCACCGCTGTTCGATCTGCCTGCGCATCTCAGAGGTTGAAAGCGAATTTAGTTCAAGAGAAAGGGAAGCTTTCCATTTCCACTGTCGGAATCAGAAAGATTGGCCAGGGGCCAGCTCCACGGGCCGCGTCACCCCTTGTGGCCTGGGTGGCCGCAGCACACAGCCTGGGCTCCAGGACCCCGTGGCCAGCACTGCAGTGAGCGGGGCACAGCAGGAGGGCACTTGCCTTGCATGGATACCACGTCCATTCCCGGCACCACATATGGTCCCCCTGGCCCCGCCAGAAGTGATCCCTGATTGCAGAACCAGGAGTGAGCCCTGAGTACTGCTGCGGGGCCCCTGGGTGAGAGAACAGTGCAGGGGTGCTTGCAGGGACCCCGGGGGGAGCAGGACAGGGTGTGTGTGCAGGGTCCAGAGTCCAGGTGACTGAGCAGTGCAGGGGACCTTTTTTCACCCTTCTCTCTGCCCAGCGCAGTGTTGGGTGGCAGAGGGAACACAGGCAGAGGGCCAGTGTGAAGTCCTGGGGAAAAGCCAGCTGCACCCATCCCCTGCCAGCCCCACGCCGTCCCTCCAGCGTGCAGAGCACCGGGCACACGTTCCTGGTGGTCATGTAGATGGTGAAATCGGAGCTGTGGAGCCAGGAAGGGGCAAGAGCTTTTCCTCAGGCTTAGAGCTCCTCTGAATAATTTATGGGTCAAAGAAATTGTTGGGGACTGAGAAAGTTCTTTTTTGTTCATGATCTGCAGCCCCGTCCTTGCATGCCTGCTGGCCTGGTGAGATGCAAACCCAGGTAGCAGAAGAAGGAGAGGCTAGAGAGGAGAGAGACAAACGTGGGTTTGCGTCTTTCCTCTGGGTTTTGACCCACACCTGGCGGTGTCCAGTGGCGCTCCCAGCTTGGTGCTCAGGTCAAACCTGGGCCTCCGTGCAAAGCAGCACGTGGACGGTCTTTTAAGCCGTGTCTCTGGTGCCATACTGCTTGGGAGAGGGCCAGCTCCACGCCGAACAGCTGCAGCATGAATGGGGTCTGTGACAGTCAGTGACAAGCCCGGTGTGGTGGGCCGGTATGGCACAGGGCAGGAGGAGGAAGGTGGACAGGATGGCACAGGGCGGTTTCAACCGGGTATTAAGAGTAGCTTTGGGGGTACTAGAGAGACAGCCCAGGGGTTAGGTTTGTCCTGCTCTCGGGCCTGGTCTTCGCCAGGGGTGCGGAGGAACCGAGTGCCAGTGCCAGAGTTGAGGCGCAGTGCGGAGAACAGCCGACAGGAACGGCAGGAGCCCCCACCAAGGCAGCGCTTGGTGGGGCCCTGCCTCGCTCTCCTGTCGTCTGGCCCCAACTACACTTCTTGGCCAACTAGGAGTCGAAAGGAGCACCAGGCGCCTGCTGGGGGCCCTGCCATGCACCTGTGGCCACACGTGACCATGCATGGGCAGTGCTGGGCTCAGGCCTGGACCCCCACCTGTCACCCAGTGTCACGGTTGGGAAACCCAAGAAAATCAGCAGCAGAGACCTCAGTGTCCTGTGGAAACGAGTTTCCAGGGTCAGAGCGATAGTATAGCAGCCAGGGCAGGGCAGGCATTTGCTTTGTAAGCAACCGATCCCCTTCGATCCCCAGCACCCCATATGCCCCTGAGCCCCACCAGGAGTAAGTCCTCAGCAGCTCTGGATGCTCAGGGTTCACCCCTGGGGTGCCGGGGATGGAACCTAGGTCAGCCGCATGTGAGGCAGACACCTTCAATCCCTGTGTGCAGAAAACTGAGTCTTGGCCAGAAGGTGCTGCCTGCAGGGGCTCGCACTCTGCAGGGCACCAGGGAAGGGCATGGCCACACGGGCTGCCAGAGGCTGTTTGAAAAGTGTGAACGAGAAACAAAATGGGTACCGGTGGGTCTGTGGACATGGGTTTCCCGCGTTTCCAGCAGGGGGCGCTCCCTCACGCTGCACCTGTTCTGAGTGGGCCCTTGCGGGGCTGCCAGGGTTGGCGCCGGCAGGGTGGCACCCGCCCTCAGGGTGGCGGGCAAGAGAGTCTCAGGGGGCCGGGAAACCGGTACAGGGCAACTTTGGAAAACTGTCCATGAGAACTGTGGCTGTCGAGGAGGGAATATTGCCAGGTAAAACACATTTTGACTGACAGCTCCGCAGAGCAGCTCCTCAGGAAGACGGGAAGGGAGCCAGCCGTCCAGGAGCAGGACAGGGGCAGGCCGCCATGCTGCATCGGGCCAGGAGAGCCGACAGCGCCGGGCTCCCGAGGGGCGACTGAGCAGCAGATGGAGGCAGACCGCACGGAGCAGGGGGAGCGAAGAGGCGGGAAAGGGAGACGGCCCAGACGCTACCGTGTGGGCATGTGGAACACGCGGGTGGCTCTCGGAGAGATCCCGCAAAAAGGGACCTGGGGGAGGCCCACCGAGCACCGGGCGTCAGCACCCCTGCAGTTAGCGATCGGGCTGGCAGGAGCACGACCCCCACGGTGACGGGGTTGCCGGGGTTGTCACTGCAGCCCTAGAGCACAGTTCAGTGACTCTGGGGTCTCCGGGAGTAGCTGCAGCTCGTGATGCGGGAGGCAGCTTCTCTGGTCTGGGCTCACCCCATGGGTGCTCGGGATCACTCCTGGACGGACTCGGGCCCTGATGTGGTACTGGGGACAGAACCTGGGTCAGCTGTGCCACGGCTCTGGCCCATGGGGGAGGCAGGTTCCACCCAGCATTTGAGGCGCCGAAAGGCCCAGACTGGCGAGTCCTCCGGCAGTCCTAGAGCAGAGCAGAACCCCTGCTGTCCCTGCGGTGCCAGGCCAGCGGGCCCAGGGAGGGGCTCCAGGGCCGGACACCAGAAAGCGATAAATAATTCACTGCGGCAGACCTGCGCCCATAGACAGCACTGCTAGTACCAATGGCTGGGGCCACCTGGGAGTGCTGAGAGGGGTCCCTGGCTACCAGGCCGTCCCAGGGGGCTGCCCCAAGACTCTCGGGCACGTGCTGACAATTCAGTGCCCCGGTGTTGGGCTGGCACAGGCACTCGAGCCCCGTACCAGCTCCCAGGTGCCTTCACGGCACTCTGAGTTTGGGGGTTTAGTTCTTGTATTGGGGGTCTTTCTGCAGTTAGCTTCTGATTTCTCTGCCTCGGATTGTGAGGCTGGGACAGGAGTACAGTGAGGAAGGTGCTGGCCTTGTCCCCAGGTTCGAGTCCCAGCCCGCCCTGAGCACCACTGTGTGTAGCCCCAAACCAAAACATAAAAAATGTGTGTCGTGTTGACCAAATTCTAGGAGTTTTCTGAATTTTGCTCTTTCCTGCACAGTCTGGGCCACACCTGGCAATACTCAGGGATGTTCCTGGCACTGTGCTCAGACGTGAGCCCTGGTGTGTGGTGCTGGGGGCTTGGCTGTGGGACTCATGCAGCGGGAACCATGTCGTGGCGTGGCGTGGAACACAGGAGTCTGTTCTGTTGTGTGCTGCCAAGGCCCCTGTGGCGAGGGGTGTCATCCTGGGCGCTGCTCAGCCCTGCCAGACCCCGCACCACCCAGTATGGTCCCCAAACCAGAGAAAATTCAGGCGAGGTCAGCACAGGCAAGGCAGGGAGCCGCCTGGCCGGAGTCAGGTCTGCTCGAGTGGGCAGGAGGCCGGGCTACAGGCACGCTGGTGGCCGCAGGGCCCAGTCAGAGCTGGGAGCCCTGACCCGAGGTGTGTGTCAGCCAGAGTGGCATGAGGGCGGCCAGCAGGACCCCAGGTCCAGTCCACACTGCCCAACAAGCCCTGGGCCTTGGCGGGGGCTTGGGGGCCACCGGGGTGTGTGTGGGGCGCAGTGCCCGGGGTGCCCCTGACAGCCCCTCCCCCCCCCAGTGAAGATCGTGATCCGCGGGGACAGGAACACCGGCAAGACGGCGCTGTGGCACCGGCTGCAGGGCCAGGCGTTTGTGGAGGAGTACATCCCCACGCAGGAGATCCGCGTCACCAGCATCCACTGGAGCTACAAGAGTGAGCGGGGCTGGTGGGGCATGAGGTCCAGGTCACCACCCCCGGATGCTCCCCAGGCATTGCCATGGAGACTGCAGGCCTGCAGGAGCCTGGGTGTGGGGGCGCCCTGGAGGCGGCTGGTGTGTTCCGGGGCCTGGGTTGGACACCCAGGGCAGCAACACCCCCAGGAGCCACCGTGGCTCCGGGTTCCACCTTCCCCCATTCCCAAGCAGGCCGGTGGGCGGGAGCAGAAATGCTGCAGCCCTGGGGCCTCCAGGGCCTGGAGTGATGGGCAGCGTGGGCTGCCCGCTCCCAGCTGACCTGCAGTGGCCACCCCTGCGGCCAGTGCGGGCTCCGCCGAGCCACACGGGAGAGCCGGCCCCTGTGCGGCTGAGCCCTGGCCGGGAAGAGGCTGACCTCGGTGTTCTCCACCCCAGCCACCGACGACATCGTGAAGGTGGAGGTCTGGGACGTGGTCGATAAGGGTGAGTGGTCTCTCTTCAGACCTCCCGGGTCAGCAGCTTCGCCCGGGGGCAGGGGCTGGTCTCCTCAGGCATGGCATTGCTGTTTACTGATCAGGAAAAAGCAAGAAGCGCAGCGATGGCCTGAAGATGGAGAACGACCCCCAGGAGGTGAGGGGGGGGTGCACTGGCCCTTTCAGCGCAAGGTGACACCTGTGGTTCCTGCCCCCTGCCCTTGACGGCTCTGGGCGGCCATTCCCAGGACGTGGGGCTTCCGAGGTGGGCCCCCGGCTGAGTGCCTTACCTCCCTAGGCGGAGTCCGAGATGGCCCTGGACGCCGAGTTCCTGGACGTGTACAAAAACTGCAACGGGGTGGTGATGATGTTTGACATAACAAAGCAGTGGTGAGGGCCGCGTCCCTCGGGCTACAGGGGCCTCCTGAGGGCAGCCGGGGTCGGGTGCCGGCAGCGCTGTGCCAGGGTCGGCTGAGCCTCGCGTCTGCCCCCTGCGCTGCAGGACCTTCAGCTACATCATGCGGGAGCTGCCCAAGGTGCCCCCCCATGTGCCCGTGTGCGTGCTGGGCAACTATCGTGACATGGGTGCACACCGCGTCATCCTGCCTGATGACGTCCGCCACTTCATCGACAGCCTGGACAGGTGGGCACCGCCCCCACGGCCCTGGCTTGCCCGCCCCGCCGCACCCAGCCTCACCTGCAGCCCTTTCTGAACAGACCCCCGGGCGCTTCCTACTTCCGCTATGCCGAGTCCTCCATGAAGAACAGTTTTGGCCTCAAATACCTGCATAAGTTCTTCAATATCCCTTTCCTGCAGCTCCAGGTGAGATGCACGGCCACACCTGGCCCCTGCTGCAGTGTGCCCGCCCCCAGCACACCTCAGCTCGGGGGCAGGGTGCCACATGCAGGGCGAGTGCCCTGCCTGCACCTCTCAGGCCTACTCAGGGCCGCGGGGAGCCTGGGGCCGGGAGCAAGGGCTCTGGCTCCTGAGACCCCTGGCAGCTTAGCACGACTGCTGCGTTGTATCCTGGACCTGCTGGCGTCGCGACCCGTCCCGTCCCGTCCTCTTCAGCCACTCCTGGCTTCTGCTTTATTTTTGTGCCCGGGGTCACTCCGGTCTCTGCAGCCGGGATCTCTCCTGGCGGGGCTCAGAGGACCGTGTGCGATGTGGGGACTGAGACCGGGTCAGCTGCAAGCAGATTCCCTCCCGTCCAAGGATTTGTTTTCAGTGGCTATTGCGTCCACTTGCTTTGTGATTTGCAGCCACCCCAACAGTGCTCGGAGCCGGTCCCTGCTGGCTGGCTGTGGGGCTGTGCTCGGCCCTCTGTCAGCGATGAGCGCGTCCCCCCCTCCCTTGGAGCAGTGGTGCTTGGTGCAACACCCTGGTCCATACCCTGATTGTGGCTGGCAGCAGACCCACCTAGCCTTGTACTGAAGGGGGACGAGGCATGGGCACCTTGTCCCGAGCCAGGTGGGAGGTGGTCTGGGACCCACAGACCGCCCGCTCGCCCACTGGGTCTGCACCCCTGCCTGCAGAGGGAGACACTGCTGCGGCAGCTGGAGACCAACCAGCTGGACGTGGACGCGACATTGGAGGAGCTGTCCGTGCAGCAGGAGACAGAGGAGCAGAACTACGACATGTGCGTCGGGTGGGCAGGGCCCCAGGGCCCCTCCATGCAGGGACGGGGGTCCTGCGGCCTGTCCTAGGGGAGGGGGGGCAGGACGGGCTGGGCTGCACGCCAGCCTGCTGGGGACCCCACAGGAGAGCTGGGGAACAGCAGGTCTGGGCACAGGCCCTCCCCACTGTCCCCGCACAGGCAGGTCTCCTCCACCCAGCCCCCAGCACAGGGCCATGCCTCACCCTCCCCCCGCCTGTGCCTGCAGCTTCCTGGAGATGATGGAGGCACGCAGTCGTGGCCACGCAGCCCCGCTCACGGCCAACGGGCAAAGCCCGTCCTCTGGCGCCCAGTCCCCGGTGGCGGCCCCCACTGCCATGGCCACTGCTAGCTCCAGCCCCAGCACGCCCCAGCCTGCCCCAGCCGCACCGCTGCAGGCCCCTGCGACCGGGCCCCCCCCGCCGGCCCCCTCAGAGGCCCTGGCGCACCCTGCCCGGCGCGGCATAATTGCCCGGCTGTTTGGGACCAGCTCCGCGGCCGCCGAGGTGGCTCCACCGCCCCCAGGTGGGTCTCACCAGACCCCACCATGCAGGGTTGGGGCTGCCCCCACTCCCCACCTGCTGAGCCCGTCAGTACTGTCCACAGAGCCAGCCCTGGCCACAGAGCCCCCAGCCATGGTCCAGAATGTGGAGGACTTCGTTCCCGAAGATGGCCTTGACCGCCACTTCCTGGAAGACACGGCCCCCCCAAAGGACAGGCCAGCCGGAGCTGCAGTGGTGGACAGTGACAGGTATGGCCTTCCCTGCAGGGGGCAGGCATGCTGGACCGTCTGGGCCGCTGTTCTCCAGGCACTGACTCCCCACCCCCTCCAGCAGCGACGAGGCAGCCCCAGGAGGGAACCCCATGGTGGCAGGTTTCCAGGACGATGTGGACCTGGAGGATCAGCCTTGCAGCAAGCACCCCTTGCCCACGGGGCCCCTGCCCAGCCAGGAGGAAGCACCGGAGGCCCTACGCCCTGCAGTCCTGGCCCCCCAGAAAAGCTCAGAGCCAGAGACCAAACGGTATTGGGGGGCGTGGGCGGGGACACATGCTCCCAGGGCAGTGGACAGCTCCCTGAGCCACTTCATCCCTAAAGGGCCCCCACGAAGGTCTTGAGGCCACCCCGGGTTGCAGCGCCCAGGTCCACGGGCCCCCCCGTGGAGGGTCCAGACGAGCCAGCCGTGTCCTCTGAGAGTGACCCTGAGGGGCCCATCGCCGCCCAGATGCTGTCCTTTGTCATGGACGACCCCGACTTTGAGAGCGACTCGGAGGCCCAGCGGAGCGTGGTGAGGGCCCAGGCCGCCCACATGGCTCCGGGGCTGGACCTCCCTGATGGGGCCACATTGTAGCAACCCCATCTGCTGCTCCTCCAGGGCGAGTTTCCAGTGCGAGAAGACCCCTCGGATGTGTCTGATGAGGACCCTGAGGACAGCCGCCCTGCCCAGCCCCCGCCGCCTCCCAAGCCCCCAGGCCCCACCTTCCGGTTGAAGAACAGCTCTGACCTCTTTGGGCTGGGCCTGGAGGCTGCGGCCCCCAAGGAGAGCAGTGAGGAAGGTAGCCAGCCCCCTGGCCCCTGTCTCCCCCCGCCCCTCCGCCTGTGCACCCCCCTCCCCCACCAGTGCTGAGGGCTCCCTTCTGTGCAGATAAGGAAGGCCAAGCCCCCACCAGGGAGGAGAAGAGGAAAAAGAAGAAGAAGGACAGAGAGGTACCTCCGGACCTAGTGGGGGCGGCCAGGGCTCCTGGCCCCTCCACCGTGACCACCCCCATGTCCCCAGGAGGAAGAGAAGACCACCAAGAAGAAGAGCAAGCACAAGAAGGACAAGGATAAGGACAAGGACAAGGATGAGAGGCGGCGGCGGCGACCGCGCAGCCAGAAGACCGCGCTGGATGAGCTGGAGGCCTTCCTGGGCGGCGGGGCCGCAGCCAGCCAGCTCCGCGGTGGCGGTGACTACGAGGAGCTCTAGGCAGGGACAGAGGGACAGTAGGCAGCTGGCGGGGCTCTGCGGGCAGCCAGCCCCAGCGCTTCTCAGGGATGGGACTGCGGCAGTTTACAGGGGCAGTGCCGTCAGGCAGCAAGGTCCTTCTCCCGGGAGAGGCCTGGCCGGCACCCGGGCGCAGTGTCCCGCTGGGCAGCAGAGGCTCGGGGCACTGCCCAGGGCCCCAGGGGGGCCTTGCTAGTGTTCTTGTGCCCCTCCGACACTCCACCACATAAAGTTCTCCTGTTTTACTGCGACTGCCCCTGTGTGCTGCTCCCTGCGGCCCAGCTACACACGTGTGTGTTTGTGTGTGCCTGCGTGTGTGTGTGTGCACACCTGACAGGCCCAAGAACACTCCCTGCCTCTGTAGGACCCTCCACTTGCAGCAGCCCGGGTGCCCCCATGGCTGTCACTGCTCAGGGTGCCCCTTTTACCTAGGAAGCTGCTCAGGTGCAGGTGCCAACAGGGCCAGCCCAACACCCGGGGCCGCCTCGGACCTGGCCTCTGCTAGGCAAGAGCCTTCCTCCAGCCCAGCCCAGCATCCAGGGAGGGGCTGGCCGGCTGCAGTCTCAGTGACGGTCACACGTGTATAAGGGGGCCATGTGCAGACACTCCAGGGAATGGCCGCCCCAGGTCCTGGCCAGCTTGGCATCCCAGTGGGGTACAGTCCATCTGCTCAGGCCTGGCCTGCCAATCACCAAGATGCTACTTCTGGGAGCGTCACAAGTCCAACCAGCTGCTCTCTGGCAGATAGCTTGAAGCTAGGGGCTACCAGCCCGGAAGGGCAGGTGCCCCGCGGGTACCCAGGGCTGGCCTCCAGGGTCTTGTCCTTGTGCCCCCCCCCAGCCCAAGGGCCACGTGAGTTGGCGCGGCCCCTTTAAGCGCAGCTCCGTCGGCCGCCAGAGGCGGCAGCACTGAGCTGCCGGCCCGCAGCGCGCTGCTCCTGGAAGCTTCTGCCGGTGGTGCGGGCCGCGGTGCAGCGGGGCCGGGCGGGTGGGGCCGAGCCGCGGGGACGGCAGAGCGGCCGCGGGGCCCGCACGGCCCACCACGCTCGGCGGGGAGCCAGTTCCCAGGTAAGGGGTCGGCGCTGCACCTGTCGCGTGCCGCAGGGATGGGAGTCCCGGCGTGGTCCCTCCGGTCCGAGCCGGCCTCCTGGGCAGGGACGGGCTGGGGGCTGGGACGGCGCTAGACCGCGGCTCGGTGGGTGCGCATCCCTACCCCCACCCAGGGGGGCTGTCCAGCTCAGCCGAGCAGCGGAGCCCGCGGTCACCTCCCTGGGGCGGGGCCTCCCACCCTGTCCTCCAGCCGTCTTGAATGCTCTGAGCTTCGCGTGGGGGGGACGGGCGGAGGACGGCCCCTGCGCCCCGGTGACCCTGACCCAGAAGAGCAGCCTCGCGGGCCGAAGCCCCTGCTGCGCTGCCACCAGCGGTCCTGCCCGGGGAGCGGCCCCCGCCGGCCCTGGGCAGCGCGGAGGCACCGGGCTGGTGCGAGGGGCGGGCCGGCGGCGGGCGCTGGAGGCAGCCTCACGTTTCCATGGAGCCGGGAGGCGGCGGGGCGGGAGGGGGAGGGCCCTGAGCGCAGTCGGGGGCTTCCCCGCCGCCCTGCCGCCCTGCCGCCCCCGCCGGCGCTCAGAGGGAGAGGGGCAGCGTGAGCCCTCGCCTCACATGGCCCCACGTGGTCCTGGACTGGCGCCTGGGCCGCGGGTCAGTCCTCCCCAGCCCCAGCACGGCCGGGCTCGGCGTTAAGGCCCAGACTCAGCCGGGTCATTCTCCTGGGTCCCCGGGTCGGGCCACAAGTCTGGGGGCGGGAGGGCGCAGTCGAAGGCCACGTTGGACGTGATACGGCCATCCTGGGCCACCTGGGGAGGTGGGGGCAGGACAGTGTGTGGGCACAGTCGCTAGTCCCCTGTGCCGTGGCCCTGGCCTCCCGCGGCTGGCAGAGGCGGGACACACAGAACTCCCAGGGTCATTCCAGCTCCAAATGGGACCTCGAGTGAGCGCAGGTTCATCCGGGCTGGGCGCCCGCCCCATGGCCACACAGGGCGACTGCCTGTCCCAGGAAAGCCGGCCTCGCCGTGACAAGCAAGACGGGGCCAGGTGACCCAAAAGTCAGCAGGCGCAGCAGCAGCATCCAGCGGCCGGCGCCCCTGTCCAGGGGACCGGCCCAGTAGGGGTCGTCTGGGTCGGCGGTCAGGCCCGCTGGGTTCTTCCTACAGGTGCTTCCGGCCGCCATGGAGCCAGTGGCCAAGGCGTCGACCCAGGCCCGCGGCCAGGGCTGCCCGGCCCGCTGCGCCCCAGGTACGCGGGGCCAGCGTGGGGGTGGGGGGCGGGGGGCGGGAGCGCGGCGGAGCCTCCCTGATGTGCGTCTCCCCGCAGGGCGAGAGCCCCGCCAGGTCTAGTGACTGCAGCCGCCAGCCTGGGGACCTCTTTTAAGATGACCCGCACGGACCCGCCGGACCTGCTGGTGTCGACCGTGTATCAGGATATCAAAGTGGCGGCCCCGGGGCCCGCGTCCCGGCGCCCGCCATGTGAGCGCGCCGAGGCCCGGCCAGCTGCGCCCGCGCCTTTCAACAAGCGCCACTGCCGCAGCTTCGACTACCTGGAGGCGCTGGACGGGGAGGCCATGGAGGCCGGCCGGGAGGCGCCGGCGCCCGAGCCCGCCGCGCCGCGCGCCCGGGCCCGCGAGGGCGAGTCCCGGCGCCGCGCCCGCTCCAAGAGCGCGCCCCGCGCGCCCCCGGGCCTGGCGCCCGCGCCCGCCTCCCCGCCAGTGCAGCCGCGCCGCGGCCGGGAGGCGCAGAAGGCGGCGCACGCGGAGACATCGCCGCGCCGGGAGCCCGCGTACCCCGCGCTGCGCGCGCTCGCCAACGAGCTGCACCCCATCAAGCTGCAGCCGCAGCGCGGCGGCCCCGGCCGCATCGCGCCGCTGTGCGCCGCCTCAGGCCGCTGTGCGCCGCTCGAGCCGCCCCCGGGGCCCGCCCCGCACGTCCGCTGCCGCCTGGACATCAAGCCCGACGACGCGGTGCTGCAGCACGCGGCCAGGGCCTCTCGCTCCTACGGGCCCGCCGACACCTTGCCCTGGGCGCGGCCCGGCCCACAGCACTACGGCCTCACGGTGCCCGGGCCGCGTCACCTGGCGCTGTCGCGCACGCCCACGCCCAGCGACTCTTACTGCGTCGACCCCCGGGCGCTGTACTGCGACGGGCCGCTGCCCGCGCCCCGGGACTACGCCGAGCGCCGGCACCTGCCTTTCACCACTCCGCCGGTCCCCACCCAGTTCTTCTATACCGAGGAGCCCGAGGGCCCCCCTGGGGGTTTTGCGGGGAGCCCTGGGCCCCCCTTCGATGGCTACTATGCCAGGCCCTTCCTGCCCGAGGAGCCCGCGGGGCCCAGCCCCAGGCGCCGGGGCGGCTACTACGAGGGGGAACCGCGCACCTTCCCGGTCCAGGACGCGCCCTCGCGCTCCTACTACTACGGGGAGGACCCCGGAGCCTACGGCGCGCTGGGCGGCGTGCGCTACGGCCCCGAGGACGCGCGGGTTCACCCGGCCTCGCGGCCCTATTACACGGAGGACTTCGGGCGCTACCGCGACCGCGATGGCCTGGCGCGGACATACCCGCACCCGCGCAGCAGCCAGGCCTGGGCTGACTGGGGCCCAAGACCCTACCGGACCCTGCAGGTGGCGCCTCCCCCGGACCTGGGCCCGCTGCTGGCCTCCTGGCACGGCGGCTCGGGTACCAGTCCGCCCCGGCTGGTCACAGACAGCCGCCACTACTCGCGCTCCTGGGACAACATCCTGGCGCCGGGGCCGCGCCGGGAAGACCCGCTGGGGCGCGGCCGCAGCTACGAGAACTTGCTGGGGAGGGAGCCGAGGGGCACATCCCCTGAGGGTCGGCGGCCACCGGTTGTGGTCAACCTGTCCACCTCGCCCCGACGGTACGCTGCTCTGTCGCTGTCCGAGACGTCGCTGTCGGAGAAGGGGCGCGCCGGGGAGGGCCTGGGCCGCAACTGGTACGTCACTCCCGAGATCACCATCACGGACAACGACCTGCGCGGGGCCGAGCGCCCAAGCACGCGGGGCTGGGAGCTGCCCGGGGGGCGCCCGCGCCCGCCGCCGCCCGCCGCCGGCCCCGCCTCCGGTCGGCAGCGCAGCCTGGAGCAGCTGGATGAGCTCATCACCGACCTGGTCATCGATTCGCGCCCCGCCGCCGGCCAGGCCGCCGAAGCCACGGCCGACGGGCTGGGCCGCCAGCTGCGCCGCCTGCTGGACCCTCGGCCCGGGGCCCCCGCACTCGCGCCGCGCTCACCCCCCGCGTCGGCCGGCAGCACCGAGGCGCCCGCAGCCGCGGGCCCCGCGGCCGACGCGTCCCCGGAGCCCAGCGCCGACGAGGACGACCTGATGACCTGCTCCAACGCGCGCTGCCGGCGCACGGAGACCATGTTCAACGCCTGCCTCTACTTCAAGTCCTGCCACAGCTGCTACACCTACTACTGTTCGCGCCTGTGCCGCCGCGAGGACTGGGACGCGCACAAGGCGCGCTGCGTGTACGGCCGCATGGGCAGCGTGTGCCGCCACGTGCTGCAATTCTGCCGTGACAGCGGCCCGGTGCACCGCGCCTTCTCGCGCATCGCGCGCGTGGGCTTCCTCTCGCGCGGCCGCGGGGTGCTCTTCCTGGGCTTCCCGAGCCCGGGCTCCGCGGACAACTTCCTGCGCTTCGGCCTCGAGGGGCTGCTGCTGTCCCCCACCTACCTGTCGCTGAGGGAGCTGGCCACGCACGCCGCGCCCCTGGGCAGCTACGCGCGCGAGCTGGCGGCCGCGGGGCGCCTGTACGAGCCGGCCGAGTGCTTCCTGCTCAGCGTGTCCGTGGCCGTCGGCCCCGGCGCCGCGCCCGCGGGCGCCCCGGCGCGCCCCGCGCCCGCGCCGCGCAGCCCCGGGCCCACGGTGCGCAAGTTCGCCAAGGTGGCGCTGGCGGCTGGCAGCCCGGCGCGGCCGCCTCCGGCTCGCGCCCGCGAGCCCGACATGGAGACGCTCATCCTGACGCCGCCGCCCGGCACGGCCGGCCTGGACCAGGAGGGCGAGGCGGGCCGGCGCGCGCGCGAGGTGGCCTTCATCCACATCCAGCGCGAGCTGCGGTTGCGCGGAGTCTTCCTGCGCCACGAGTTCCCGCGCGTCTACGAGCAGCTCTGCGCCTTCGTGGAGGACAACCGGCGCTTCACGCCCACCACCATCTACCCCACGGACCGCAGAACCGGCCGCCCCTTCATGTGCATGATCATGGCCGCGTCCGAGCCGCGCGCGCTCGACTGGGTAGCCAGCGCCAATCTGCTAGACGACCTCATGTGAGGGGCGGGGCCGCCCGTCAGGCCCCGCCCCTGCTGTCCAAGAGCCCCGCTCGGGCCCGGGGAGCCCGGGGGCCCCAGAGCCCGCTCCTGGCCACCCCAGCACTTCCATCAGGGCCTGCCCGGCCCACGCTTGGGCCCCCTGCCTTCCCCTCCCGGAACTCAGTCCGATCTAGCCCAGCCTCGCTCAGCTCAGACCCCGCTCCTGCGCCCCGAAAGCGCCCGGGCTCCTCGCCTCCCTTCCCTGCTCGCCCCTTGATGTTCCTCTCTGCCTGCTTCTTGGCTCACCCGCCTCCGGTGCTTGGTCCTCGGCCGTTTGGTGCTCCCGGCAGGGAGGCGGGGCGGGTCTGAAGACCGCCTGGCCCAGCCTTCAAGCGCACGGGTCAGTCCTGCAGGACCCGCCCTGCAGACCGGGTCTGTCGGTCGGTCCGAGCCTCTGTCCCCGAGCTGACCCAAGCCGTCCCATCCACCGCGCACCCGGCCACCCCTGACTCCCGCGGGCCTGGTTCCTGGTCCTTGCCTTGGGAAGAGCCCCTGGCTGGCCGGCGGGGGACCCTGCGCAGCGTCCGCACCACTTGGCCTTGCAGCCAGCTCACCTCGGGCCGCCCTGGCCTGGGCCCCGCTTGCGGCTGTATGCGAGAAGGGGAGCGGGGCAGCGTGCGGCTAGCGGCCCGGAGCCCGCACGTGCCCGGTGGGGACGAGGCAGAGCGCAGAGCCCAGCCGCTGGGGTGGGAGGTCGGGCTCCGACCTGCCGGCCTTGGGGAGGTGGGGACTCGAAAGGTGCGTGGCCAGTTGAAGCAAGCCTGGCCTGGCCGCGGCCCCCTCCGCACCTACCCGCTGCAAAGGCGCAGGGGCCGCGGCTGAAGCGAATCGCGACGCTCCCCGCCCGACCCTCGCCGACAGCGCCCTCAGCCGTTCCTGCACACTCGTCGCGCGCCCCCTTCCAGAGTCCGCTCCGGTCCTCGCCTGCCCTTAGGCCGAGTTATTTCCAGAGATGGGCGCTTACCACCCAGTAAACTAAGTCTTGAAAGCCGCCTTTGGAGCCTCATTGTGGGGGGCGGGGCGGGGGAAGGAGGGGACAGTCCCTGCGCGCAAGGGTCATTGGTGGAGGGAGTCGCCGGGACGCGACGGGGCTAGAGTGGCTTCGTGGGTGGGCATCCCTCTGGTTCTGCGCTCGGGATCTCTCCCGCGTGCTCAGGGTTACTCCCGGCGGGGTTTGGGATCTCTCCCGGCAGTGCTCGGGATCTCTCCTGGCTCTGCATTCTGAATCACTCCTGGCTCTGCGCTAAGAATTTCTCCCGCGGTGCTCAGGATTACTCCTGGCTCTGCGGTCGGGATCTCTCCTGCGTGCTCAGGGTTACTCCCGCAGTGCTCGGGATCTATCTTGGCTCTGCATTCGGGATCTCTCCCGGCGGTGCTCGGCGGACCACATGGGGTGCCGGGAATCGAACCCGGTCGGCCGCGTGTACGGTCGCTCCGGTCGCTGCGGCTGCTTTTAGAAAGGCTTTTGTTGGGACGGAGCGTTAGCATGGCGGGTAGGGCGTTTGCCTTGCACGAGGCCGACCCGGGTTCCATCCCCGGCATCCCATATGGTCCCCCAAGCACCGCCAGGAGTAATTCCTGAGTGCAGAGCCAGGAGTGACCCCTGAGCATTGCTGGGTGTGACCCAAAAGGTAAAAAAAAAAAAAAGTCTTTTGTTTCTGTGGCCCTTCCCTACGGGTGCCCCTGCTGGCCTGTTCGCAGCTCTGGCCCTGGGCTGACCCTGGCAGTGACACATTTTCACTGCGGTGCTGGGGGCGAGACGGCTTCACCGTCTGACCGCCGCGGTGAAGCTGGAAACCCCTTGCCTCGTGGACCACAGACGGCACTGCTGACTCGGTCACCAGCGTGTGGGACTCGGGGACTGACTGTCCCCATTCAACCTTTCCGCTAGTCCCGCGGCCCCCTGCACCTTTAAGTGAGACACCGCCGGCTGTAAGGAGCCGGGTTGCGATTGGCCAGTCAGTGCTGCAAACGGTTGCCGCGATTGGCCAAGACTCTGCGCCCGCAGCATGGCCCCACGGGATTGGACCTGGCTCCCTCTGAGCCCGCCCACCGCGCACCGCGCGCCGCGGGATTGGCCGGGGCTTGTCGGCGCCCGCCCCCTCCCGAGTTGCGGAGCCTCAGGCGCTGCGGGCCATGGCGGCGGGCGCTGCGCTGGCCCAGGTCCCCGACGTGGACATCGACCCCGACGGCGTCTTCAAGTACGTGCTGATTCGGGTGCACGCAGCGGCATCCTCCGGCTCCCCGGCCGAGGAGAAGGAAATCGTGCGCGGCTACAAGTGGGCCGAGTACCACGGTGAGGCGGGGCGGGCCGGAACCGGGTCGGCCGGGGCGGTGCGGGGCGGAACCGGGCCGGGCGGGGCGGGGCCGAGCTGGGCCGCGGCCGGGGCGGGGCGGAACCGGGCCGACTGGGGCCGGGGCCGGAACGGGGGGGGGGGGGTGGGGAAGGCTGGAACTGGGCCGGAACCGGGCCGGGCCGGGCGTGGTCCCGGGCCCCCAGCCCCACGCCCCCCGGGGCCGCAGACCCCTGACCTTGCCGCCCCGCAGCCGACATCTACGACAAGGTTTCGGGCGAGCTGCAGAAGAAGGGCTTCGACTGCGAGTGCCTGGGCGGGGGGCGCATCTCCCACCAGGGCACGGACAAGAAGATCCACGTCTACGGCTACTCCATGGTGAGCGCGGCCCCGCAGCTGACGCCGCTGCAGACCCCGGGGGAAGGGGGGGGCGCGGGGAGGAGCGCGGAGTCCCGCTGCAGACCCCGGGTGGGGGTCCTGGGAGGGCGCGGATCCCCCGCTGCAGACCCGGAGGAGGGGCACGGAGAGGGGCGCAGGCCTGCCGAGGACCTGAGAACCTGGAGGCGTGCCACAGGCCAGGCTGTCTCCGAACTCTGGCTGGGAGGTTCAGCTTCTCCCTGTGCCTTCCACCAGCCTCTGCCCGCTCCAGGGCGCCTCCCAGTGTTCCTCCCCCACACTGGGTTGCTAAGAGGCTGCTGTTTGCAGGGCTTCGGGCGCGCCCAGCACTCCATCTCCTGCGAGAAGATCAAAGCCATGTACCCGGGCTACGAGGTCACCTGGGCGGACGAAGGCTACTGAGACTGGCCAGCTCCAGCAGCGCCTTTGGACTCTGCACTCCTGGGGACCCTCTTGGGGGCTGTTGCACCCCTGGCACGGGGACTGAGCCCAAGGACCCGGGAATTAAAGCCTGCCATCCTGGCCTTTAGCCTTTGGTACCGTGTCTCGCCTTCTTACCCTGGGGTACCCCTCGTGGAATGCACACGCAATTCTTGGGGTCTGATAAGGGCCCGGCTTTTATGGCCTGATGGCCCCTCTGGCCCCCGAGGACTTGGAAGGACACAGAACTCCAGAAAGGAGCAAGCACTTAGCGCCTGTCCTGGGGTTGCCAGCACCCCTGCGCCTCACAACCACACTCAGAGGGACAGTCAGGGCACCCTGGAGCCAGGCACCTTGCTGCAGGGCTGTAGCAGCCCTGCACCACTTACTGGGAGCTCCTGTGGCCCAGAGGCACCGGCGCCCCGTCCCAAGTCTGTCCGTGCAGGTGGCCGCAGGGAAGCTCATGAGGAAACTGAAGCTCAGTCCCGCCCTGCCTGCGAGTCAGCAAATACCCACATTGCATCGGGCGAGTGCCCAGCTGCCCTGGGGCCTGGGTGGGGCAGCAGGCATGACCTTCGGTCTGGAGCCCACCCATGGCAGGGCCCCCAGGGGCTTTTACAGCCCAGACTCCTCCTCACCACAGGTGGGGCCCCTGAGCCAGCCCCACTTAATAGGGCTGCAGCCACAAGCCGGGCAGGTCCCTGTGGGAGCTGCATCCCTGGCCCGGCCATGCGCCCACCCTGCGCCCTCCGAATGCTGCTGCTGCTGCTGGGTGAGTGGGCCTGGGATCAGCCTGAAACACTGCGGGGCCCCGAGGGCCTCCTGCCCTTCCTGCCTGGGTGAGCGCGGTGCGTGGTCGACCACCACAGTCACCTGCTGCTCTCTGGACAGCTGGGTCCCCTGGCTGGACCTGGACCCCACAGCTCTGCAAGGCCCCTCGCGAGGCAGTGTGCGACTTCCTGTGTGACTGCCAGGGCTGTGCCGATGAGGCCCAGTGTGGTGAGCCGGGCTGGCCCCGGGGCCGGTGTGGGCCGTGGGCAGCAGGCTTCAGGCAGGGTGGCCTCAAGCCTCACGGACCCTCGCCACCCAGGTCACCACGGAGCCGCCTCAGGCACCTCGTTCTCCTGTGACTTCGAGCAGGACGCCTGTGGCTGGCAGGACATCAGCACCTCAGGCTACAGCTGGCTGAGGGACCGGTCTGGAGCCACACTGAGTGGCCCAGGGCCACATGCAGACCACACTCGGGGCACTGACCTAGGTGAGGCGCGGGCAGGCGCTGGTGTAGCCCCCTGCCTGCCCCTGCTGCCCCCTGACCTGTCCCCCGGCCAGGCTGGTACATGGCTGTGGGCACCCACCGCGGGAAGGAAGTGGCCACGGCGGCCCTGCGCTCCCCGGTCCTGCATGAGGCTGCCCCGGCCTGTGAGCTACAGCTGTGGTACCACGTGGGCTCTGGAGGTACGGCCGGATCCCCAGGGGGCTGGGGAGGGCAGCGGGGACCATGGCAGCTGCCTGAGGTCCTCCCTGCAGATGCGGCTGAGCTGCGGCTAGAGCTGACCCACGGCACCGAGACCTTGACTCTGTGGCACCGGGCCGGCCCGGGGGGCCCCGGCTGGCAGGAGCTGATGGTCAACACTGGCCGAGTCCGGGGCAGCTTTTGGGTGAGCACCCGTGTCCTGTGGGATGGTGGGGCAAGGCCGCATGGTCCTGAGGCCCCTTGCCCCTCTTAAGGTGACCCTGTCGGCCACTCGCAACGCCACCCACAGGGGCGCCGTGGCTGTCGATGATGTGGCCTTCCGGGCCTGTGCGCTGCCAGGTAAGCTGAGCCGGGCCGCTAACCCCTGAGGGCAGGCGCCCCCCACCCCGGCTGACCACCCCATAGCCCCCCAGGCACACTGCCCCCTGGGTCACCACCGCTGCCAAAACTCAGCCTGTGTGGAGCCGCAGCAGCTGTGCGATGGGGAGGCCGACTGCAAGGACGGCTCGGACGAGGCCCCAGCAGCCTGCAGTGAGCTCCCGCCTGCCACCCCCCCCCCCATCCCCCAGGTGGGGCCCACCTGAGCACCTCCTCCCCCAGGCAGCCACACCACCGCTGACTTCGAGTCGGGCCTGGGCCTGTGGAACCAGTCTGAGGGCTGGTCCCGGAACCGCAGCGCCGGGGGACCCCAGCACCCCAGCTGGCCGCGCCGTGACCACAGCCGTAACAGCGCTTGGGGTGAGCCTCGGGGCCCGGCTGCCTCCGCGCCCACCCCTGGCCGGGTCCCCGACTCCCACTCTCTCCTCAGGCTCCTTCCTGGTCTCCCAGGCCCCGCCCGGCTCCCCGGCTCTGCTCTCCAGCGCCCTGTTCCAGGCTTTGGAGCTGCACAATTGCTCAGTGAGGCTGGTGGCGGCGGTGGGTCCTGCCTGGCCCGGCGCTGCGGTGCCCCTGACTCCCCTCCCCTCCACAGCTCACCTTCTACCTCTACCTGCACGGCTCCGAGGCTGGCTGCCTGCAGCTCTTCCTGCAGCCTGGCAGCCCCAGCGCCCCCGGGACCCCCACCCTGCTGCGCAGGCGCCGTGGGGAACTGGGGGCCGCGTGGGTGCGAGACCGGGTGGACATCCACAGCCCGCACCCCTTCCGAGTGAGGCTGGCAGGGTGGCAGGGTGGGCAGGGGAAGGCCGTGGGGAGCGGGCGTGGGCTGGTGAGGACAGGGCTGGCAGGAGACACACAGAGCACCCCAGCTGCTCCCTCTGAGCCCCTCATCCCTAGATCCTCCTGGCTGGGCAAACGGGCCCAGGGGGTGTCGTGGGCCTGGACGACCTCATCCTGTCAGAGCACTGCAAGCCTGTCCCAGGTGAGCTATGAGGTCCATCCCCCTGATGAGTATCCCCCCCAGACACACCCTGAAAAGTGTCCCCACAGACACACCCTGAGTGTCCCCACAGACACACCCCATTTGCTTGCCGTGCTCCGGGCCCCAGCACCTCTCCCCGGGGACATCTGTAAGCCGGGACATTTGGCCTGTGGGGACCTCTGTGTGCCCCCGGAGCAACTGTGTGACTTCCAGCCGCAGTGCACGGGGGGCGAGGACGAGCAGGAGTGTGGTAAGGCCCTGGGCGCAGGCGAGGGGTCCGGGCGGGGTCAGGCACGCAGCACTCCACTTTGCAGGTGCTTTGGACTCCGAGGCACTCACAGCTGGGGGCTGGGAGGACGCCAGCGCGGGACGGCTGCAGTGGGCATGGCAGCAGGCCCCGAGGAGGCACGGGACACGGGCGACAGGTGAGGAGAGTTGGCTTCTGGCAGGGCGGCCGGGCCTGACCCCCAGCCCCGGCCCCACGTTGCTCCAAGCGGCCACCCTCCTCGTGCAGGGCCTGTCTTGTCCATCCAGAAGGCCTGGGGTCAGCTGTCAGCCGAGGCTCGCACCCTCACGCCTGCCCTGGGTCCCTCGGGCCCCGGCTGTGAGGTGCACCTGACTTATCACTTCCAGAGTTGCCCGCAAGGTACGGCCTGGCCTGTGAGCCTGAGGGTGGGCTCCCGGGCAGCGGGGCTGGGGGTCCTGACCACGCTGCCCTGCACTAGGCTTCCTGGCACTGGCCGTGGTGGAGGGCGACAGCCGGGAGTCGGTGTGGCAGGCCTCGGGCAGCAGCCCGGCCTGGGAGGTGGCCGTCATCCCGCTGGGGGCCCGTGGCCAGCGCTTCCGGGTAAGGAAGGGGCGGGAGGGATGGGAGGGCTGGGGGCACCGCTGCCCTGCCTCAACCTCCCCTCTCTGCGCCCACCCAGCTGGAGCTGACGGGCCTGCTGAACCTGGAGGGGCCCGGCCAGCAGGGCGCAGAGGTGGCCCGGGTGGCCCTGAGGAACTGCAGCCCAACTGCCATCAGTGCCAAGGACGAAGGTTCCTGCCAACACCCCCCAGCCCCCCCGTCCCCCTCAGGCCTGGCCAGGTGTGCTGACCCCTGCTACCCTCAGAGGTCTCCTGCAACTTCGAGCGGGACATGTGCGGCTGGTACCCTGGCCACCTCACCGACGCCCACTGGCAGCGGCTCCAGAGCCAGGGCCCCGAGTACGACCACACCACAGGCCGAGGTAGACTGCTGGGCTCGGGGCCCCAGGTCCTCAGTCGCGGCACCAGGGGAGCAAAACCTCATGCCCAGCCCTGCCACTGCAGGCCACCTGATGCTCCTGGACCCCACCAGCCCTCCGGCCCGGGGCCCGGAGGCGCTCCTGCTCACACGGCCCCAGACTCCAGCCACTTCTCCCCAGTGCCTGTCCTTCTGGTACCGCCTCTCAGGGCCCCAGATCGGTGAGCCCACCCGCAAGTCAACCTGTCTGCAGAAGGTCGCCAGGACCTTAGTGCCAGGACCTTAGGGCCTCCAGCCCCCCCTCCCCCATGCAGGGACGCTGCGCCTGGCCCTGAGGCGGGAAGGAGAGGCTGAGACCACGCTGTGGTCCTGCTCGGGCACCCAGGGCAACCGCTGGCACCAGGCATGGGCCACACTCCTCCACCAGCCGGCCTCCGACGCCAAGTACCAGGTAGGGCCCAGGCAGGGACAGGGCAGGGCGCCGGGCTGGCCCCAGCCCGACCACACCCAACACCTCCCCGCACAGCTCCTGTTCAAGGGTCTCCGGAATGGCTTCCACGGCACCATGGCACTGGACGATGTGGCCGTGCGGCCAGGCCACTGCTGGGCCCCCAAGCATTGCTCCTTCGAGGACTCTCAGTGCGGCTTCACAGGGGACCAGGACCTCTGGCGGCGTCAGAACAATGCCACAGGCCACGCCACCAAGGGCCCCCCCGTGGACCACACCACCCAGACCGCCCAGGGTGCAGGCTCGGAGGGGGTCAGGTGGGGCCTCAACTAAGGGGCAGCACCCAGCAGTGTGAACTGACCCGGGCACCCCACAGGGCACTACATAATGGTGGACACGAGCCCACAGATCCTGCCCAGCGGCCACGTGGCCTCACTGACCTCAGAAGAGCACAGCCCACTGGCCCAGCCCGCATGCCTGACCTTCTGGTACCACCTGAGCGCCCAGAACCCAGGTGAGAGGCCAAAGGCGCCAGGGGATGCTTGCTGGGGCCACACTAGCTGATGGCACTGTCCCCCTCAGGCACACTGCGGGTCAGTGTGGAAGGGGCCCTGCAGGAGTCGCCGCTGAGCATCAGTGCCCACGGGGGCTTCGCCTGGCGCCTGGGCAGCGTGGACGTGTGGGCCGAGCGCACCTGGAGGGTAAGTGCGGGGGGCGGGGGATGCAGCCTGGCGCAGGCTCAGCCGGTCCCTCTGCAGGTGGTGTTCCGGGCAGTGGCCGCAGGCGTGGAGGACTCCTACGTGGCCCTGGATGACCTGCTTCTCCAGGACGGGCCCTGCCCGCGGCCAGGTGAGTCCTTCCTCCTGGGTGTACTGGCCGCAACCACCCTGAGCTGCCCGGGCTGGGCCTGAGGAGGTGGTCACTGCCACCCACCGTCCCTCCCAGCCTCCTGCGACTTTGAGGCGGGCCTGTGTGGCTGGAGCCACGTGCCATGGCCCGACACGGGCCGGTACAGCTGGGACTGGAGCAGTGGGGCCACACCCTCCCGCGAGCTGCAGCCCCCAGTGGACCACACGCTGGGCACAGAGGCAGGTGGGTCTGCAAGGGGATGGGGCCCCAGAGCCACTCCGGGACCATGGTGATGCCTGCTCTCACCCCCAGGGCACTTCGTGCTCTTCCAAACCGGCGTGCTGGGCCCTGGGGGCCTGGCTGCCCGCCTCCACAGCCAGCCCCTGCCCGCGACCCCGGCCTCCTGCCTGCGCTTCTGGTACCACATGGCCTTCCCTGAGCATTTCTGTGAGTGGGCCTGGTGGCGGCTTGGGCTGGGCGGGCCCTTGGCCCTGGGCCTGGGGGCTGACCCTGCCCGACTCAGACAAGGGCCAGCTGAAGGTGTTGCTGCTCAGTGCCCGAGGCCAGCTGATCCTGTGGGGTGCGGACGGGAGCCACCGGCACCAGTGGCTGGAAGGCCAGGTGGACGTGGCCAGCACCGACGAGTTCCAGGTAAGCCGGATGCAAGTCGGAAACACTCAGTCCTCAGGGGACGGCATCCCTCTCGGAGTCCAGCAGCCTCTCTGGCCTGGCAGATCGTGTTTGAAGCCACTGTGGGCAGCCAGCCAGCCCTGGGACCCATCGCCCTGGACGACATTGAGTATCTACCTGGGCAGCAGTGCCAGCTGTCCAGCCCCGACCAGGGTGAGCACTGCCCAGGCAGTTGTCCCCTACCTCGGGCCAAGCGGTTCCTGGTCCCCCAAGTCTGCCTCTGCTCGACCCCCCAGCACCCTGTACCCCGAACCCCAATCCCCGGGCAGGAAGCGGTTCCTGGAGCAGGAAGCTGACTGCGGACTCATGTGACCCACAGGACACAGGGCTACGGCCACGTGGGTCCCGGCTGCAGTTGGCGGTGCCCTCATCCTACTCACACTGCTGGCATTTGGGAGCTGGCACTGGCTGGCACGGAGACGTGGCTGCCCGCTGCAGGACGAGGCAGCTACAGCCCCAGGCTTTGACAATGTTCTCTTCAATGCGGTAGAATCCCGTGGGGGGCCGGGAGGTGGGGCTCCCGCTCGGCCAAGACCCTGACCAAGCATGCTCCTCCCCGCAGGACCGTGTCTCCCTCCCAGCAGCACTCAGCAGCAGCCCGGCCCCCAAGAGCTAGGAAGACATGTGACACCCCCCTCCCCCACCCTGACAATAAATGGTCTGCCCATGTCCGTGCCCTGCAGCTCTGCGACCCGTGTCACCTGCCCTACCCCACCCAAGGGGCCAATCTCAGGGGCTCCAGGATGGGGCACAGGCCACACATGTGGGGTCAGGGGCACCAGCACGGGGTCCGCCCCACCCACCTCCTGAGTTATCAAGGCACAAAGGTTGGAAGCCAGAGGCTGAAGTGATAGCACAAGCGGGGAGGGTGTGTACCTTGCACGCAGTCGACCCGGGTCTGAGTCCCAGCATTTCATATCCCAAGTACTGCCAAGAATAATTCCTAAGTGCATGAGCCCTGTAGGAGTAACCCCTGACCATCGCCAGGTGTGACCCCAAAATAAAAAACAAAACAAAAACAAAGGTCAGAGGCCAAGCCACACTCTGTGGCTGGTCCACCAGGAGGTGACCTTTGGGTAGCTGCAGACACAGGCCCCCCGGCACTGACCCCCACTCCACAGCGAGCGGAGACAACAGAGGCCACCAGGATGCCCCTAGAAAGCCAATCCAGGTCCCTGCAGCCCTGCCATCACCGACCTGGCCCCAAGCCCAGGCTCAATCTGCTCCCAACAGATGCCGGGGCGGGGAGCCAGGGACAGACACAGCTACCCACAGGCCACAGGCCAGGGTGTACCACGGCCGGGCTGACTCCGCAGACCTCTCTGCAGTGGCAGCTCCCGCAAGCAGCTCTGCAGCTCCGAGGTCCCGCCACAGGCAGACACCGACAGGCAAGGGTCTGCACCCCCCTACAGGCTGGCAAGGACAGAGTCACGAGAGGCCGACACTTTGCAAGGTTTAGTGTGTTTCACAGGGGAACCAGGAAAGGGGTCCCCAGCGGCACGGCCGCCCTTGTTCCGCTCGGCCACGAGAGGCCACGCTGGCATCAGAGGCCAGAGGCCACTGGCCAGACGAGATCAGTCGGAACGCACTGACTCCGAGGCTTTGCGGTCATTTCGCCTTTGGCCCCTTCTCGATGGGCTTCCCGATGTCCTTCCCCCGGAGCTTGAGGCCTGGAAGGGCCAGGGGGTCAGTCAGCACCTCTCCCAGGCAGTGGGCCGGCACCCAGCCTGGCTGGCACTCAGCACGCCCAGTGTCACCTGCTCCCACCACCCTGACCCCAGGCAAGAGGGGACTCTTCCCAGGGTGCCGGCCCTCAGCCACCACCTGGCAGGCCCGAAGGACTCACCAATTGCTCTCTCGATCTTGCCCAGAACCTGGTTATTGGGAATGGCCCGTCCACTCTCATAGTCTGCAATGACCTGTGGCTTCTCATTGATTTTCTAAAGGACAGAGAACGCTCCCCCACATCAGCCTCTCAAGAAACAGGCCACACCCGCTGGAAGGTTGACTCCCCGGGCCCCCAGCACACTCACCGTGGCCAGGTCCTTCTGGGTCAGCCCCTTGCTCTGCCGGCCCTGCTGGATCACCTTGCCCACCTCCAGGGTCACCCGGTCGTGGTGCAGCTCCTCCGTCTCCCGGTCCAGCTTGGCCGTGTTCTTGGTGATGGAGTGCTGCTTATTCTGGCCAGCAGCCCCTGGGCGCCAAGCCAGGACAGGTCAGCACCCAGCCCCAGGGGAGGGTTTCCAAATAAGCCCGGGGTGCTCCCAACTGACTCCTGGCAATAGGCATGCCCCCCGCCCCGGCCCAGGCCCCCACCCTAATGCCAGGGAACAGAGAACCTACATTTCTTGGATGTTTCCACATCTTCTCCCCGTCTCTGAGCTGCTAAGATGGCCTGAGAAGCAGAGAACGTACTTAGGTCAGCGGAGCTGGGGTGCTGGGCTGGGGCACCCCCTCCAGAGACACCCCACACTTACCCATCGGCAAGCATGAGACATCACATACTGTTGCCAAACTCTGCCCACTCGTGCTTGGGTTTGGGGCCACACCTAGAGGTGCTCAGGGCCTAGTCCTGCATGGGCTGGGAACTCTGTGCAGTGCTAGGTTCTGAACCCGGGCCAGCGGCGGGCAAGGCAAAGCCCTTTCCTGCTGGCCGGTCTCTGCAGCCCTTAGCGCTTACTTAAAATTTTATTTAGTGGGTCCAAAGTGACAGAATAGCAGATGGGGCATTTGCTTTATACACAGGCCTACCCAAGTTCGATCCCCAGCACCCCATACATATGACCCCCAAGCACTGCCAGAAGTAATTCCTGAGCACAAGGCCAGGAGTAATCTCTGAGCATTGCTGAGTGTAACCCTAAAATCAATTTGCTTTGTTTTGTTTTTTGGGGCCACACTAGGTGGTGCTCAGGGATCACTCCTAGCAGTCCTGTCAACCTACGGGATGACAGAGATTGAACTGGGGTCTGCCCCGTGCAAGGCAAACACCATCCAGTGTACCATCGCTCCATCACCAAAACCAAAAAAAAAAATACTGACTTCAATTTTGGAGCCCGGATAGTCAGGCACTCACCCAGGACCAATCCCCAGCACCCCACAGGATCCCTCAGCCCTAGCAGGAGTGACCCCTGAGCCCCACCGGCGGCGATCCCCCTCCCCCAAATTCTTTCTCACTGGTGCCGCTGACGGCACCCCGGGCCTCTGGTCACGTGTCAGGCAGGCACTCAGCTCTGCCTAGGATCCTTCTAGGAGCGATCCGGGGCCAGGCCCTGCGTCCCCGCTGCGGGCGGGGCCAGAAAAGGCGCTTCCGGGGACCCTCGGAGGTGGCTCCAGGTCGCCCCAGGCGAGACGCGCTTGTTAAACCTCCTTCCCAGCAAGGTTTCGCCGTATTCCTGGCGAGCCTCACGCATGCGACCGCGGCCAGTGCCCGCCACCTGCGGCTGCCTGAAGCGGAACGGGCGCGGGGACGGGCGCGGGGCCTGCCTGCGGGGCCTGCCCGCGGAGCATTCCCGATCCCCCGCCCCAGACAACAGAGAAAACGGGGCTCGGCGCGCGGACGGAGCCCCAACCTCTGGCCGCGTCCGCCCGGCCCGGCACGGCCCCGCGCCCCGCACCCCGCCAGGCTCGGCCCCGTGCCCCGCCCGGCCCCGCGCCCCGCCGGGCCCGGCCCCGCGCCCGCACCCCGCCCGCCCCGCGCCCGCACCTGCTTGGACTTGGCCTGCGCGGCCGTGGGCCCCTTCTTGCGCAGCACCGTCACCGTGTCCCAGTCGCTCTCGGCCATGGCGGGTCGGTCCGGCGGCTCCGCGGCAGCTGCTAGAGCCCGGCGCAGCTACGCGACGTCCCAGCGCTTCCGGCGGCCCCGCCCCCGCCCCTCATTGGCCCGCGGGCCGGGGGGCGGGCACTTCCCGTGGCCCGGCGCCAATCCGCGCGCGGCTCGGGGAGGGGGCGGGGCGGGCGCCGCCGGGTGACGGCGGGGCCGGGCGGGGCCGCTGCCGGCGCGGGGGCGCGACGTGGGCGGCGGCTGGGGGGGGCGCCGTGGGGGCGGGAGCGGCTGCGTCACGCGGGGGAGCGACGGGTCCCGGACCAAGACGGGCGGGACAGCCCCCGAGGGTCCGCCCCCGCGCCGGGCACCCCGAGGCCGGCCTCCCCAGCACCCTGCGGCCTGGCGCGGGGCTTCCCGGGCACCCACTGTCGCGGGCCGCTGGCGCTGAGGCGTGGGCGATGAGGGACCTGAAGAAAGCCGTAAATTGGTTAAAACCGTCTTCTGGGGCGTGGCGCCAGACCTCTGGCCGCCCAGCCCTGCTTGCTGCCCTGTTTGATTTCTCGACCATTTTGCTTGCTCTTTTGCCTGAACACCACCATTAGTCAGTGGGAAAAAATGAATTTAGTGATTTTTTTTTCCACTCAGTCACATATAATTTGCATTCGTAAGACCTGGGAGACTTGGGGCTCTGAGGGAGGGAGAGAGAGGAGAAAGAGAAGAGAGGAGGGAGGGAGAGAGAGAGATGAGGAAAGATGAGCCGTTCTTGGGACTGACGGGTGTACCGCTTTGACAGCAGCATCTGGGCTTCAAACAGGGGCTTTTCCAGAACAATCAACAAGTTGATGCTCTTCAAACAAGAATTTTAAAACTTCTTTTGTTTTACAGTATTATTAATGCTGGTCTCCCAGGTACACTAGCACCCTCACCAGTATACCACTCCCCTCCTTCAAGGGCTCCAATACCCCCACTTTTGCGGGTCAGTTCTCCCCTTTTGTTGCCTTGACCCTTCACTGCTACCTCGCTGTGTCTTTTTTTTTCTTTTAAGACTTTGAAAATAGGTTTTAGTTTTATTATGTAGGAAACATAATTTGAATAGAACCAGCAAATTATTTATTCAAACTGGTTTTCAAGTTGTCCTATTCATAGCAATAGGTCTTAATTTGAACCCTAAGCATGTGAGACTGAGAATTTAGAGACGAGGACAACTAAATAAAATTTTGTACTATTTTTAGTCAGCCTAGAGATACCAGGCAGGGGGAAGGAGATAACATTCTCTTTTGAGGTTCATCTAATCTTTAGAATCCAGATTTTTACATAAAGCTATGATCTAGAGGATATACATTAAAGATATACATGCAATAAATCTTCACTCGCTGTGTCTCTGAACCCCACATGAGAGACCCTCTGCTTACCCCTTTCCTTCTGACTGACTTCACTCAGCATGATACACTCTAGTTTCACACATGTCAAGGCAACTTGTATGATTTTGTTCTTTCTGCATAGTATTCCATTGTGTATACAAACCAAAACTTTTTAATTTTGGTTTTGAGTCACACCTGGTGGTGTTCAGGGCTTTCCCTGGCTCTGTGCCCAGGGACCTCCTGGTGGGACAGCAGGGATCAAACCCGTTTGCCACATTGAAGGCAAATGAGCTCTAGCTCATTCCTCTCTTTCTCTGCCCCCATGTCTAAAAAAACTTCTTTCAGCAAAAACTATTGGGGCCAGAGAGACGATGCAGTGGGTAGGGTGTTTGCCTTGCACACCGCTGATCCAGGTTTAATCTGTGGCATCCCATATGGTCCTTGATCCCACAAGAGCACAACTGGCCCCAAACCAAAAATAAATAGAAACTTGGCTCAGAATTTAAAAAAAAAAAAACTATCTTGCTTCACTAATAGAAAAAAGCAACCCATTCCTGTCCAGAGGGCAGGGCCGTTCCTCCCCAGGGTCAGTCAGACTGAAACATCCTGCTACATAGCGGCCACCTCCTTCTCATCTGCTTTTCTGAGCAGGGTTATTCCGGGAACCACGTGTGGATACAGGTTCGTCCTCTTGCGGCAGGCTCGCCACCGCCTCCCACTACCGTCCTCCAGGCTTGTCTGCTGTGTGGCTGTGTTAGACTTTCCTTCCCTTTTAGTGTGGCGCCAGGGTCTTCCCCGGCATGGCCCTCGGGGGACGCTGCGGTGCTCTCAGCCCGGCCTCCAGGAGGCGGGTTGTGGATGATGCCGTGGCACCATTCAATTTCCCCCCTTCGGTATTACTGTTGGGGATGAGTCACATGCGTGGTTGCAGTGTGCCGGACATGACATGCTCTGTGGTGGGGCAGAGTTCAAGCGGCGGGCCTCAGCCCTGGACATGTGGGGCCTGAGCCCACCCCAGGCCTGGGTTCCCTGTCAATCTAGAGGCACCCCTCCGGATGCTGAGCAGGGTGCTGACAAAACTGCCAAAGGAAATCCAGTATGGGGACCAAACTCCGGGCCTCACGGCCAAGGACCGCCCCCCCAGTTCTGGCATATGTCTCGGGTCCCTTCTGCTGGCCACCAGCTATGCAAGTCTCCGTGCCTCCTTGGCGTGGCCAGCTGCTGGCTTGGAGAACAGAGCAGTGGCCCCTGGGCTGTGAGCTGTAGCCCTGGTCCCAGTGATGAACGTCTCCTGCCTGGGGGCCATTTGTGTGTCTTCTTTGTAGGAATGTCCATTTTATGTAATATTATTTGATGCCACAGCCAGCAGTGCTCAAGAATCACTCCTGGCAGAACTCCGGGGTACCAGGGATTAACCTTGGTTGACCCCGTGCAAAGCAAGTGCACTACCCACTTGTGCTGTCTCTCTGGCCCCCTTGAGCTGTTGTTTTGGTCTGTGCCTGGCTGAGCGTAGAAACTTGCTCCCAGAGGTGGGGAACCAGCTTTCCCAGCAGAGCCTGGGGAAGCAAGGAAGGACAGTGACAGGAGGCCGGCCGAGGGTCAGACCCCCTGGGTTGAAGTCTCAAACTCAGGGGCTAGCAAGCTGACAGGTGGGCACCCCACCAAGAACAGCAGAGGTGCTGGAGGGGCGATCCCCAGGTGCCCTGGAGCTTCCCAGGCGTTCCCCAGCAGGCCTGGCAGAGGCAGAGCCGTGTCAGTGGGGTGGGGGGGAAGGGAACGGACAGGACGTGGCCAAGTGGGAGCTGAAGCAGCTAGTGGCCCTGTCCTGGGAAGCCTGTGGGAGTGGGGGTGGGGACCCCCAGTGGTGTGTCTGGAGGCGGGTGGAAAATCTGCGGGTATCTTGGCTAGCTTGTCTCCCAGGCGGGGAGGGGGGGGAATTTGGGGTGATCTGTGTTTTCTTCCGGTACTTTTTGGTGTTTTCCGGTGACCTGCTGCTGCGGCCAAGGCCACGAGAAGAGTGAAAGTGACGTCATCATGAGAGTGTGTGGAGCACAGGGACACGCCCCCAGCACGCACGCATGCAAATTGGTGCACACACAAGTGTGGAGATTGCTTTCCCTCTGCCCAGGACCCTGTGAGATTGGGGGGGAGGGGCAGTGTAGCTCCTCAGCGGGGTGAGGCTGTGTGAGTGGCCGCTCCACACCTCCTTACTCTTTCCTGCCTTGCGGAGGGGATGTGGCCCCTTCAGGCACTCCAGTACCCCCAGGCAGATCCAGGTGAAGCTGGCTGCCTTATAAGGCACCTCAAAAGCCAAGGGGCGGGGTCAGCGGGTTCCCAAGTCAGGAATGGGTGAGGGTTGGGCTGTGTGCCAGAGAGGGGGCAGTGGCGGCTGGGACAGCTGATGGGCCTCTCAGGCAGGGGGACCTCTGTATCCCCTGGAGCCCACTGGTTGCCCCTGCCCTCCAGCATGGGCTGCAGTTTCACTTTCTTTCTGGCTGGGAGGAAACTGCATGGGAATCCCCTGAGCTGCCAAGCCGAGAGAGAGACTCACCCCTTCCCCAGCAGCAGGGCTGGAGAGTAGCACCCCCAGGTACTTGCTGGGCTTTGGTGGGTTCTTAGGGGAGGCCCTGGCTCCTACGGGGCCAGCTCAGCCTGGGGCCCACAGCGTGCCGGCTGCAGCCCTGAGCTCCAACCTGACCTGTGGGACTCTTCCTGTTCTGCATCCCAGGGGAATTCTGGCTCCAAACAAAGTCAGGATCTATGCAAGGTGCCAGCCCTTTAAAGCACTCTGAAGCCTGTTCGCTTTCCAGTTGTTCCATCCTGGGCCGTCCCTCCCTGTGAACTGAGGTGGAGGCCCAGAGAGTGCAGCCAGCTTAGGGGTGTCAGTCCTGGGAAGCTCCAGCCCCTTCACTAACAGAAAATGAGGGCTGGCCCCAAGCCCCCACAAGGGGCAGCTGGCTGTTCCTTGGGGCTTAGTAAGGCCAAGAGCATCCACAGACGACTGAGCCCCTCATCTCACAACCTCCTCCCAGGGCTGACCTTTATTATCTTTTCTTCTTTCTTTTTTTTTTTCTTTTTGGGTCACACCCGGTGATGCTCAGAGGTTACTCTGCACTCAGGAATTACTCCTGACTCAGGGGACCATATGGGATACTGGGAATTGAACCGAACTGGATTGGCCTGTGCGAAGCAAATGCCCCACCTGCTGTGCTATGGTCCAGCCCCTCTTTTTTTTTTTTTTTTTTTTTTTTTGGTTCTTAGGCCACACCCAACTGTGCTGAGGGCTTAACTCCTGGCTCTGAGCACAAAGATCATTCCTGGTGGTGCTGGGAGGACCATATGGGGTTCCGGGGATTGAACCCAGGTTAACCCTGTGCCAGGTAAATGTACTACCCAGGGCTGGAGTGATACCAGGGCTGGAGTGATAGAGCAGTGGGGAGGGTGCTTCCTTGCACATGGCTGAACTGAGTTTGATCCCCAGCATCTCATCTAGTGTCCCAAGTACAGCCAGGAGCGAGCCTCAGTGCAGAGCCAGGAGTTACCCCAAAGCATCCCTGAGCGAGGGCCCTGCAAAACAAGACCAAGCAAGTAACAAAAACACCTTGCGGTACTCACTGTCCTATTGCCCAGCCTCTGTTTTTTTTCTGACCCAGGCTACAGCCTCCTTTCTGGATGTTTCCCTTAGTTTGCTCCGTATTTCCATGCGTTTGAAAGAAAAACTGTGCTTGGGTGTGTATGTGTGAGTGTGGCCTTGTAAAATCCACATTACATAAATGTCACCATTGCAATTCTTTTTTTTTTTTTTTTTTGCTTTTTTGGGTCACACCCGGCAATGCGCAGGGGTTCCTCCTGGCTCTGCGCTCAAGAATTACCCCTGGAGGTGCTCAGGGGACTATATGGGAAGCTGGGAATCGAACCCGGGTTGGCCGCGTGCGAGGCAAACGCCCCATTCGCTGTGCTATTGCTTCAGCCCCTTCGATTTTTTTTTTTTTGTTTTTCGTTTTTATTTGTTTTTTGTGTTTGGGCCACACACAGCATTGCCGCTGGCTCTGCTCTCAGGGATCCTGTTCGAACCCGGGACGGGCACGTGTACAGTGAATAGTTCACGATTGGCGCTATTTTGAGTCTGATTCGGCCCTTCACCTCCTGCGCCTTAATACCTCTGACGTTGCAGAGCCTCTAGTGTGACCTAAACTACGGTTGGTTCGGCTCTGGGCACGCTCTGGACGGCCCGGCGCCCTGGGCCTCACTCCGGGTCGGGACGCGCGTCCGGGCGGAGCGAACGGTGGGCCAGCACGGGTCACCGCCGGACAACCTACGGGGCTCAGCTCGCGAGCAGCGGCCGCCGATTTAAGTACCCGCGCCGCGACAGACCAGCCAATCGGCGCCCGCAGCGGCTGCCTGAGCGCGTCTGATAGGCCTACGCGCCCGCCCGTCAGGAGGGCTGGTTGGGGGCGGGCAGGAGTTTGACCAATCGGCGCCCGCTGCGGCTGCCTGAGCGCGCCTGGTAGGCCCATGCGCCCGTCCGTCAGCGGGTTTGGGGTGGGCCCGCGTGGCAGCGGCGGCTGCCGGCTGGCGCTCAGTTCCGGGCGCGCGGCTAGTGTGGGGGTGAGTCGGGGTCGTGGGGGTCGTGCCGCCTCGAGGTCTGGGGTCGCGCCGGGCGTCGGGGGCTGCGGGGCTACCGGACGAGGGCTGGGCGGGCGCCCGCGGGCTGGAGCCGGAAGCCGAAAGTCGCGGGGCCCCGGGAAAGTTGGTGGGCCCGGGGCGGGGTCGCGCGGGGTCGCCGGGGTCGCGGGACCCGCCCGCGCCCGCCCGGACCCGCCGGGGGAAGTCCCCGCGCCGTCCGGGCGGTCAGTGCAGGTCAGTGGGCAGGCCCCGGCCCCGCCCGTAAGCGCCCCGCGTCCCCCGGGAGTGCCCTCAGCGCGGCTGCCGGCCCCGGCCGGGGTGGGCGCCGAGACAACGTTTTCTTTCCTCTTAGCGGGCCGACGGCCAGGGCGCCCCGTTGGAGCCGCCGTCCAGTGGAGAAGGCCTGGCCACTCTTTCTGTTTCGTTCCGAGCCGCACCTAGCGGTGCTCGGTAGTCGCCCCTTCGCGGCCCGGGCGTGGGACTGGACCAGCGCGCGCAGGGCGAGCCTGTCCCCCGCCCGGCCCCTAAGGGAGCTGCCCCCTGCCGCCCACCCGCGGGTGGGGATGCCAGGGGCGGACACCGGACACAGCCGGGGACGGGCAGTCAGGAAAGCAGCGCTGGCCGCAGGAGCCCGGGCTGGGGATGGGCACGCGGGACAGTCCTGTCCTTTTCGTCCACGCGGAGGGACAAGCTGGAGTGCAGGCGGGAGAACGGGAACCTGCAGGAAAGGGGAACTGGGGGCCCATCTCCGGCCAGGGTGTCTGCCAGTGGGCCGTGAGGAGCTGGACTCCTCCCAGCACCCTTAGGCTCAGGAGTAGCCCCTGAGTCTGGTGCAAAAAAAGCTCTCTGGACCCATCACTCCAGCGCCCCGCCCCCTGGTGATGCTCGTTTATTCTTGGCTGTGACCTCAGGGGTCACTCCCAGGGGATTGCTGCTGATGGAGCAGGGTTGGCCATGGGCCAGCCTAGCCCCTAGGCCCTCCCGTGCGTCTGGCCCCTGCTGGGTATGTGGACTGGGGCAGTCACTGATTCCCTTTCCCCTGGGACTGACCCAGGGGCAGATGCTCTGGCATGGAGCCCTCTTCTGCTCCCCTGGGTAGATTTCATTTGGTTATTTTGTTTCTTTGGGCCACACCTGGCAGTGCTCAGGGCTTACTCTTGGCTCTGCACTCATGGATCACTCCTAGTGGGTTCAGGGGACTGTACCAAGTGCTGGAATCCAACCTGTTTCAGCCGCATGCAAGGCACACACCCTCACCACTAGACTGTCTCTCTAGCCCCTCTTTGATTTAAGTATTTTGGCTTTGGGCCACACCCAGCAGTGCTCAGGGGTTACTCCTGGCGCTGCAGTCAGGAGTCACTCACTCCTGGTGGTGCTCCAGGGACCCTATCAGATGCCGGGGATGGAATCAGGGTCGGCAGCCCCCCCCACCCTTGTACTATCACTCCCGTCCCTCTCCCAGCTTAGGCAGGGCCCAGGGTGGTGGTGAGAGGCTGGCTGGTGTCCCCCTGGGTGCCCTGCCCCAGCCAGCACCTCACCTCCGTTGGAAATGGTGCTCCAGCACAAGTGCCAGGTTTGGGGGCGCAGGTCACACGCTCCGGGCTCTGTCAAGGGGCTGCTTACCTGCGGGGAGGTAAGATGTGAGCTTGGAGAGACCCTTGCCCTCCACTTCTGTTTTCTGTCAGCTCCGCAGTGGGGGCTGAGGGCTGTGTGGTCTTGGCGGTGAGCAGTGGGCCAGGTGGCGTCAGGCCTGGACTGCAGGTGAGCACAGGTGCCATGGCATCCTGTGTTTCCCCGCCGCGGGCCCAGGTGGCCAACAGCAGTAGGGCCGCAGAGGCAGGGAGCACCCGGACGACTGTCCACTCTGGCCAGGGCAGCTGAGGGGCCCCAGAGTTCTCCTGGGGCTGGACTTGCCTCTCAGGCTGCCCACGCTGTCAGGACTCTGCCCTGGGTGTGGTTGGGAACACGGGCCGGGGCGCGTGGGCCAGCTCCTGGTGTCTGTGGGGACGTCGCCCTGTCCAGGTTTGGGTGTGGGGCCACTGCGGGTGGACAGCGGGTGTTCCACGGTGGCGGGGCTCAGACAATGTGTCACAGGCCAGGCCGGCTACTCTCTGGGGCCATGGGCTGGGCATGTGGCCCCCATGCCTGGGCTCTGCTCTGTGCTTCCTGTCAGCCGCTTGAGAACGCAGGGCAGACAGTGGACAGACTCCGCTGGTCTCTCCTCACTCTGACATGCTCCCCTTCCCAGGCCAGGACAACCGCGGGGTCTCAGCTTCATGGCTGTGGCCAGTGTGACGCCCCCTGCCTCCCTGGACGCGCAGCTACCTGGCTTCTCGAAGGCGCTGCTGGGCACGAGGCTGGAGGAGAAGTACTTGTGCTCGGCCTGTGGGAACGTGCTGCGCCGGCCCTTCCAGGCTCAGTGTGGCCACCGCTACTGCTCCCACTGCCTGGCCAGCATCCTCAGGTGCGCCCGCTGACCCCCCCGCCCCCACCCCCACCCCCTCCGGGGCTCAACCTCTGTGTTGTCTCCACAGCTCAGGGCCTCAGAACTGTGCCGCCTGTGTGCACGAGGGCATCTATGAGGAGGGTGTTTCTGTCCTGGAGAGCAGCTCAGTGAGTCGCGGGCTGTGGGCCGGGCCGGGTACGTGTGCCTGGGCTCACACAGTGCGCGCTCTCTTCCCAGGCCTTCCCCGACAATGCTGCCCGCAGGGAGGTGGAGAGCTTGCCGGCTGTCTGTCCCAACCAGGGCTGCAGCTGGAAGGGGACCCTGAAGGACTACGAGGTAGGGGCCCGCGCGGGTCGGGCACAGCCGTTTCTGGCCGCCACCCTTTGCAGCTGCTGCCCCCTTGGAAGTGCTTGGGGCCTGCCTGTTGCCAAGGGTTCCCCATAGCCGTGCCCCAGATGCTGGTCACCGGGACCACCAGACCAACAACACGACGTTCTGCACCCACGGTGGTGTCCACACAATCCGGATCAGGACTGGCTGCCTGAGTAGGCAGGGCGGCTGAGCTCTGCCCGGGGCTGCCTTCAGAGGCCTGCAGGCTAGACCCGCATGGTCACCAGCTCAGCTGCATGGTCACCCCTGCTGGGCCGGGGGAGAGAGTGGGCTGGGCCCTGGGGCTTGCGGAGCCCCCAGCCCATTCTTGGGGCCTCTGCTGCCTCCAGGAGGGAGCCAGGGGCCAGGGCTGCAGCATAGACAGACGTCAGGCATGTGGGTGTGCCGGGAAGTCCCTGGCACCAAGTGCTTGGAAAGTCCCTAAAGGCGTCTGGGAAGCCTGGCCCAGCCGGGCGGTGGCGCTGTGGTGCCGTGGAGGCCGGGACAGGCCTGGTGGGTGCTTTGGGGCTGGACAACACCTCCTGAGAGCAGGCGGCAAGTCCTGCCGGGCTTAGGGCTCCCAGGAGTCAGCTGCAAGGGCAGCCTGGTTCCTGCTGGCCCCCTGCATGGCCCCGAGCCCGACCGACTCCCAGACTGGACTGCAGCTGGTTCTGGGGCAGTGTCCCGGAGTCTCTGAAGCTGGGTTTTCAGTGGTCGCTGACTGGCCTAGGACCGAGTGGTCAGCAGTGTCCAGCCTTGCCCGTTTCCCCCAGCTGTGGTCACTCCTGGGCAAGCCTGTGTACAGGCGCTCTCTGCAGTGGACATGGAACCGCCCTCTCACCCCTGGTGCTGCACGGCCACTCTCAGCTGTGGAGACTTGGTTCCCCGGGGCTTAGGGAACAGTGTGTGCCCTGCACATGCCCGCCGTGTGGAGGTACCCACAGGGAAGGCCCGTGTGTCCCTGTTTCGGCAGATTCCAGGGGCCCTGGCTGCAGCCCTGAAGCATCCCGAGAGCTGGTTCAGCAGGGCGGCTGAGGCAGCCAGGGAGCCAGGTGCCTTGCAGGACCCCCGGGTCAGCCGGCACAGGCGTTTACCCCAGGACCAGCACAGCCCACCCCATTCTCAGTGAGCCCCCTGCCTGTCGTGGGCAGCCACAGCTCCAAGCAGGGCTTTTCCTGGCCCCTGGGGATCTGCCCCCACCCCCCTGCACACACGCGCATACACGCGCGCACACACACACACACACTCAGGGGCCCTTCTGCTCTCTGGCCTGTGCTTTTCCTCATCTCCCCTGACCTTGACTCAGTGCATGGTGGCCGGAGTCTTTTTTTTTTCTTTTCTTTTTGGGTCACACCCAGCGATGCACAGGGGTTACTCCTGGCTCATGCACTCAGGAATTACTCCTGGCGGCACTCAGGGGAGCATATGGGATGCTGGGAATTGAACCCGGGTCGGTCGTGTGCAAGGCAAAATGCCCTACCCGCTGTGCTATCCCTCTAGCCCCCTGACCTGAGAGTCTTGACCCTTCCCTTCAACCAGCCTGGGGTGGAGGGAAAGGGCACCCTGCTCTCAGACTGACCTATGGGGGGGTGGTCAGCGTCTGCTCTCAGGCTGATGGGGCAGGCAGGAGGCCTCTGCTCCCAGTGTCAGGCAGCCCCTCGCACACACTTGTTGCTCCATCCCTGCCCGCTGAGCTCTCTTGTCTTTGTTGCAGAGCGGCCACGAGGGCCACTGCCCATTCATGCTGACTGAGTGCCCAGCCTGCAAGGGCCTGGTGCGCCTGTGTGACAGGGAGCAGCATGCAGGGCACGAATGTCCGGAGAGGAGCCTCAGCTGCGGGCACTGCCGGGCACCCTGCTCCGGGGCCGACATGCAGGTGAGGGGCGGGGGGTGAGCGTTCCCCAGCTATGCTGGGGCACGGCCCCCCCCCGACCATCTGCTGAGCACCTCAGCCTCGGCTTCTCGGCTGACCTGTGAGGCACCGGTCCCTGTGTACCCAGGGCTCGCATCCCCTCGGCACTGCCATGGTGCCCTGTGGCTCCTGCTCCCTCCGGGGGAGGGTCAGACCTGGTCCAGAGGCAGGAGGGACCCCGTGAGTGGGCACGAGTCGGGGTCGGTGGCATCTGAGCGCAGCCACCCTCTCGGCTACAGGCACACCAGGACGTCTGTCCCCAGTTTCCTGTGAGCTGCAACAGCTGTGGCCAGCGGAAGATCCCACGGGACCAGGTGAGCTCAGCAATGGGCGGCCGTGGGGGTCTGTGTTGGGGTCCCCCCGCGGCTAATGGGAGGGCAGGAAGGAGGGCAGGGAGACCCCTGGGTGGGCTGTGCCTGAGTCAGGTCTGGGGGCCCCATGCACTCTCCCCTACTTCCTTCCTGGGGGTTCCACAGGGAGTTCCCTGGGGGCACGTGGCTGAACTCTGACCTGCCAGTGCAGCTGCCCCGAAGGGGGGTTGGGGGGATACAGCTGCCTGAGTCCCGCCCTGCAGTTCCAGGAGCACCTGCAGACCTGTGGCCAGGGCCGAGTCCCCTGCAGGTTCCAGGCTGTCGGCTGCCCGGAGCTGGTAAGTCCGCAGGGCCTGTTCCCCAGGGGTTGTGCTAGACCCACCGCCCGGTCAGTGCAGGGGGTGCTGGGTGCCACTCTGCTGCCGCCACTCCCAGGGCTCAGATCCGAGCGGGGTGTTCTGCCGTCCAGTTCTCTGCACCTTGGCGGGTGCTGCTGGACTCTCGCTGCTGGTGGCTGCAGCGGGTCTGTTGACCACGGGCTGCTCCTGTGTGCCTACGGGGAGGGTGGCGTGAGCCCTCTGGGAAGCATCCAGGGATTTTGTCTGCAGAGTTCACTGTGTAGGGCCGCAGCCGGGGGTTTTGTCTGCAGAGTTCACTGTGTAGGGCGCAGCCGGTGGGCTCGGGACGGGGCTCAGGGGAGCTTCGTCCCTGCTCCCTCCTGGCTGACAGCTCCGGCTGCTGCCCACACAGGTGGACAGCGAGGGACAGGTGGAGCACGAGGTGCAGAAGCTGCGGGAGCACCTGTCGCTGCTGCTGGGTGGCCTCCTGGAGGGGCGGAGCCCGCCTGGCCCGGACCTCCCACCCCCGCAGGCCGCACAGCTGGCCCAGCGCTGTAGCTTGCTGGAGCGGAAGACTGCCACCTTTGAGAACATTGTCTGCGTCCTCAACCGGGAGGTGGAGAGGGCGGCCATGACTGCCGAGGCCTGTGGCCGGCAGCATCGGCTGGACCAGGAGCGGATGGAAGCCCTGAGTAACAAGGTGTGTGCCTCGGGGTCGCGGCAGACAGACGCGGGCCGGGCCGGCTGTGGGCTCCTGGGACGGCGCATCTAGATGGTGTCCTCGGGCCAGCAGGTGCAGCAGCTGGAGCGGAGCGTGGGCCTGAAGGACCTGGCCATCGCCGAGCTGGAACAGAAGGTCCGCGAGCTGGAGGCCTCCACCCACGACGGTGTCTTCATCTGGAAGATCTCTGACTTCGCACGCAAGCGGCAGGAGGCGGTGGCCGGCCGCACGCCTGCCATCTTCTCCCCAGGTACGACCTGCTCAGGGTTGGGGAGGGGTGGGTGAGCTGCGGGTAGCAGCTCACCCGCCGCCCGCCCGCTGGCCCGCAGCCTTCTACACCAGCAGGTACGGCTACAAGATGTGTCTGCGCATCTACCTGAATGGCGACGGCACGGGGCGCGGGACCCACCTGTCCCTGTTCTTCGTGGTCATGCGGGGCCCCCACGATGCCCTTCTGCGCTGGCCTTTCAACCAGAAGGTGGGGCCGGGTGTGCCCGTCCAGGGCAGGGGCCCCGGGCGCCTGGCACTCGCCGTGACCCTGCTATTGGGGACGCCTCCAGGTCACGCTGATGCTGCTGGACCACAACAACCGGGAGCATGTCATCGACGCCTTCAGGCCTGACGTGACCTCGTCCTCCTTCCAGAGGCCAGTCAGCGACATGAACATTGCCAGCGGCTGCCCGCTCTTCTGCCCCGTCTCCAAGATGGAGGCCAAGAACTCGTACGTGCGCGACGACGCCATCTTCATCAAGGCCATTGTGGACCTGACAGGGCTGTAGCCCCCTTGGCGTGGGCACCGAGGGGTCCAGTGCTGTAGTGCACTGAGCGCGTCTCAGGAGCGGCCCTCCTCTCCCAGAACGTTCTAACGGGAACAGGTTTCCTTCCCAGCCCGCATACCCGGTCCCTGCACCTTCGGTTAGACCAGTTAGACCCCGCATCTGGGTACAGGCAGGGTCACTGGGCTCGGGTCCTGGTGTGGATGCTAGATACCTGTGACTGACCCTCTGTTGTCATGGCCAGGTGGCAAGGGGGTTGGGGGAGATGATTGTAGCTGTGTGGCTGCTTGACCAAGAGGGCAGCCAAGTGGGGTGGCCACGAGATCCCATGGGGCAGCTGCGTGCTGCCGGACTTGCGCTATCTCATTAAAAGGAGCCATGGAAACTGCCTGGCTCCCTGCTACCTGCTGCCGCCCTGCCCTGTTCCCTCCCCAACCCCCGCGGCTCCCCCTCTGGGCGTCAGCGGAGCTCATCTCTGGACTGTGCCCGTCCTCAGGCACCCTTGTTTCCTGGTGGTCTTAAGGTCCCTCCCCAAGTGCTGGGTCTCTGCACTGGACCAGCTTGCAGAACCTGCATGCACGGGATGGCTGTTGGCCGCCCATCAGGTACATGGCACCAGGACAGAGATGGATCCTCAGCCCCAGGCTCCAGCCTGTGCAAGGGGTCTGGCCTGGATGTGGTTCCTGGGCGCGCCCATATTGCACTAGGGACCCCTTCCTGGGGCTTCAAGTTTGGTGTCCCCAAGTGGGCTGACTGCTCGGCCCACGGCCTGGCCCGGTGGATGTCCTGGTGGGATCGATGTTCCTGAGGATGATGCAGTGGCCCTGTGCGCAGAGCTCAGCGGGCCCCTACCCTCTCCGCGATGCTGTGCTTCAGTGGACTGGACACCCATGAGCCATGTCTGCCCCAGGTCTGGCCCTGGCTCTCCGCATGCTGGGGGGCACATGGTCCTGGGCATTGTCCCCTTCTCAGGGCCACAGAGACATGGGTGACAGGGTTTCAAAGGGCCAAGCCACTGGCTAGCACAGCCTGTGGTGTGAAGGCACAGGAGCTGGCCAGCTGTTCCCCATCTCAGGAGGTAGAGGACAGCAGTCGGGGCCCAAGTTGTGTGGCCCTTGCCCCTGCCTTCCCCACTGCCTGTGCCTCTGGCTGTGTGGGGGTAGGGCTGTCCCTCTTCTGGCCCAAGTTGATGGCTGACTGGGAGAGGGGTAGCAGGGACCACACACAGCAGTGCTCAGGACTTGCTAGCTCTGCACTCAGGGATTGAGAGACTCGTGGTGATGGGGATCAAACCCACATCAGCCACATGCAAGGCAAATGCCCGTCCTGCTCTGTAGCTCCAGCCTCAGGGTGGAACCTCTCGTTCCTCGAAAGTCAACTGACCTGGCAGTGCTCAGGGCTTGCTCCTAACTGCTGGGGATTGAACTTGCATCAGCAAGTGCCCTACTCCTGTAGTGTTTTTTTTACATACCCAGTGGTACTTCGGGTTCGCTCCTGACAGTGCTGGAAACCAAACCCAGCCATACATGAGGTCAGTGTTGCCTGCTGTCTTGTTTCCCCCTGCAGGTAACTTTCAGTTGTTCTGGGGCCATTCCCAGTGATGCCCTCAGGGATCAAGTGCCCTCCCTGCTATGCTCTCTCCAGGCCTTCAGCAGGTGACTTAACCACTGCCTCCCCACACCTCCAGAAACTTGAGGAACCCAGACCCAGGAGGTCAGTGTTCAGATCTGCCTATGCTCCCTGATTTAGCTGATGCCCAAGAGTGACCCCTGGGTGTGGGACAGAGCTGCTATGTCCACTGACAAACTGGCACTGGGCCGAAGCAAACCCAGCGTGCATGTCCATCCCTGCACAGGCGCGTCTGCTACCATGGACAGTTCGCTGCAGCAACTCAGTTCCTTCAGCTGAAGGTCCCTGGCAGCAACCCCTGCCAGAACCCCCGACAGGGTCTCCACTGTGCCTGGGCTTGGGACTGTGGGGCCTCACAGCCCCTGTCCTACTGACAGGGGACTGGGACCCCCCCCCCCCCACAGGTACCATGCTGCGTCCTGTGCAGTGACCACCTGCCTTTGCTTTTCAGAACTTGCCGACCCACTGCCCCACCTCCCCGAGCCCCCCTAGAGTTCCAGCGGCTCCCAGGGATGCCCCCAGGGCCCAGTCCCGGTGTATGGTGCAGTGTGGTTCCGCTTCACTGGGTTTCCGGGAGGCTTGACCGTGTAGCCCTGCAGGCAGCCAGCCCACTGCCCTGTGCACTTGACCTCCCATCGCCCTCCCCAGCCACTGGCTGTTGTGATGCAGACCACCGACCACATCACGGCCACCCAGACCCACAGTCCAGGGCCAGGGAGGGGCCACCTGCCACCTCCCCTTGTCCGTGGGCAGATGCTGCTGTCCAGGGTCCAGCTGGGAGCACACCCCCTGCCCCTGGTGGCGCTCAGCAGACTCGACGGCTGTGGTGCTGTCTGTTTAATCAGACCCTCGTGAGCAGTGACATGCAGCTGGCCCTGCCACCCCGTGGTGGGGGGGAGGAGGGCGCGAGACCCCCGGGGGTGAAGAGCAGAAAACCCCAGTGTCCTCTGCACCCCAAGCTGGCCGAAGGTGCCTCCGCCCACCTACGGCTGGGCTTCGGTTCGGGCTGTGAGAGGTGTGTGCAAGTGGGCTGGCTGGGCTGGCCCTGCCCTGCGCCCCACCGGGCCCTACTTCCAGGAGTCTCTGGGACCCCCTGCCCTGGGGTCCGTGATCTCCGTGGAGTCCTTGACCACAGCCCACGGATGGTTCCATGGGCTGCACTGGCCTCAAGGCCTGGGACCTGCAAACCAGGAGAAGAAGGGGCGGCGGCGCAGGCACGGGGCCTGGTGGGCACGCACAGTGCGAGGGGAGCGCCAGGCTTTGATGGTGGCGTCGTCGCTGGCCGTCAGCAGCAGCTCCTGCTCCTGTGGGCTGAAGACCACTGAGTTGACCACGTCCTGGTGGCGCAGCTTGGCCAGGCAGATGTTGTAGTGCCGGTCCCAGATGTAGCCATGGCGGTCCTCCGCCCCGCTGCAGGGTGAGGAGACGGAGTGAGCCCCAGGCAGTCTGGGGGTCCCATCCCAGGCCGCACCGCCCCACCTGGCCACGAAGTCTCGGCTGACATCGAGGAAGATGAAGAAGCATTCGTCGTTGGGGGTGTAGGCCCGGTGTGCCCGCAGCGCCCGCTTCACCTCCCGCATGGTCTTGAGGTCAAACACCAGCAGGTCGATCTCCTCCGCGATGGGCGGCGGCTGCATGGGGTCAGCCACCACCGAGCCGCTGGGCCAGGCGCGGCTGTTCACGTACAGGTACCTGCGAGGAGCGGGATGCTGCTGGCTCTGGCGGTGAGGCTGCTGGGGCCCCCTCCCGGGACCGTGGGGGCCCACCTGTTGTCGGGGGACAGACCCATGCCGATGATGTGTCCGTGCACGTCGATGACGTGGTCCAGCGCGTCGAAGAAGGCATCAGAACCCCGGCCCTCGCCCAGCACAGGCCCCGCGGTGGTCATCTGGTGCGGGAGGATCTGCTTGATGCCTGCGGGGCGGCAGCTGGTTGGCACCACTCGGCCGCCCCGCGCACCCCCCCCCCCCCGCCCCCGCCTGCCCGCCTACCGATCTGGTGCGGCGAGTAGGTGAGACAGCCCGTGGTGAAGATGAGCAGCTTGTTACGGGCGCCCTGCACGCGCTCCGGGGGCCGCGTGCGACCCCGCGCCAGCAGCTCGGCCACCCTGCTCTCCAGCTCGCGCTCTGACAGCGGCGGCTGCGCGCGGCCATCCAGGAGCCCGTGCAGCAGGCGACGCAGCCCCTCCTGGGCGTGGGCCGGGCCGGGCCCCGCCGCCTCGTCCCGGCCCCGCGCGTCCTCCTCCTCCTCTTCCTCCTCCGCGCCGCCCAGGTCGAAGACGCGGCAGGGCGCCTGGGCGGGGTCGCCGGCGTCCAGCAGCAGGTCGGGGCTGTCGAAGCGGCTGCAGTCGGCCACCATCACAGTGCGGATGGTGCTGGCATTGAGGTTCTGGATCTTGAAGAGCCGCTTCACCACGTTCACGTTCTCCGACTCCACGTCCTGAGGGGAAGCACACGCGGGTGGGCGCCGGCCCGGGCGGGGGGCGCCGGCCCGGGAGCGCGCGGCCCGCACCTGGAAGGCGTTGTTAAGCCAGAGCACCGAGCAGGACGTGATGTCCCCGATGCGGTGCAGGTTCCCGGAGATGAGGCTGGTCTCCGTCAGCCAGCAGCCGAACACGTCGTAAGGCTTGTTGCGCACGCGGGACAGCAGTGCGAAGGTGTCTGCGGGAGAGCGCAGGCGTGCGAGGGGCGGGGCGTGCGGGAGGGCGGGGCATGCGGGCGGGGTCTGGTTTGGGGCGGGGCGTGAGGGAAGGGCCGGCGCGGCCGCGGGGGGGGGGGCTCCGGCCAGGGCAGCACCCGCGCTCTCACCCAGGCTGATGACTGCAATCTCGCCGGAGGAAGAGTTGTGGGGCCCCAGGAACACCCCGGAGGCCAGCAGCAGCGAGTCGTCCTGGTTGAACTGGGAGAACTGGGTGTAGCTCCAGTTGTAGGGACGCATGTCCGCGCTGTGCAGCAGGGAGATGGTCAGGTCGTTGCTCCAGATCTGCAGGTGGGTCATCAGGTGGGACGGCAGCCCTCGCGCCCTCGCCCCGCCCGCGGGCAGCCGCCCAGCCGCTCCCCTCACCTTCACGGTGCAGTCCTTGGAGCAGGAGGCGAACTGGTAGCCCGAGTGGGAGAAGCTGAGGTGCAGCACCTGGTCCGTGTGCTCCCGCAGTGTCTGCACCTCCACGCACGGCACCGTGTCGTACAGCCGCCGGAACTCCTCGTACCAGGACGTGGCCGCTGCAGGGGGGTGGGGGGTGGCGGCGGTCAGGGCTGCCGGGCGTCGTCCCCGCCCCGGCCCGAGCAGCTGCGTGCGCTCACCTGGGTGCCGCGGCACGGCCCGGGACACCTGGTAGTAGCGGTAGAACTGCTCCCTCCACAGGAACTCATCGCGGGACACGGCCTGCCACTGGCGGCACACCAGCCCCGCGGCCAGCAGGTCCGCGGGGCCCAGGCTCAGGAAGATCTCGTAGACGAGGCTGTCGGGGAGCAGGGGCGTGCCCCCCTCGTCCATCGTGACATTCTGCCCCGGCGGCCCTGCAACCACGCACGGCTCCGCGCTGAGCGGCGGCGGCGGCCCGGACCCCCGCCCGCGTCTGCGTGTGGGGGAAGCCGGGGGTCCCGTGGACCCCCGCCCGGGCCCCAGCCCTCGGCTCTGGGTCCCCGGGGCTAGGGGCTAGGGGACGGGGCTCCGGCCGGGCTCAGGCCATCAAGGCGCCCATTCATTGGCCGGGTCGGGGGCTGGGGCGGGGCCCGAGTCACCCTCCGGATCCGGCCCGGGGACTGAGGACCGGGGGCCCGGGCAGGGTTCCGCGGGGGGGGGGGGGGGGGGCGGGCCTGAGGGAGAGGGTCGGGGGCCGGGGTCAAAACGAGGTCCCGGGGGCGGGGGCCGGTGACGCCGCGCCGGGCCGGCGCACTCACCGCGGCCGCCTCCGCCCGGCTGCGCTGCGCCCGCCCCGGCGCCCGGCTGCGGCCCACCGACCCGCTTCCGCCCCGCCGCCACTCCGGCCGCCGCGTCTCTATGACCGGCCCGCCAGGCCCCCTGCACGAGCGCCGAGACATCGATGGCCGCCGGGGCCGAGGCCCTCGGCAGCACCGGCCCCGTGCCTGAGCGCGCGCTCCAGGCACACAGCGCCCCTGGCGGCCGGGCGGGCCTGCGGCCGGGCTCGGGGCCGGGCTCGGAGGCCGCAGCCGAGCACGCCCCGGCCGCTGGGGGTGCGGGGTTGGGGGGGCTGCTGAGGTGGGGGCACTGACGTGTGCAGACCTCAGCCCTGCCCCTGTGCGAGGCCGAGGCGCGGGTCGGGGCAGTGGACGGCAGCCAGACATCGACCCACTGTGCACAGAGGGTGCGGGCCAGGCAGGGCCAAGGTCGCATTAGGCAGAGGAGGAGGCTGGTCCCCGGGCCGGGGGTCATTTCCGGGGGTTGGAGGACAGAGCTGGACTGGTGGCCAGACTCTGACGGGCTCTGGACAGCCAATTCCTGTGCACACAGCGTGCGGGCCAGGCAGGGCCAAGGTCGCATTAGGCAGAGGAGGAGGCTGGTCCCCGGGCCTGGGGGGCATTTCCGGGGGTTGGAGGACAGAGCTGGACTCGTGGCCGGACTCTGACGGCTCTGGACAGCCAATTCCTGGGCTTGACTGACCTGCTCCCATTCTCCTTGGTCACCACCATGCTGTCCCCGAGGACTGCTGTCCCCCTGACTCTGCTCCTGGTTGCTGTCTCCTTGGGCCAGAGGGCTCGGAAGCCCCCTGCCTCCCCTTCCCCTATCAGCAAGATCCAGCCCAAGGCCAACTTTGACACTGCGCAGGTAGAGTGGGAGTGCCGTGCAGCTCACAGGGGGCCAGCGCGGTGGTCCCGTGGACTGTGCCCTCATGTGGCCGACCCCAGTTTGCAGGGACGTGGCTGCTGGTGGCTGTGGCCTCCTCGTGCCGCTTCCTGCAGGAGCAGGGTCACCGGGCAGAGGCCACTGCAGTGCACATGGCTCCCCAGGGCCCTGCCATGGCTGTCAGCACCTTGCGGAAGCTGTGAGTGCCCTGCCGCCCGCTGCCCTGCTGTGGCATGGACCCAGTTCCCGTGGGTCGGTCCCCCAACTCTCGTGCTTCCCCTTGTCCCAGGGACGGTGCCTGCTGGCGGGTGCAGCAGCTTTACCGACACACGCAGGTTCCCGGCCGCTTCCTGCTCCAAGGTAACTCGCAGGCGCGTGGGGGGCGGGACTGTAGCACTGGGGATGGGCTCAGCACTGACTCCCTTCTGCCCAGCTCGAGGTGCCCGTGGGCCAGTGGACGTGGTGGTTGGGGACACGGATTACCGCACCTTTGCTGTCCTATACATGGAGAGGGCACGGCGTCTGTTGGTGAAGCTGTACGGTGTGTCTGGGGCCCACGGGGGCACACTGGGCTCTCTGTCTAGGTGGGCGCTTGGAGCCCCATCTTGGCTCTGACCTTCCTCTGGAGCTCAGGGCCCAGACGTGGGAGGAGGGGCAGAGTGGGCCCGTGGCACTGTCCACACTGACCTGGTGTCCTGCAGCCCGCTCCCTCCCCGTGGACGAGGCGGCACTCACTGCCTTTGAGCAGCGGGTGCAGGACGCCGCCCTGCCTGAGGAGCACATCGTCTTTTTCCCCACCTATGGTGAGTGTCCTGCCCACCCCATGCCCCTGCCCATGCCCCTGCCCAGCGCTGCCCCTGACACAGCCTGGACCCCCAGGGTTCTGTGAGACTGTGGACCAGTTCCACGTCCTAGACAGCGAGTGACCACCTGGTGACCGGACAAAGCCAGGACCCTTGCTGAGTCGTCTGATGTGGAAGAGAGGTGACTGCTGCGAGGATGCGAGCCCAGAGGCCCCACCCCTCACGGAGGACCCCCCGTCGGCTGGAGCTGGGGCTCTGCCTCATTAAATACATGGTTGTGCTTGCTCCCTTCTTCCTTCCTCAGAGGATCCTCACCGGCTCCTCCTAGGTTCCTCACACACTCCTCGCAGGTTCCTTGCAGGTTCCTTGTAGGTTCCTTCCTCCTACATTCCTTATGGACTCCTCGCAGACTGCTTGGCTGCTCCTCATCGGTTTCCCACAGGCTCCTCATAGGCTCCTTGAAGATTCCTCACAGAATCCTATTCATAGGCTTCTCGTAGTTTTCCTCACAGGCACCTTGTAGAACCCTCACAGGATCCTCGCAGGTTTTTCATAGGCTCCTCGTAGACTTCTCAAAGGTGTCTCATAGGCTCCTCACAGGCTCCTTTTAGACCCCTCTTAGGGGTCGCTCGTTCCTGGGCACTGAGTAGGCAAGAGAGACCCTCTCTGGGAACAGTGCACATGGTTCTAGCGCTGGGCTCTCTCCTGGCCTCAGTTTCCCTTGTGAACTCCTGTCCTGCCGACCTCTGAACTGTCCCAGTTTCAGCCCCGAGTCACCCAGGCTTGCAGAGTAAGAGCAGAGCACACTTGGGCTCCGGTCCTACCTGTCATAGACACTAGGGGGCACCCACGTCCCTTGTCCTCTCCTCTGGAGCGTTTCCACAGAAACGTCCCCCACCCTGGCTCTGTCTGCCCTGTGACCTTCCTGTGGAAGGGCCCTGTGACAGGTGTCCTGTCAGGGGAAGACAAAGCAGCAGCATAACCCAGGCCTGGGAGATACCTGTTAGAGAGATGCCAGGTTGCCAGATGGGGCCAGGTGACATCTGGAGAGGGGACAAAGGGACAAAGGTCACCCAGGGCTTCTGACAGGCCGCCTGCTCTGTTCTCTTCACTCCTGCCTGAGGGTGGTTCGCTGAGGTGGGGGCTCCCAGCGGACCCACCACACACCTCACTGCCGCCCCCGTAAGAACTGAAGACCCCACCTCTGAGTCTCCAGACCCGACTCAGGGCCCTACCCCGTGTCCGTGTGCTGACACTCCCCTAGGTTCCAACTCTCAGGCCATATCCTCCCCTGTAGATCTCTCCCCGGGCTGAAGCGATAGCACAGCGGGTAGGGTGTTCCGGCCGTCTTGAGTTCGATTCCTCCGCCCCTCTCGGAGAGCCCAGCAAGCTACCCAGAGTATCTCGCCCACACGGCAAAGCCTGGCAAGCTACCCGTGACATATTCGATATGCCAAACACAGTAACAAGTCTCACACTGTTACTGGGCCCGCTAGAGCAAATCGATGAACAACGGGGGGTCAGTGAGAGTGACAGTGACAGTGACAGATCTCTCCCTAGGGCACTGTGCCCAGGCGCCACCAGCCCCGCTCACCAGGCCCCTCCCCACAGGCCCCAGATCACGCTCCTTACATGGTGCTCCGCCTCTCAGGCCCCAGACCCCTTCCACATGGTCCGGGGCCCACCCATGGTCCATTCTCACAGGCTGCCCTCCCTCAGGATTCCGTACCCAGCACCCCCAGGCTGTACACCCACACTCAGGCCCCTCGCCCTTGGGTGCGGTTGCCCCCCAAAGGCACACACCTGCCCTTACAAGTCCTGTGTCCACCTCTTCTCTCGTGGGGGACAGGAGAAGGGGAGGGAAAGACGAGGAGACTGGATGCAGAGGGGCGACAGGAGGTGGGATCAGGCTGAAGTGGTGAGGGCGGGGTAAGGCGGACGGGAGGCCCCAGTGCCTTGCCAGCACCTTGAAGGGAAATGACCCAGGGCACTGCCGCCCCAGTTCAGAGACTGGGTGACATCTGGAGATGAAACAAGGGGACAAAGGTCACCCAGACTAGACTTGGTCCCCCGAAGTGTTCCCTCAGGGCAGGCAGGGTCCCAGGGAGCTCCCATCCCCTCTCGGGGAGTGAGGGGCCCAAGCAGGAGGGTGGCAGCTGCTGGGTCACTGGGACTCCGCTGAGGCCTGTGGACACTCACTTCTGAGGACACTTGAGGCTGTCATCTGACAGCCAGCACCCCCCTGTCCTCTAGCAGTGCCTGTTCGGCCACCTGGGGCTCACATGCCCAGCTTGGGCGGCTGCCCGCTGGGTCCCCAGGAACTTGAACTGGAGGCAGCCCAGGTACTGAAGGGCCCGTGGCAGAGTGATGGCCTGGCAGGGGGGCTCCGAAGGGGCGTCAGCTCCCTATCAGCTGCCCTGCCTCTCCACCCCCGAGCCAGGAAGTAGAGTGTGCCCCTCTCTGCTTTCACGGGTTGCCAGGACACCCCAGCTCCGTTTAGTGACTGCCAGGGTGCCTCACTCTGCTTTCACGGGCTGCCAGGACACCCGCCCCAGTTCTCAGCTGCTGTCAGGGCTCCCCACCTCTATTCAGAGACTGCCAGGACCCCCATCACTGCTTCCTGAGGCTCGGAGACACCCCCCCTCTAATTAGTGGTGACCAAATCACCCCACTTCCACTCCGACTGCCCTGGGCCCCGTCTGATCTCAACTGCTGCTCAGCAAACACCAAGGCACCCTGCTTCCACAAGACTGCCAGGACCCCCGTCTCTGCCTCCAGCAGCTTCACCAAGCACACCCCACACTGGGGACCGAACATTTCTGGCAGCTGTGGGGGTGGGCACCAAGTGAAGTCGGAGCTCGCCGCTGCCGTGGTTCCTCCCACACAGTCCAGAGGCCCACCAGTGTCCGGCTGGGGCTGACTGCTGGGGCTGACCCCTAGCTCAGGAAGGTGCCTGTGGGGCCGCACTGGCCATAAATGGGCCCAGGGAGTCGCTGCCTGTGGCCCCCGCCCGGCCACATGGCCCCCACAACCACCAGCTACCCACTTCCTCAGTCCTAAAGTCACAGCCTGGCTCAACCAGGACGTTTGGAAGAGACTGGAAGGGTGCCAGGGGGCGGCGGGGGTGACAGGTCGGGGACCTGACAGAGGCCCCATTTGCAACAGAGGCTCCAGGAACAGCCTCGCCCAGGCCACTATGTCCCGAGTCCCCAAGGGTGGGGCTGTCCTCTGAGGTGAGCCAGTTCCGGTGGTGTGCCAATTCCGGTGGTACTGCCTGTGTGAACCCCCTTCCTGCGTCCCACCTACTCTCGCGCCTTTGTCGCCCACACCTACCTCCGTAGACGGGTGGGACGCAGCTGATCCTGAAGAGTAACTTGCAGAATGCAGAAGCCCGGCAGGACCCCACCCGGGCCTCCTGAGGGCTTCCTGCAGCCAATGTCCGGGCTCAGTCAGCGTCTGTGGCTGCTCGGGGGCAGGACAGAGCCTGGGCGGCCGGACATTTGTTTCTTTGAGAGCCACTCCCAGTGTGCTCAGGGCTCACTCCTGGCACTGCACTCAGAGACCACTCCTAATGGGGCTTGGGGGACCCTCTGGCGTGATGGGAGGTTAGGCAGCCCAAGTCAGCTACTCTCAGCCCTCAGAATTCAAACAAAGAGCAAGCGTGGTCCCTAGGCTGTGGCCAGAGGTGATCGGGCAGTGCCAAGCGGGAGGGGGTCCCCAGATGACCTGCTCTTGTCTGTCCTCATGCACAATGCCCCACCCACATCTGGGGCTCCTGCAGGGAACTGAGCCCTGATCCCCAGCCCCAAGCTGCTGCCCCATGCACTGACCACAGGGCCCTCAGGAAGGGGCACAGGGGACTCACGGCAGGGGACAGGCCACAGGACACGTGTCCCCCCTGCCTGCCTCACCCTGTCCCCAAGCTCCTGGACCTTGACACGGGAGGTGGGCGTGCCCAGGCCCACCCAGAGGTGCTCTGCCTTGTCCCCAACTTACTGGTCAGGAGTGGGGGGGGGCAGAAGCAGTGAGGGGCCAGGTCTCTGGAACCCAGCCTTCCACCAGAGCAGACCCCGGGGCTTCCCTCTGCCACACCTGAGCAAACTCGGAGTTGACTCGAAGCCAGAGGGCAGGGAAGTCAAGGGCTGCTTCCCAGCAGAAGGTGTCAGGCCTGGAACAGGACCTGCACCCCAGGGGCTGAGAGTGACCGGCTCCCACGCCCACCAGGGCTGAGCGAGAGTGACCAGCTCCCACTGGGGGCTGAGTGAGAGTGACCGGTTCCCACACCCACCAGGGCTGAGCGAGAGTGACCGGCTCCCACCGACAGTGAGAATGACCGGCTTCTGTGCCCCCGGGGGCTGAGCGAGAGTGACCGGCTCCCACGCCCACCAGGGGCTGAGTGAGAGTGACCGGCTCCCACCGACACTGAGTGAGTGACTGGCTCCCGTGCCTCTGGGAGCTGAGTGAGTGACCGATTCCGTGCCCTCCAGCCACCAGCTTGTGCCTCTTTGAGCTCTGGGGCTCCCGCCTCAGGGAATAGGCCAAGCTCAGGCCTATGCAGCCCACAGCAGGTCAGACCCTTCAACCTCACCTGGGTCTGTCTGGTGGACTCTCTCAGGACGCCAGGGCATGTGACACTTGCCCTGGACAGTGGAGAGGGTCCAGGATCTCTGGGACAGTGTGTGAAGTGAGGGGGGCTCCCGGGTGGGGATGGCCCTACGCGTAAGGAGCACCAGGCCTGCTGTCTGCTGGGGCAGCCTGTGATCACGAGCAGGAGTCCAGAGTGGGGCCAGGAGGTCCCTGCTGGGAAGGGCAGCAGAGCCAGGTGGCCGTGGGGGAGCTGCCGGCTCGCCTGACCCTCGGGCCTGCTCTGGGACATATTTGGTTTCTTTACCTTGGCCCGAGTCTCTACAGCCTCTCGAGACAAGTGGGGCTCGGCGCTCCCTCGAGACAAGTGGGGCTCAGCGCTCCCTCCTTGGACAGGGACAGAGGGTGGTGGGGTAGGGGTGGAGGGGCTAGAGCCAGTGCAGGGCCCAGCCCCCAGGCAGCAGGACCCCGGGTCTCCCCAGACCCCACCTGCAGTGGCCCCAGGCACCATGGCTGGGGGAGGTCTGCGGGGTCAGGCCTGTTACATAAGCAGCTCTGTGGGGGCAAGGCTGCAGCTGGCCCTGGGCACTGTCCTCCCACACAGCATCACGAGGTGCCCGCGGCCAGCCGGGGCCTGGGCAGAGGCCAGAACAGGCGCATAAATAAGGGTCCTGGCCTGTTCTTGTGCCTGCCTCTCTCCTGGACAGGCTACCGTCCGGCCCGAGAATGGCGGCCTCTCACTCGTCCTTGCCCTGGATGGCGCTGGCCCTGCTGGCCCTCCTGGCTGTCCTGCCCACTCCCAGCCAGAGCAGTGTGCCCCTGCAGCCCAACTTCAAACAGCAGAAGGTGAGGGGCTCCTGGCCAGGAGGGAGGAAGCATCACAAGGGCCCCAGGGCGTGTGGGTGTGGGAGCCCCGGGCCAGGCTGGGGTCCGCTCATGCTCACAGCGCGCTCACCCGCAGCCTGACAGCAAAGGGCACGGGGGCCTGGGCAGGGCCACGCAGCCTGGGGTCCCAGCCCGTCCAGGCCAACCAGGGAGGGGTCATCCCACAGTTCCTGGGGATCTGGTTCACTGTGGGCCTGGCCTCCAACTCCACCTGGTTCCTGGAGAAGAAGGAGAAGATGTCCATGTGCAAGTCGGTCGTGGTCCAGCCCGAGGACAATACCCTCAACATGACGATCACCTACTTCAGGTGGGACGTGGGCGGGCCCCTGGGCGCCCGCGCTCCCTGTCTCCCGGTCTTCAAGTCCCCTAACCAGTGGCTGATCTGTTGCAGGAAGACGCAGTGCCACACGTGGAGCCTTCTGCTGGAGCGCGATGGGCCTCCGGGTCGCTACCGACACACCAGCCTCCGTAAGTGCAGGCCAGGGCTGGCCCCCAGCCCCCTGGCTGCGGGAGGGGTCCCTGATCACAGTGCCAGGGATAAGTGTGAGCAGGCTGAGTGTGGCCCCCGGTGGCAGCTGTCTGCGCTGGGCCCCTCCCACTCCAGGCACCCCACCCCCACCCGCACCCAGCTCTCCTCTGCCTGAGCCCTACATGGAGTGTGGGTGCTGCCTGGGCTCGGGCATGCTGGACCCCCAGAGCTTACAGCTGTGCAAGGGGTGAAGGCAGGGCACTGACCAACTCCTCGCCGAGGCTGGGGAGCCTCGGGGGAGTGGGGCGCCCCTGGCAGCCTCAGCCTCAGTGTCCGCCTGTGGTTCCAGGCTGGAGCGGCACCCGCGAGGTGTCGGTGGTGGAGACGGACTACGAGCAGTACGCCCTGCTCTTTACCCAGAGCTCGGGCGGCGAGAGCCGGGACTTCCTCATGGCCACCCTCTACAGTATGTGTTCCGTGGGCGGGTCTCAGACGGGGTGAGGGGGTGGCCCCCTCCTGAGCCACCTTTTCTGCCCAGGTCGCTCGCAGAGCCCGGCCACGGAGGTGCTGAGGAAGAAGTTCACCACTTTCGTCAAGTCCCTGGGCTTGACAGACGAGTCCATTGTGTTCCTGCCCAAGGCCGGTAGGCCGTTAATCTGTGGGTGGGGTCAGCGCAGATTAGCGGGAACACAGTCTCCTGATTCTGCGGGGAGGGGGCAGCTTCCTGTGATCACACCGCCCACTGGGCTCCGTCCTCCGAAGTGGGCACAGCCTGTCCTCCACCGGGACCTTGGCCAGCAGGAGCACCCGCCCCCCCTCCCCAGATGTCCCAAGTGCCCTGTGTGCCCGCCTGGGCCGAGTCTTACAATGCAGGGGTCCCCAGCCTCTGGTGTGGGGGGCAGCAGAAAGGGTGCCTCAGGGGGTTGCACTGGGCCTCCCAGGGGAGGCAGGCAGCTGGCCCCGGTAGAGGCCAAGTGGGAAGGGGGGGGGGGCGGCTGAAGGGTCAGCCCAGCTCTTCGGGGGCTGTGCGCACTGCACTGCCCCCCAGGAGCTGAGGGGCTCCTGGGCCTTTCTCTTGCCAGAACAATGCATCAATTACCACTGATAGGTGAGTGAGGGGGGCGCTGTCTACCCTCCCAGCAGTTCCTGGGAGGTCACTCCACTGGGTCTGGGGTCATGGGGGCGGGAGTGGGGGGGGAGGGGGAGGGCCATGGTGAGACCTTTCTGCCTGAGCTGAGAGGAGCTGGGGCCAGGTCCCAGCAGGGCAGTGAGGCCCTGCCTCGCCCACTGCTTGCCATGTCCCAGCCAGGAGACCCCAGCCCTCGGGACCGGCCATCTTGCCTCCGCCAGCACACTGAGCTCCGGCCACGCAGCCTCTGCCCCAGTTCACCCCGCTATCTGCACCCCAATAAAGTCCAGAAGCAATCAACCTGCTGGCCCCTGCCTGTCTGTCCTCCCTGCCCTGTCGGCCCTGACCGCAGGGCTCCTGGGGTGGCGCCGCCCAGGGTGTTGGGGTCAGATGTGCCGGAGCGGCCCTCACTGCCCCTGGGGAGTGGCACCGGATCTTGCTGTCAGGGCAGTGCTGAAGGCTGGGATTAGCCATGGACAGAGAAGGCCTCAGGAGACAGAGGGGAACTGGCTGCATGTCCGTCACCCCGACAGGGGAAGGGTGGGCAGGACCAGACCCTCTGCCGTCCGCTGCCAGGTCTTGGCATACAGCCTTGCCCACCCCCAGTGTCCCCACGTGGCCTGACCCTCTGCCCCCTGCTCCCCGCACACTGCCAGCCTGGGACCACGCCCGTGTGTCTGCCCCCTGCCCCCTCACCTGGGCACCAGGAGGTATCAGGTTCAAAGGCAGGAAGGGGTCTGGGTGGGCTTCCTGGAGAAGGGGGCGGACAGCCCAGCCAGGGTCTACCCCTCCTGCTGCTGGCCGTGCTGGGGTGGGAGGGTTGTGCCAGTGGTTGCCAAGCTGCTGCAGGGCACAACTTGATCTGGGGCCTGTCATGCCGTGGGCACAGGCCCAGGTCCGCCAGCACCCCGGGGCATCTCAGGGGCATAAAGGCCCGAGCCACCGAGTGTAGCTCACTCAGACCAGCATCCAGCCCCACCATGCTGCAGGCCCTGCTCGCCGGCTCCATCCTTGCCCTGCTCAGGGTGACCCCAGGCCAGGCCGAGGTTCCCATCCAGGCCAGCTTTGATGCCAGCCAGGTGCGTCCGTAGCCCCGGCCCTGAGCCAGACCCCCAGCCCAGCCCTTCCCCACACACCTTGGGCCTGGCCATGTTCCGACCCATCCGTGCTCCTGGGGCAGCCCACCCAGTGTCCAGCCTGGGGGCAGGAGGGAGCCCCTCGGCTGCCCTTCAGGGGAGAAGCCCAGCCCTGCAGCATCGCCGCCCCCCCCCCCAGCACTTGGGGCTGTGGCCCCTCACCCTGCCTACTGGCTGCAGTTCCAGGGCGTCTGGTACGTGGTGGGCATGGCGTCGGACGACCAGGACTTCCAGGACAATAAGGACAACATGAAGATGCCCATGGTCTCGGTCACCCCCTCGGCCAACGGCGACCTGGCCCTCAAGCTTGGCTACCCCACGTGAGTGACTCTGGCGCCCCCCGGGGGCTGAGGGGGCTGGCGTGGGGTGGGCAGCGGCCTCGGTGCAGGGGGGTAGGGTCGCCCCTCAGGGTGCTGTGGCCCCTCCACAGGCCAGACGGGGGGTGTCAGAAGATAGACACGACCTACGCCAAGGGCGCCGTGGACGGGCAGTTCAGCGATGCAGGTGAGGCCGGTGGGGCGAAGCCACTGACCGGGCATGCAGGGCGGGACGTCCGGGGACCCTAGATGGTGCCCTGGGAGGGGTTTCAGCCTCCTTTGCCCCTGCAGCCATGGCCCAGACAGACATCAGGGTGGTGGCCACAGACTACAGAAACTATGCGGTGCTGTACGTGGAGACGCAGAAGGCAGGCACCAGGAATGTGTGGCTGCAGCTCTATGGTAGGCGGTGCCCACCACCCCTCGGGTCTGCGCCAGGGGCTGGGGACCCTCACCCGACCCGCCGCCCTCACTGGCTCTGCTCTCCCACAGGCCGAAATCCGGAGATGTTTCCAGAAGGCGCCCAGAAGATGCAGCAGCTGGCCCCCCAAGTGGGCCTGAACCCCAGCCAGGGTGCCATACTGCCCAAGACGGGTGAGCGGGAGCCCCCAAGCCCGGAAGGGGCAGGCCAGGCCTTGAGGGGCGGGTAACTGGCTCGGGCAGGCTCTGAACACTTCCTCTCGTCCACAGACCAGTGTGCCGGCACCATTTCCAAGGTGAGTGGGAAGAGTAGGCAAGACCTCTCCCCAGAGTAGCCTTGCCAGCTCCCTGCGACCCCAGGGCTCCTCGCCCTCGTCGAGAACTAGGGTGGGCCTAGAGAAGGTGGGGTGGGGGCAGGCTGGGCCGAGCATCCTACCCAGCCATGGCCCTTGCCCCTCTGCAGTGAGCACCTAGTACAGGACGCTGGACCACAAGCTGCAGCGCGAGGCGACGCCTCCACCCAGCCTGACCCCAGCACAATAAACAAGCTGAAAGTGTTTCTGAGTGTGTGTGTGTTTTTGAGATGCGGCAGATCCTGTGGCAGCCAGGGCAAGGGCACCAGCTGGGGGGACACCGTCCCTCCAGGCCTGGCACTGCCTGGGAGGGGCACCAGGTCTCGTCACCCAGACCTCAGACATGCCCCTGGCCGGGGGTCCCAGCAGAGCCCCTCAGGCTCTTGCCCGTCTCTCCTGCACGGCAGTCCCGTTTGTGGTGTGACACTGGGAGCACTGATGTCACCTGGGCGGGACGAGCATGCCCAGCACCCCAAGGAACCCTCGGCCAGCACCAGACCCTGATGTCCCCAAGAGTCCCCGCCCTGGCCACTCCTGCCCCAGCCTTTCTGAGAAGCTGCTGGGCTGGCTGGTCCTTTGCGGCTGCGGGCATGAGGAGCCCAGGATTGTCTCTGCTCCTCCTTGGACTCCCTCTGAAATGGGAAGGGTCTGGAGCACCCCATAACCCGAGACAGCCTTCACTGCCCCCCGGGGCTCCGGCTGAGATGGACAGCTCCCCAGAGTCCTGCTGGACACCAGCATTCACGGGGACCCCCAGAACAGTGGTGTGCACACCTGTGGAAGCCCCGTCTGCCACTGCCCCCTGTGCTTGCCTGGCACCCCTCCTTCGGCTCTGCCAGTCTTCCTCCCCACCCCTAAAGTCTCTTGCTCCAGTATCTCCAGCTTCGTCGGTCATTAGATCTCTGGGACGCCAGAGCCATGCTGCTGTCCACTCCAGCTAGCTCCTGCCCAAGGCCCAAAGTCAAGACAGGGCTTCCTGGGACCCCCAGCTTCCTTATCTCCAGAGGTGCACCCAGGCCCACATCTGGTCTCTGCAGGAGGGCAGAAGCAACAGAAGGGTCACATCTCCGAGATGACTGTCCCTTTGTGTCCAGGGACAGTGTGGATCCACACTCCCCTGAGCAGCAAAATGACTCTCCCACTCAGAGGACATGGCAGCCAGGCCCATCCTCACCTTTTTTGTTTCGTTTTGTTTTTGCTTTTTGGGTCACACCCAGCAATGCTCAGGGGTTACTCCTGGCTCTGCACCCAGGAATTACTCTTGGCAGTGCTCGGGGGACCATATGGGATACTGGGACTCGAACCTGGGTAGGCTGTGTGCAAGAAAAACACCCTCCCCGCTGTGCTATTGCTCCAGCCCCAAGGTCACCTCACCTAGGAAGCACTGTGGCCACCATGGCGTGTCCCTGACCAGGGCAGTGGGAAAGAGCTCTTTATTTTTTGGCTTTTTGCGCCACATCTAGCGATGCTCAGAGGTTCCTCCTGGCTCTGCACTCAGGAATCACCCCTGGTGGTGCTCAGGAACGGATGGGCTTCTGGGGATCTAACTGGGGAAAATGTCCTACCAGTTGTACTATCGCTCTGGCCAAACTTCTTTTCCTTTCCTTCATTTTCTCTTTCTTTTTTTAGTTTTTCTTCTGTTTTGTTTTAATTTTGGGGCCAGACCTGGTGGTGTTTAGAGCTTACTCCTGGCTCTACACTCAGGGATAATTCCTGGCAGTGGTAAGGGGGCCTTAAGGGGTGCTGGTATCCCCGGCATCCCATATGGTCTCCCGAGCACCGCCAGGAAAGATTCCTGAGTGCAGAGCCAGGAGTTTGGAAGCCAGGATCCCAGTCTGGCTGGTCAGGTGCTCTCAAGGAGGCACCGCAGTGCTGGCAACGTGAGCAGTGGGTGGCTCTGTACTTTAGTCACTTACGGATTTCGACTGTTAAGATGAGGGGATCGGATAATTTGTGTCTGCCTGGAAAGAGGGCCAGTGATGATGCGCCAGCTGGAGGGGCCAGAGGCCTGGGCTAGGCCAGGGGAGACCCTGGGTTTGCCGGGAATAGCGGGGGCGCAGGAGTGGGTAGCCCAAATCAGTCTCCACGCGTGTTAGGGGCGGCGCTGGGCCCCTGGTGAGGGGTCCCACAGGCTGGAGCTCAGCTCAGAGCCCGCCCCACGCCGAACACCGCGCACGTGAAGGCCACACCCATAACCAAGCTCCTCCCGAAGGCCACGCCCCGAGGGCCAATCCCCACCCACCTCCCCATCTCAGCCTATAACCAGACGCCTCTCCCACAGGCCCCGCCTACGGAAGGAGCACGTAACTCCCCCCCCGCCACGCCCCGCACACCTATTGAAGTTGTTCACCCTGCCCTGCCCCTGGCTGGGCCCCGCCCCTCCATCCTCAGACCCCCCACTCTGCCCAGGCCCGCCTGATTTGCTCCAGAAGCCCCGCCCACAGGCACCGGAAGCCCCCGCCCACTCGGCTCAGGTCCGCCCATAGGCTCCAGGACCCGCGCCCATTCCGCCCAGGCCCGCCCCATCGGCTCCGGAAGCCCCGCCCCGTTCCTGGTTCCGGAAGCGCCGGCCCGCGCAGGCGCCGCTGTGCTCCCGAGCCCATGGCGCTGTCCCGGCCGCCGCCGGCCGTCTGCACGCTGCCGCCGGGCCCCGGGCCCCCGCGCTTCGTGTGCTACTGCCAGGGCGAGGAAGGCGGGGAAGGAGAGCGCGCTGGCTTCAACCTGTGGTGAGTGCGGGCCCGGGGGGCGGGCGCACGCCGCGGGGACCCCCTGACCGCCCCTCCCGCCGCAGTGTGACGGACGCCGCGGAGCTCTGGAGCACCGACTTCACCCCGGACAGCCTGGCGGCGCACGTGGGTCCGGGCAGGGGGTGGGCGGAGGACGGGGGGCGCGGGCCGCGGTCACCGCGGGTCACCGCCCCTGTGCCCTGCAGAAAGTCCGTTCCGGCCTGAGTGCGAGCGAGGACATCGGCCCGCGGTTCAGGTGAGCCCCGCTCATGGGGGCGCCCGGGGCTGGGGGCGCCGGGCCGCGCGCTCAGCACCCCCCGCTCCTTCCGCAGGACAGCCTGTGAGCAGAGCGCTGTGGCCTTCAGTCTGCAGGAGGAGCGGGCCTCTCTGACCCTTTCCGTGGGGCCCTCGGCACTGCACTTTGAGCTCTCCAAGGTGCCTGCGTCCGAGGCGGCGCCCAGGATACAGGCGCTGACGCTGGGTCTGGCAGAGCGCGTGTGCAGCTTGGAGCGGCGGCTGGCAGGTAGCAGGGGACCCCTGCCCCGCTTATGGGGGTCCCATTGCCTGCGCCCTCACTCTGACTCTTCCTCAGCTGTGGAGGCAACCACCAGCCCGAGGAAGAGCCCCAGGGCACTGGGACCTCAGCTCTTCCTGCAGGGTAAGACTTTTCACCTGTGCGTGAGGGGTGCCCTGTGGGTCAGAGACTCAGTCTCCTAGAATTAGTCTTTGCGTGGAGAGGCTTCGTGACCCTGAGCTCATCAGGCGTTCCTCTCCCCACCTCCCCCTTCCCTCCAGACCCTGATCCCCAGAGAGGCGGTCCTGGGCCCGGGGTCAGGAAGCGGAGTCCAGGAGAATCCCTCATCAACCCTGGCTTCAAGAGGTACCCAGTGCCCAACTCCCCCAGTGCCCAGCTGCCTACTGTGCCCACCCCCCATGCCCACTTGCCCCCTGTCAGCTATGCCCAACACCCACTGGTCCACCTGCTCGCTGTGCCCCCACCCACCCACCGTGCCCACCTGTCTCCTGCACACCCAGTATTCTTTCTCCCCCAGTAAGAAACCAGCTGCTGGTGTAGACTTTGAGGACCCCTGAAGGTACAGCACGTGAGGCCCGCCAGGTGCCTGCTGGGGTGGGCGGGCAGCCCTGAGGCCCCTCCTCCTCCCCCAGTCCTCACCTCCTTACCAGCCCCCAGAAACATGCCCACCATCAAATAAATGCTTCCTGGGTGAAGTCCTGGCTGGACCGTGGCTCTGGGGCTGACTGGGGTGTGGAGTCCACACACTGTGTGGGTTGGGGCTGCCCACTGCCGGCCTGCCCATCCTGGGACACACGTCACATGCAGACCCCTCTCACCCTGTCCTGCCCCATCCTGCAGGTGCCAGCTCCCTTGGCCCCTGGCAGAGCAGGTGTAAGATGCAGAGCTGTGGAATGTGGGCACCCTGCCCTCTGGCCTAGAGTGGCCTGGCAGGGCCCAACTCCCCACCCTTGTCGGCAGTCCTACCGCCCCACCCCGCCTGACTGGTTTGAGAGCCCATTCCAGTCCCACCGTCCCTGACAGGTGCGACCACACCCCGCCCACGGGCTCTCTGCCCCATGTTTGGGACTGTCTGGAGCTGGGCGACCCACAGGGCAGGGTGGGTTGTGCCGGAACCCGCGAGGCCACTGTCCCTCGGATGTCAGGACACGCTTGCTGGGGCAGAGACGCATTTATGGGGTTGCAGAGGAGTGGGCCGGGCAGGGCACTAGCGGGGGCGCACGGCAGGCCTGTAGGCAGCCAGGATCTCGGTGCTGTGCGGGCACGTGTATCTGAACTCCTTCTCCTGCAGCGCGTTGTCCAGGTAGCGGCGGACCCCGCGGAGCTCGGCGGGGATGGGCGCGTGGCGGAAGTGCGTGCACACGGTCTGCGGGCAGGACGGGGGTGGGGGTGGGTGTGTGAGGCTGCGCCTGCCTGCACTGCCCGCGCCCGCCCCTGCCCGCCTGCGCTCACGTCCACGACATGCAGTTTGGGCAGCAGGCAGCAGTCGGCCAGCGTCATCCGGTCCCCGTCCAGGAAGCGGCGTGGCGACTCGCGCAGCTGCGGCTGGTGCTCCAGCTCGTGCTCCAGGGGCGTGCGCAAGTACCGGTCCAGCCGGGCCAGGGCGCGCAGCAGCTGCCTGTACAGGGCTGGGGGCAGGGGACCCTGAGGCGCCAGCGGGGGCTGCGCTACCCGGCCCGTCCTGGCCCTGTTCTCTGCCTCACCTTCGTCCTGTGCCGGCGCGGGGTTCTTGATGAAGGCCGAGAACCTGTGAAAGATGTCGCTGCCTGCCGTACTGGACTCGCGGTAGCGGGGCGCCAGGCCAGGGAATCTGCGGGCGGGCAGGGACTCGTCAGAGCTGCCCGCCCTACCCCCGGGACCCCTTTGCCCGGCCCAGGCCCTCACTCCGGGGGCCCCAGCGTCTCCTCCAGAAACTCCTCGATCTGCAGTGTGTCCGTTTTGGCCTCGCCATCGTAGAGCAGGATGGGTAGCTGGGAGCCAGGGGCGAAGTCCTTCAGCACGTCGGGGGACCTGCGGGCAGGAGGCAGAGGGGCAGTGGCGGCTGGGTAGCGGCGGGCCGGGGCCGGCCGGGGCTCACCTGCGCGTGTCCACGGTGGTGAGGGTGAAGGGCACCCCCTTGAGCAGCAGGAGCATGAAGAGCCGCTGGCAGGAGGGGCAGTGGCCCACGCTCTCGCCGTCCTCGCTCGCCTGGCGGGGAGAGGCAGGCTCAGGGATCCCGCCGCCCTGACAGGCCCCACCAGCGGCCCGCAACTGCTCTTGACCGCTCCCTGGCCCCTGGGCAGGGGGACGGGGCCTCCAGGCAGGTGGGGCGGGCGAGTGATTCGCCCACCAGACGGCCACACGCTGGACGCCCCCAGGTCGGAAGGGCCGGGGCCGGGGGTCTCCGGGGGACCCACGGGTCAGCCCCGCCTTGGGTGCCCAGCGCCCCGCTGCCCCAGCCACGGCCGCCGCCACACAGACCCCCGGCCCTAGGCGCGCTGTCAGCCCCCAGCCGCGCCCTTGGCACCTTCACGAACAGCTGCAGCTGAGCACCCTCGGCCATGGCGGGAGCTGACGCGCGGCGGGCGGCGGGCGGCGCTTTAAGGCCCCTGCGCGCCCCGCCCCGGGCCGCCCGCGCCCCGCCCCCGAGCCGCCGGGGGCCCAGCCCGCGCGGCGCCGGACCGGCGGGAGGCGGGCCAAGGGCGTGACGTCGCGGAGTTGGTGACGCCCCTGCCGGTTTGAGCGCCGCGGGGGTGCCAACGTGACCAGGCGCTTGGTCAGCGCCTCCCGGCCACCCGGCTGTGATCGCTGCCTTCCAGCACCTCCAGTTGTCTTGGGCCCCGGCCCAGAACGCAGGGAGTGGAGAGGGTGACCGCAGGGGCCAGACTGGAGAAGTCGCAAGGGCACCCCGCACCAGCCCTGGCGCGCCCACAGTCCACACACCCACCGCAAGACCCGGCCGACGACCCTGCTGGGCAGGCTGGCACAGGAGACACGGCTTGGCTTGACCCACTGCCCCATGCCTCGAGCCCGCACCCAGGCCCTCATGAGGTGCACTCTGAGGTACCCCCACTGTGGACCAGGCTCGACAACACTCGGGGCTGCAGTGCGTGTGCGCGTGTGTAGCCGGCTGGCTGGAAAGGGGCCCCTGCCCTACAGCCTTCAGCAGGCACCCGGCTGGAGACTGGGAATGCCCGACCTGGAGGCCAACATGACAGGGAGCGAGAGGCACCGCGCCCTGTAAGCGCCAGGGGTGCTAGAGGGTGCTGCCCGGCGTGTGGAGCCTCACTCCGGGATGGGTGAGCCTGGGCATCTTACTGGATGCTTTGCAATTGCAGATAGCCTCACACAGGAGAGAAAACAGATCCTGGAGGTGACCTCTGACACGGGTCTGCGGGGAGGAACGTGTGAGGATGGAGAGGCCTCAGCAGTGGGCAGGGGCAGGGAGAAGTCCTGGATGGAAAGTGCCCGCGTAGGGCCACCCCAGACAGGTGAGGGGACAGGGCTGAAGGTGAGCGGTACATCGATCCACCTAGGTCCAAAAACTTACACGTTTTTTGTCTTTTTTTGGGGGGGGAGCACACCCAGTGGTGCTCAGGGCTTACCCCTTGCACTGTGCTCAGGAATCACTCAGTGAGTGCAGGGACCATCTGGGATGCCGGAGCTTGAGCTACGGCTCCTGCAAGCCAGCCTCGAGCTTCAGCCTCTAGCACAGGCTGTGGACCCTGAGTGTGAGACCTTGCATCCCGACTGCCTGCCCGAGCATGACCAGTCGGTCAATCAGAAGTGACCCCTGGGCTCTGAACCCTGCTGGGAGACCCAAGCAAACAAGGTTCAGATGACCATGGCTTCCTGGCTGTACCCCCAAAGGCCAGATGACCATGGCTTCCTGGCCTGGAAAGAATTCAGTCTCCTACTGCCACAAGGAGCCCCTGTCCCACTGATGCTGTAGTGCCAAGTTTGGGGAACTGAGAAAAAACAGCGAGAATTTAATGGTATTTATGTTTTAGGCCACACCTGGCTGTGCCCGGGGCTTACTCCTGGCTCTGTGCTCCTCGGGGGACCATATGTGATGCTGGGGCTCAAACCTGGGTTGACCTTGGGCAAGGCAGACACCCTCCCCACTGTACTCTCACTCTGGCCCTGAACTAAGGGGTGTTTTAAAAAGACAAAGGCAGGGCTGGAGCAATAGCACAGTGGGTAGGGCGTTTGCCTTGCACTCGGCCAAACTGGGTTCGATTCCCAGCATCCCATATGGTCCCCTGAGCATCGCCAGGGGTAATTCTTGAGTGCAGAGCCAGGAGTAACCCCTGTGCATTGCAAGTGTGACCTAAAAAGCAGGTAGGAAGCAGGATTTATCGAGGCGGAATGGGGAGAAGACAGGGACTCAGCAGCTCTGAGGCGCCTGCCTGCGTCCAGAGGCCCACACTAGGGTCACTTCTGAAGCCCGACCATGTGGGAAGAGCACCTGCCAGCCCCCCAGGCACTGGTGGGCCCGTATCTGCAGGTGGCTGCACTGGCCTCAGGGGCCTTGAGCGTGATTGAGTCTCGGGCACGGTCTCCTTGTGCACCTTCCAGACCCACATTCCAGAGGCTTGCCCAGGAACAGCATGAGGGCTAAGAGATCTGTCCCCGGAAGGACTCCTCTGGGCTGCCTGTGGCCCTGCATGCTGGCCCAGGGTGGATGCTGTGTATGTTTTAGTGCAGCTTCAAACATCCCTAAAGATGACAGTGGTGAGTGGTCCATGAGACCTAGGGATCATTTCATTTGTTTTGGGACCACCCCTGTCGGTGCTCCAGGATTGAACCCAGGGTCCCAGCACACAGAGCTGCCTCCCTGGCCTCTGTGGTAGTTTCTGTGAGAGAAGAATGCAACGTCAGAGGAAACTTGGAAAACCAGCCTCGGGCAAGAGGTTTAAGGACACGGTGCAGCAGGTTACTCTGCAGGCCAGGGCTGAGACGGAGAGGAGGGGAGAGGAGGCATAGCCAGGGTCCAGGACTCGGGTGTCCTGCTCCCACGGGGGCTTTTGGAGCACAAAAATGGCAGGAAGAGGGCATCCCAGTGCGACCAGATGCCATGGGGGTAAGGGAGGGCCTTCCCACCTTTCCTCTACCAGCAAACCACACCAGCTCTCCCACCCTGGGGCCTGCACTTCTGGGGACCCCCGCAGCTGCCTCATGGCGGCTCCAGCACCCTCCTCCTCCCCAAGTACACCTCACACATCTCTGCCCCCACTCTCCAAGGTTCCCCCCCGCCCCCGTCTCCTTGGGTCAGCCAGACAGCCCGTGTCCAGAGCCCAGGCTCCGGGCCCTGGCCACGTCTCCAGCCTGGACACAACTCTGCCTCCACTGCCCTTCAGCTTCAGGGACTCTCCACATCACGTGCCACCTTACGTGTGCCCTGCCCATATACTTCCCAGCCCTTGGGAGCGACAGCAGCTGCATCCACGTTCAGCTGCTGGGAGTCCAGGAAGGCAATGCCCTGTCTCAGTCACCCCACCCTGTGGTGTCAGGGCCGGTGGGGGAGGAGTCGCGCCCTCCCCACGCAGCCGCCAGGACACAGCAGGTGCACCTCAGCACTGGGCCGGCTTCACTACCAAACCACAGCCCCCACACACTGGTGTTTTGGTTTTATTTAAAACAAACATCTGTGCGCTATGTACAGAACCAGCTCCTGGTGCAGGGTGGGCAGGGGCCAAGCTGGATGGGGGAGGGTTGGCAGCAGAAAGGGGATCTCACCCGTCTGTAGGGTCAGCGCCCCATTCCTGCTGCCCACCCCCACACCAGCAACCTCCCCCACATAGGAAGCCTTCTAGGAAAACAGGTCAGGGAGCCTCTTTCCAAAAATAAATAGGGGTCTGGGGTGGGCACTGACCTGGTCCCCCATCCCCAACGCTGCTATGCCCTGATTCCATTAAGAGGAAAGCCCGTCCAGGGTCTGGCCAGGAAGGGACCCACAGAGGGGGACCATGAACACGTCACCCCAGATGGCCTTGGGACACTGGGCGGAGCCAGAGAGGGAGAGTGAGGGGCCAGGACAGACCCCAGGCTTTAAGGCAAAGCCGGGTGAGGGAGTGCACAGCCCAAGCTGGGCTGGCCTTTGGCACGAATGGGAGAAGGTGGCTGCTGTGGCCACAGCAAGGGGCGAGGCTGCGGGGGACGCCTGTGGTCCTGGACCTCCCTTTCCAGGGCCTGGCAGATGAGCGTGGTATGTCTCGTCCTGCTGGACTCTTGTCCCCACGCTGTGTCCTTGAGCCCACCCCGAGTAGTCAGCAGAGCGTGTCCGTGTTGAAGGAGAGCTGGGCCTGGTAACAGAGGGGTGAGGGGGGCTGGGCAGAGCCTGTGGCTGCCCCCCGGCTCCTGTGCTGACTTCCCCCCACAGGGCTCGGGGGCCTATAAGGTGCCAAGGCTCTGATTTGCCTCGTCCGCATGCCCGGCAAGTGGCTCTTGATACCACTCTCCAACCCAGCTGGAATCTTTTCCTTTCCTTTATTTTCTGGTTTTGGGGTCACACCTGGAGGTGCTCCAGGGACCCTACAGCGTGCCAGGGATGGAACCCAGGTTCACCATGTGCAAGGCAAATGCTCTACCTGCTGTCCTCCTCCCTGGCCCTGCCTGTCCCGCCCCCATCCCACGACCCCTTTCTAGAACTGGCTCTGCTCTCACTATGGATCCTCAAAACTCCCAAGGGTCTGCCTGTTCTTAGGCCTTCATGTCTCTAGCTCTGACCCTCTGGTGGTACCCTGCCACCTCATGGGGACAGCAACCCCATGGGGACGGCTGCAGCCTCAGAGCCCCGCTCACCCGCTCCTCCTCGAAGCTGATGAGACCTTCGTCTTCTGTGTCCAGATCCTCCGGCTCATCGGTCACCAGGGCACGCAGTTCCGTGGGCGCAGGCCGCGGCCGGAACAGGCTCAGCAGCCGGCCCAGCGGGGACTGCAGGCCCGAGGACGGCTCTGTCTCCTGCTGCTCCAGGTTGTCACTTTGCTTCTTGGCGAAGTTGACAAACACCTGAGGGCAGGCAGCAGGCTGTGTGTGGGTGCAGCAGGCCCGACTCCCGCCCCGGCCCGTAGCACTCACGTTGTCCAGGGTGGTCTGGCTGACCGAGTAGTCCTCGATGCCCAGCACGCCCACCACCTGCTCCATCTTGCTGAACACCTGTGCCAGCGAGATGCGCTCCGACTTGAGCTGGTACTGCACCTTCGTGTGGTGCCGCTCCTGGGGAAAGAGCGAGTCAAGCTCCCAGCCACGCCCAGCACGCCCAAGGAGTCCCTTCGACTCCTCCCCCGTCCCGTAACAACCAGACACGCCCACCCCACACCAGGACCACCCTCCAGGGCCCGCCCAACCCCAACGACCCACCCAGACCAGGTCCATGCCCAAAGCTGCCTCAACCCTGGGTCCCGCCCTATGCTGGCCCCGCCCACTCAGGCCACGCCTGCCTTGGCTCACGGTGGCCCCGCCCACAAGCCTATCTGCCAATACCCCACCCACACAAACACCGGGCCGGCACACACCACGCCCTCCAATACCACGCCCACACGCTCTATTGACCCCGCCTCGACCACGCCCCACCTCACCCAGGCCCCGCCCACGGCGGCCCCGCCCTTCCCGCCCTGCGCACACAAACACCTGCCCCCGGAGACCACGCCCACGCTGGCCACGCCCACACCCATCCTCCAATACTACACCCACGGCCCTCCCTGCCCCCGCCTAGACCACGCTCAGGCCCTGCCTCTTCCCCGCCCACCTTGAGCACGGCCTCCGGGAAGTTGCGATTGAAGAAGCGCACCACGTCCTTCACGTTCTGGCTGCTCTTGGTCCTCACGGTGATCATGTAGCCATCCCCAAACCTGCACGACAGGCCCATGACCTCAAGCCCCGGCGCCCCCGCGCCCCTCCCCGCCCCACCGCACCGCTCACCGGTTCTTCAAGTGCTGGATGCTACCCAGACAGCGCAGGCGCCCGTTGACCATGATGGCCAGGCGCGTGCACAGCGCCTCACACTCCTCCATGCTGCGGACACAAAGGAGCGGGTTGGGGTGGAGCGCACGCGCGGGCGCGGTACGGGAGGAAAGGGGGCGTCCAGCTGGGGGCACGGCGCGGGGTGGGTGCACACCTGTGTGATGTCAGCACCACCGAGCGCCCTGTTTTGATGAGGTCCAGAATGAGGTTCCAGAGGAAGCGCCGCGCTTTGGGGTCCATGCCTGTAGTGGGCTCGTCCTGAGGGTGGCACAGGCTCAGCTGCAGCCCCAACACCCTACCAGTCCACCCCACTGCCCCGGGGCTCACCAGAAAGATGAAGGAGGGGTAGCCAATGAGGGCTATGGCAGCCGACAGCTTCCGCTTGTTGCCTCCACTGTAGGTGCCCGCAGGCCTGTCAGCGTGCTTGGTCAGCTCCAGCTTCTCCAGGGCCCACTTCACCACCTACAAAGGGCAGGGGCGTGAAGGGTGCTATTGCGTGCACTGCTGAGGCGGACAGAGGGGCGGGCAGTGCCCACCTGCTTCTCGTCCTTCCAGGGGATGCCCCGGAGCCTTGTGTAGAGCTGCAGGTGCTCCCGGGCTGTGAGCTCATCGAACAGGGCGTCGAACTGCGGGCAGTAGCCAAGGCTCTGCTGGACCTGCAGCAGCTCCCGGAGCACACTGGGGACAGGGCCCTGTCAGCGGGCAGCTCGGTGCCCTCACCAGCCGCCCCCACCACTGTGCTCGCTGCCAACCTGTGCCCATTGACGAAGGCCTCGCCCCCCGTTGTGCTCTCGTCGCCCGTCAGCATCTTGAAGGTGCTGGTCTTGCCTGCGCCGTTGACGCCCAGGAGCCCGAAGCACTCCCCGGGACGCACTCCCAGACACAGCCGGTCCACAGCCAGGATGCGGCCAAGCTTCCGCGACTTGTACACCTGGGCGGGCGAGGGGCTGTGCAGAGGGACCCTCCCTGCCTGGCCAGGCTCTCGCCAGGACCCACCTAGCCCGCGTCACGCCCCGACTCCCCTGCGCCCAGAGCCCACCTTGGTCAAGTTTTCGATCTTGACCATGTCATTGTCCGCGTCCCCACGCAGCACTCGCCGCCGCTCGCTGGCCACGTCCACATCGTCCTCCACGGGCTTGGTGGACACTGGCATGCGCCTGGGGAACAGTGGGTGGCACTGGTGGGCCGGCCCTGGGCTCGCCTGTGGCCCGGCCCTGGGCATGCCCCACTCACTGCGGCTGCCGGAGAAAGTTGTACTGGCACATGATGGTGAGGAAGAAGCCCACGAAGCCCTCAACTGTCATGGCCACCAGCCCCCGCGTGACAATATCCCACTCGAACGGGGACTTCATCTTGTCAAACTGGCCTGTGGGACGACCGGCTCAGGACCTGGCTCCCACCAGGCGCCCAGCTGGCCCGCCTGGCCCCCGCCCTGCTCACCGATCTTGGCATAGTACTCATTGATGTACTCATTGTAGGCCATCTCCATGAGCCCGTGGCCCAGGTTGTAGTTGGGGAAGATGAGGAAGCAGCTCTTCAGGTAACTGTTGACCACCTTCAAGTCCTGAGTGTCGTGAGGTCACACAGAGCTTCTCAGCCCTGCAGTCCTGCCGGGCCGCCCCTCCACCCCTGCCCTTGCCCCCTCAGTCATGCCCACCCCGCTGCCCTGCCCCGCCCTGCTGCCCTGCCTCCCGCACCTCCGCCCACCTCGCTGCTCTGTCCCCTCCCCCCCCGCCCGCCCTGTGCCACCTTGTCGTGCTCAAAGAGCTGTAGCAGGAACGTGGCCACGGTGGCTGTGATGCCGATGAAGAGGTTGATGACGATGAGGAACACGTAGGCTGAGCTGGGAACCTCGAACCAGAAGGAGGCCGGGTACATGATGGGGGTGATGGACCACCTGTGGGCAGGGGCAGCGGTCATCGCGAGAGGCAGCGGCCCCCTGCCCGACCCCACGTCCTCTTACCCATAGAGCAGGAAGAGCGAGAGCACTGCCGGGAAGTTGGTGGGTGACGTGTAGGCCGGCAGGTCGAACACGAACAGGATGATGACGCAGCAGGTGGCCGGGACCAGGTAGTTGAGCTGCAGGGGGTGGGGGGGTGTTGGTGAGGGGCCACGGCGGGGGGCGGGTTGGGGCGGGGGCTCCTTGGGCACAGGGGCACACCATGTCCCACACGTAGTTGGCCAGCCAGTAGATGACGGGGTCGCAGCCGCTGACGAACTGCAGGTGCTTGGCCTTGGTGGACTGCTCGGCCACCAGGAAGACCACGAAGCTGGCCGGCACAAAGGACATGGCCACGATGATGAAGATGGCGATGACCACGTCGGTGCCCTGCAACCTGGGGGAGGCAGCCCTCAGCACTGCCCAGTCCCGCCAAGGGATGGCCCTGCCCGCCCGCCGGCCCCACCTACAGGTAATCCAGGGAGAGGCTGGCACTGGTCTTGTTCATGGGGTGGTTGGTGACAGTGATGCCTGTGGCAGGTGGGAGAGCAGCCTCAGGGGTGGGCCCTGCCGCATCCCCCCGCCAGGTCCCCCCACACCTGTGTCCCCCCCCCGCACCTTCCGCCACATCCCCTACCCTGCCCATGCCCCTGACCCCACCCACGTCCCCCCACCCACCCACCTGCACCACCCACTGCCATGTGCCCCCTGCCACATCCCCCCTGCCTGTGTCCCCCCTGCTGTTTCCCCCCACAGTGTTCCCCCCTGCTGCATCCCCCACCCTGCCCATGCCCCTGACCCCACCTGCATCCCCCCCACCGCCATGTCCCCCCACCGTGGACGACACCTGTCCACTCACCATAGGCTGCAGGGTTGCCTCTGCTTTTGGGCAGGTTGGCGCGCAGAATGGCGTTGTTAAGGCTGTTGAGGTAGGTGGGCATGCTGTGGTAGCCCTTGTTGTTGTAGAACACCTGGGGGCAGAGACCCAGAGCCGGTGGATGCCTGCGGGCGGTGGGGGGGGAGGGCGCAGGGGGGTCTGGCACTCACCTGTGCCACTCTGCGCACAGCTATTTTCCGCACCATGGCCGGCGCTCGCGCGCCAAATGACGCGGGGATGGACTTCTGCACATTGCCGAAGGTGATGGCCCCGTACCTGGGCAGGGAGCTGGGCGGTGAGGCCGGCAGGCAGCTGCTCCCTGACCCCGCCGCAGCTGCACTGCCCCGCCCCACTCACCGGTGCAGGCGGAAGCGGTCGGAGGTGAAGAGCAGGTACTCGGAGACATTGTGCCCGGTGATATCCGTGAGGATGTCTCCTGTGACCACGCGCACCTGCGGGGGGTGCCCGCCCACACCCCCCGGGCAGGAGAAGCCCGTTCCCTGGGGGGAGCAGACGCAGCGCACGGGCTCCCGCACCAGGCGGGGCAGCGAGGGCGCCGAGGTCCAGTTCTCTGGGGGCACAGGAGGGTGGTCAGCCATGGCCGCGCGGACCCTCCCCCACGGCTTCCCTGAGCTGGTACCTGGCCCTGAGGTGGGTGGCAGGGAGGAGTTCCAGGTCTGCAAGGGGTCCTCGTCGGCGGAGAGGGGGGCGTCAGAGGGGGCCGGGGAGGGCGGGGGCGGCACGAAGTTGGACAGCGGCAAGCCCTGAGTGAAGGACTCCAGGCACATGCTGTCGAAGAAGCGCGCAGCCAGCAGCCGGGACTCACCGCTGCTCAGGTTCACGACGGGGCCCAGCGAGCCGTTGGCCGGAGACTTCAGCACACAGGTGGCCCCCACGCCAGACGGCAGCCGGAAGGTGCTCACGAGCTGCTGGGGGCTGGCGTCGGGCGACAGCCGCAACCTGAGGGGCCCGGAGGTCAGTTGGGTGCCTTGCCTGTGCCCGCCCCCGCCCGGCAGGTGCTCACCGGTACTCCCGGCGCTCCTCGTTGGCGTAGGGGATGAAGTTGCCACGTGGCTGCGTGTAGTTGTGGTACTGGGAGGGCGACAGGACCAGTGGGGGCAAGTCACCTGGCAGGACAGGAGAGACAGCGGCCTGACCACCTGGCCAGGGCCCCGAGCCAGCAAAAGGGACCCCTGCTGTGTGGGCAGCCCTACCGATCTCGGGGACAGAGAGGGCCACGGTCATGGCCACGCAGACGAAGAAGGCGGGCAACAGGATCTGGGAGGACAGCGCCTTGGAGTTGCGGCGGGCACAGTGGAAGCGCTTCACCAGGAGCCCGTGGAACTGGCGCAGCCTCAGCGCCCAGCCCTCCATCTTGCGGCTGCCCCGGCCCTCTCGTCTCAGAGCCTCGGCCTCGGCCTCTGCACAGAAAGGGGATGCTGAGCCACAGCCGGCGCTGCCCGCCAGGTCCCTCCCAGAGTCCGGCAGCCCACCTTGCAGGCTGACGTTGTCAGGGTCCTGCAGGTTGTTCAGGAGTGGGCGGTAGTTGCCAGAGACGTCGGCAGAGCCTGAGCCCACCGAGGACGTGGACTGCAGGGACGCCTGGGACTGGGCCAGCTCCGAGCTCTGCGCCAGGCTCCCTGTAGGAGCCGCTTCGGTCGCCGAGAACACCTCCTTCCTGGACTCCTTCACATCTGCCATGGCAGGAGAGCAGGGACCTGGCCTTGAAGCCCCACTGGCCCTGGGCAACCCCAGACCCAAACTTCCCCCAGCGGGGGCTGGCCCCCGGCCCAGGCTTACCTGCCTCACTGTTCTCCAGGGACTGGTCTTCCTCGGACACCTTGAGGAACACCTCTTCCAGCGTGGTGTCCATGAGCCCAAAGCTGCTCAGGTGCAACGCATCCAAACTGCACTCCAGGTGCTAGGGAAAGGCTGGGTAAGGCTCACTGCAGGCTGGTCACAGGGTCCTGCTTCTGGGGACCATCTGATCACCCGCCCAAGCCTACCCCATGCCCTGCCCGGCTGGCTGTACCCACGCGGGTCCTGCAGCCCGACCATTCAGGACCCCTGCCACCCCGCCTCCTCCATGGACTGAAATCGGCCTGGCCACCACACCTGGAAGAGGCGCTCAAAGGCGCCCTTCTTGGCGGCCTCGCTGGGCAGGATGTAGGAGAGCTCAGTGCTGGTGTCAGAGACCAGCAGGCAGGAGGCCACGTGCTTGCGGATGAACTGGGAGACTTGGGGTTCAGAGCAGCAGCTCAGCTGGGCGCGGCCCGAAGGGCTGGACGTCGGGCCTGGCTCTAGGAGGGTGGAGGAGAGGGCTCACCCAGCAGGCCCCGGGACACCGTGCTGCTGTTGGGGGGCCCTGCAACGCTCGGGCTCCGAGGCCAGGGCTCTCGGGGAAGGCTGGCCCGGCACCTCTGCACAGACCTGGTGGGTCCCCGGGCTGGGCTGGCTGCTTGACCAGTGTGAGGCGGTAGCCATCGCCATAGGCGCCCTTGAGGAAGAGCGGGGAGCCGCAGCATTTGAGCTTCCCATGGGAGATGATGGCGATGCGGTCCCCGAGCAGGTCAGCCTCGTCCATGTGGTGGGTGGACAGGAGGATGGTGCGGCCTGTGGAGGGTGGGCCGGGTCAGAGGGCTGTGCGGGGGGTACTGGGGCCAGGCTCCACCCCTGCCCCGACGGCTCACCAGGCTTGTATTTCAGGATGAGGTCCCAGATGGCCCTGCGAGCGTAGGGGTCCACCCCGGCGGTGGGCTCGTCCAGGATGATGGCGCGGGACCCACCCACAAAGGCGATGGCCACAGAAAGCTTGCGCTTCATGCCTCCCGACAGTGTCTGCACCAGTGAGTGCCGCTTGTTGGAGAGCTCCAGGTCCTCGATCATCCTGAGGGAGCAGAAAGCCCAGAGTGGTGCTGTTACACCAAAGGTGCGTAACAGGCCCCTCTCGCCCTGCTTAGCCCCCCTCACAGGGGGCCGAGCCCCACCCACACCGCCAGGCCCTGCCCACAAACCTAGCTCCGCCTGCCCTGGCCCTGCCCCACCCACTCACGAGGTCCCACTGCCTAAGCAGGCCCACCCACATGAGGGCAACCCACCCCACCAATCCCGGCAGGCCCCCCCACGCCCAGACCCACGAATCCCCGCCCACCCGCGAGGCCCCGCCCTCCCAGGCCCTGCCCACTTGTCCATCTCCTTGCGGATCTCCGCCTGGGCCATGCTCTTCAGCCTGGAGTAGAACCACAGGTGCTCCTCCACGGTGAGCCGGTCGAAGAGCACGTTGTGCTGTGGACACATGCCCAGGTTCTTGCGGATCTCGTCCATCTCCGTGCGGATGTCATGCCCGTAGATGGTGGCCGAGCCAGACGTGGGCGGGAACAGGCCGGTCAGGATGGACCTGGGTGGGCGGGCACGCCGTGAGCAGCTGTGCATGGCCAGGCCTGCCCCCCGCTGCAAGTGGCACTCACATGGTGGTGGTCTTGCCCGCCCCATTGTGGCCCAGGAAGGAGACCACCTGGTTCTCATAGAGGTTCAGGCTCAGCTTGTTCAAGGCCAGCTTCTTGTCCGTCTTATAGATCTTGGTGAGCTTGTCCACGCAGACCACCAGGGGCAGGTGGGTGGGCTCCTCCTCCATGCCACGCATCTCCTCTGCAGGAGGCCTGGGTCAGCACCACCCCTCTCCGGGCCCACGACACCCCCACCCCTCTGCTCCCTCACCCAGGCGCCGGCTCTCCATGGCACACGCCTGGTCCTCCTCCATGACGCTGAGGCGGGGGGCACGAGCCCACGGCCAGCTCCACTCCCAGGCTTCCGTCCGCCCACTGCCCAGCCAGTAGGACTTCTGCAGCGGGAAGTACCAGGGCCGGGGCAGCCCGTACATGCCTGGGGGAGAGGCGGGTGGCGTCACCACTGACCCCAGGCCAGATACCACAGCCTCCTCCCCAGAGGTGCGGTGCTACCTGGGTGCACGGCTTCAATGTACCACGTGAGCACCCCGTAGACGACGGCGTCTACCATCAGCATGGTCACTGCCAGCAGCAGGTTGAAGTCGTCCCCCTCCACCGGGGACTGGCTGAAGGTGTGCCACTGAATGCCCACGCCCGCCACCTCATACAGGGCAAAGTACTTGGAGCCCAGGCCGAAGGCAGTGGTGGACATCAGGGACTGTGGGGACGACGGAGTGAGCGGGTGGGGCAGGCAAGGACCCCTCCTCCCCCCCCCTGCTCTGCAGCGGTGACCCTCACCGCAATGCATTTCTCGAAGGCAGTGATCCTGTCATGGGCCACCTCTTCCCGGATGGCCACGTACATGTAGGGCACGTAGCTCAGGAAGTAGATGATGCCGCCGCAGGCCGAGGCCAGCTTGGCCTTGGAGTACAGCACAGACACCAGGAAGCTGGGATGGGGGGCCACGGCATCAGCTACCCCGTCCCTGGCACCGTACCAACGCCCCTCTCGGCACGTCCCTCCTGGGGACAGAGGAGCTGCAGGCGTCTGTGAGTGCCGAGTGGCCCTGGGGCCCCGTGCGTGCCCGCCAGTCGCAGACTCACCAGAACATGATGGTGGCCACAGCGTAGACGGCCAGGAAGAGCCAGATGATCAGCACATGGCTGTGCATAAGCACCTGGCCGTACTTGAGGATGGCCGTGAGTGCGGTCACTGAGATGGACAGCTGCACAAAGCCCGTGATGAACCAGGCCACCCAGTGCACGGCATTGTTCAGGCCCATGGTCTTCATCACCTGTGGCAGGGAGGCTCTAGCAGGGCTCTGGGGCCACCCGGCCGCCCCCTGCTGCCCCTCACCCCCACCCACCTCCTTCAGGCGATGCTCTTTCTCGGCCACGATATGCTGGATCGTCATGGCCACCGAGTAGACCCAGGAGATGACCATGCAGAGTGGCATCATGTGCTCGATGACAAACAGGAAGCTGTGGGGTGGGACCTTCGTGAGGCAGGGACCCCGCCAGCCCAGCCCGGTCCCTCCGGTGGCACTCACTCGTCCCGCGTGTAGCAGGGATAGGGGAACATCTGCACATAGTTGCCGGGCTCCACGACGTCGTGGCCCACGAAGGTGTTGATGATGGCTCGCTCCATCATGTCTGTGTGTGTATGTGAGGGTGGTCAGTGGTCAGGGGCGCCCTCTGGTCCCGGCCTCACCCCGCCCTGGATCCCTGGCCCTCACCCTGGATCCACACGAAGCCATACAGGAAGTAGAAGCGGCCCCCAGTGTTGGGCCCTGGGCGCCAGTAGGCCCGGCGGATCTCATTGGTTTTCTCCGTGAAGCTGGAGTTCTGGCGGATCTTGTAGTGGACGTGGGGCGGCAGGGAGCCATCCTTGCGTGTCTGGAAGATCACACCTGGGGAGAGGGGCCAAGTGGGGGCGGGCAGGGGCGGGGTGCAGAGGCAGCGGGGTGGGCGGGGCGGGGGCCGCAGTGCTCACTGGCAAACACTGTGACATTGTCCTGGTAGGCCTGGTTCAGCGTGTAGTTGACGATGCTCTCCTCGTCGGGAAAGCCCTTGAAGATGTCCACGCTCACCTGGGGGACGGGCACGGTTGGAGCAGCCCCTGGCAGCCCCCGAGTCCCCCGGGGGCAGGGCGCACCTTGGACATGAACTGGATCCAGCCACAGGCTGCATTGTCAATAGTGTCCAGCTGCTGCAGGAGGGCAGAGCCGTTGGGCAAGGAGAAGTCGTCCTGGCGCAGGGCGGGCGGCAGCGCCTCGGCAGACAGGTTCAGCACCTCCGGGTGCAGCCGCAGCTCTGCCACGGACTGGGGTGCAAGGATGGCTTAGGGCAGGGGTGTGGGGTGCTGGGCGGGACATGGGGGGGCAGCCCACACGCCCCACCTGTTGCAGCCAGTGCAGGTGCTGCTGCAGCCGGCCCTGCTCCAAGAAGCTGCGGATCTCAGCGGAGATGTTGAGCCAGAGCTGGGCGTAGTGCGTCACGTTGCCGACGAAGGCGAAGGTCTCGTTGGCCTGGGAAGGGAGGGGAGGTGAGCACGAGGTTATGAGGCGCCTAGTGCGGGCTGCCCTCACCCCAGCCAGCGGGAGCCCAGTAACTGTCTCTCAGGGGAGTATGTGGGGGTGCTGGGGGTAACTCGGGGGACCCTATTTGGGGTAAGCACGCTCAAGACAGGAGCCTGAACCCCCGCTCTCCCCAGCCTCCAGCCCACCACACGTTCTCGCTCTGATGAACTCCCACCTGGGAGCTTACGACCCTCCAATTCCCGGTCTGTGCAACAGTCCTCGGCCATCTGGGCCTTGGCACTGGTCACCTTACCCAGGCCTCTCCTGCCCCTGGCGAGCCCTTTCCCGCCCTGCTTCCCACTTCTAGACAGGGCGTCCCTGCGAAGTGCCCACTGTCCAGGCCTCAGTGTCCCCACGCGGGCCCAGCAGGCACGGTGCTGGACTCCTGCCTGCAGTTCCTCAGTTCCCACCAGCCCGTAAGGACCCCCACCCGGACCTGCAGGCCTGGCTGCTCCCTGCCCAGCCCAGCCTCCCCGCCCGCACACCTTGAGGATGACCCGGTCAGCCTCGGAGCCCGCGGGCGCGTACAGGATCTTGGGGTTGCTGGTCATGAGGTGCACCAGGAGGCCCAGGTTCCTCTGCTCCTTGCTCGTGAAGCCCAGTGAGCTCATGTTGCCCCTCCGCAGGGCCTCGGGCTCGATGGTTCTGGTGGGACTGGGGGTCAGCTCGGTGGTGGGGGGGCGTGGCCTCTGGGGGCATGGCCTCACAGGGGTTGGCGTGGGGTGGGGCCCACTGGCGGGGCCCTGGGCCAGCCCAGGTGGAGACCTCGGGTGGACTTGGCGTGGGTGGGCACCGGCAGTGCAGGGCAGGAGTGGGCTGAGGCGCCACCTGGGTTCCAGGGGCCCTGCGGGGTGGTCGGGTGTCGGGTCCGCTCAGCACTTACCGGTTGTTGCCGCACAGGATGGGCTGCAGGCCCGCCCAGAGCTGCACGAAGGCCGCGCACTGACCCTGCAGCGTGTCCGCCGAGGCGGGGCCAGCGGAGGAGGCTGCTGCGTCCTCTGTGGAGCCGTTGGCACCAGGACCAAGGCCTGACCCCGTGCTATTGCCCGCGCCCCCGGGGCCGACGGCTGGGCCAGCACAGGCACCCTGAGGCAACAGCAGGGCCAGGGCCGAGAGAACGTCCACACCCTGCAGGAGCTTTCGGGCGTCCAGCAGGTCCTCCAGCAATGCCTGCATCTGCCGCGGGGGCGGGGGTTGCTGCGGAAGCGCTGCGCCCTTGAGGGCTGTGTCCAGGCCCAGCTGAGGGAGGACAAATTTCAGGGCCATGGGGCAGGTGGAGGGCAGGGCCCAGGGCAGGGCTAGGGTGGCCAGGCTGGCACAGCCCCCCACAGCTCTGGTCCAAGGTGCCTCCCTGGGCAGTGGGCCACGGGTAGGGCTCACCTGCTGGGCAATTTTGGCCCTGTCCAGCTGGTTCCGGAGCTCTGCTGCCAGCTGTGCAAAGCGCTGGGCACGGGCTGTGGCCTGGCCACTGCAGACGGCGTCCCAGTAGCTCCGCAGAGCAGCCTGGCGACCCTGCCCCACGGTGAGGATGCGGCCCAGCTCCCCGGAGCCGGGGGCGCACGTCAGTCGCTCCAGGAGGGCCGGCGCCAACAGCAGCTCCTGGGGGGACAGGGACTGCTTAAAGGGAGCCTGGCCTCATGCTGCGCCCCGTCTTGCCCCGGCCACGTCCCTCTCCCACCCCGTGGACAGGCCACCCTCACCTCCATCCGAAACAGGTGGTTAGAGAGGCTGGGCTCTGCGTCCAGGGCAGGCGACGGGCCGAACAGCAGGCGATGCACCTGAGGGTGCAGGAGGGACTCCGAGGCCCTGCCCGCCCACCCCACCCACACCGCAGGGGGCGCTGAGGCCGTGCTCACCTCAGACAGGTCCACCCGCGCGCCCAGGAGAGCCTGGGCTGTGCCGTTGGGCAGGGACAGGTTTTGAGTCAGGAAACGCCAGAGCTCCCTCGGGTCCCGGGCCACCGAGTCCAGAGAGAAGGCAGACACTGCACAGGTGGAAGGGGGGGGTGAGGCCCACTCTGCCTGCCTCAGCACCTCGGGCCACCCTGCCCTGAACGCACCTGCATGGCCCTGTGGGGCTCCGTCCCTGGGCTCTGGGACGGCTCCCAGGGCTTCCAGGCGCTGGCGCAGAGCCTCGAGCTCCAAGCCCAGGCTGGGGCGTGCCGGGTCAAACAGGTTACTGTCCTCCACCACGCGGCTGAGGCGCTCCAGCAGCTGGGTGACCCTGTCCCCCAAGCACGGCAGCTCAGGGCACAGCGGGGGCACGCAGAGCCGGGCTGGGGGCGTGCCGCGTGGTGGACACTCACGTGGAGTTGGCATACTGCAGGAAGCCAAACTCATCCCGCTGGCCCTCTGGGCACAGGGACTGCATCACGGGCAGGATGCCCGCCGAGGTCAGCGGTGAGGCCGTGTAGAAGGCTGGTCGCAGGGAGGGCAGGGCAGCCCAGGGCCGGAGGGGACAGGGGAAAGGGCAGGGGTCAGGAGGGAAGCGGGCAGAGCCGAGAAGAGAGATTTGGAGAGAGTCAGGAAAGAAAAGCAGTTTCAGCTAGAAGCCAGAGGTCAGAGGGCAAGCATTCTTCCAAGAATGGCAGGTCAGAGGTCAGAGAGTATCTTGTCCCTGACCTCTTTGGAAATCCAGTTAGCAGAGAGAAGCAGACGCCCATAGGTCTAAGCAGAGAGCCCCAGGTGACCCAGGGAGCCCCTCCCTGCCCCCTTGCGCCCCCCCACAACAGACCCTGCCAGCAGGCAGGGCTCTGCCTTGCGAGCGGGCAAGGAGCTGAGCTGTACCCGGAGGCCAGCCTGGAGGAGGCAGGCCCTCACTTACAGACTGCATGCAGGTGGCGGAGACAAGAACCATGCGGGAAGGGGCAAAACAGAACAGAGGAGACCAGTGAGGGTCGGCCGCCTCGTCCCAAGCCCCGGGAGGAGGCCTGGCCAGGCACCAGATGAGCACAGAGATGGTGGCCGCACTATCCCTCCTTGGGCCCCGAGGCCCCTCACCTTCCTTCACGGAGATGGTGGGTTTCTTCTGCCTCAGGCCCAGCAAGATGAAGAAGAGGACCAGCGGGATGAAGAGTTCAAAGGCCAGAACCCACTGCAAGAGTCAGCAGCCAGTGAGGTCCGGCCACTGTCCCAGCCGACCAGTGAGGTCCAGCCTCCCTGGAGCCAGCCTGCTGCAGAGCCGGGCACTGTCCGAGCCCCACTGTCAGGGCCAACTTCTCCCCAAGGTGCAGCCTCCTCCTTTGGGGGTGCTGTCCTCTGTCCACCCAGAGGCCCAGCACGACTGCCCTGAGCCCTGCGTGTGCCGGGTTTGTCTCCAGCCACATCTGGGGGGCCCCTGACAAGGAGCTCCCACCCCACACAGCCCCAAGCAGGATGTCCCCACTGTCAGGTGACCGGTCCCCACCTCCAGGAGGAAGTAGGCAGAGCTGACAGCCCCAGTCCCTGGGCTGTGGATGCACGCTGACCTCTGGTGGGGACGGAATGCCAGCAGTGCAAGCTGGCCCCCAAGGGCCCCGGGGAGTGCTGGGAGCCTGGGGATCCTGGGGCCCGCCGCTCTGAAGAGCCTCCCCAGCCCGAAACACACTCCAGCCCCCACACTGCGCCCAGGCAGGGCCGTGCTGCTTGGACAATGGGGCTCTGTGGTCAGGAGCAGCCCGTGTCCGTACCCCACGCCCGCCCCAGCCTGTGCCAGTCTCCACCCCCTCCCGCCCCGGAGCTCCGCCAAGGGCACATCGCGGGCAGCCCCCAGGCATCCACGGGCACACAGAGGGCCAGGCCTTGGTCGTAGGCCTCAGGCAGGTCAGGAAGCCGTGACGGCTCCGCCCCGGGCCCTGCCAGGGCACCTCCTGCACGTCACTGCAGCAACACGCTGCTATGACAACAGTCTCGCGCAAGCTGCTGGGAGGGCAGGCAGGCAGGACTCCCAACAGGAACCCCCCACCCCGAGCCTGCAGGGCAGCCAAACCCCGGCCCTTGGGCCCACCCAGGGGCCCCCTGCTGTCTCCCAAGGTCCCACACTGCCCAGGGAGCAGGGTTCCCTGCGTGGCGTCACTGCTCCCAGCAAGGGCCTGGCAGGGCCTGTCCCCTGCCCCAGGGTTGCCCGCACTCTCAGAGGTGTGGGGCACACACAGAGATGGAGAAACCAAGGCATAAAGCAGGAAGAGGAAGAAGGTGAGAGCTCTGAGTCCCCTCATCTGCCCAGCACCCAGCTCGGGGTACATGCTCAGGACACCAAGGCACAGCGGCACCGACCAACCCCTGCCCACAACTGCCCACAGGCCGATTCGGCTTGAGAGCTGGCCATGGGCCACACAGGCCCCTCCTACCTGCTCACACAGGCCCCCCGGCCCTGATCTGAGGCAGGGCCCATGGTCCGAGCTGGCCAGCACGTTGGGCCCCATGTCCCGTGCTCTCCTCCCCAGTGACCCAGAACCTGACCAGCAGCTACCTGGGCTGCAGGCTTGATCTTCTGGCCCAGTGCCAGCCAGCCCCGGGGGGCCCTGGGCAGGAAATGTACCCGGTCTGGCTCCCCGCCAGGGTCAGGTGCCCGAGGGAATCTTTGGGCCCCAGTGCTGATGACCAACCTCGCTGCTCTGGGCTTAGCCCCCAGCCCCAGTTCTGCCTATGCCCTGGGCGGTCATCCCCAAGGGAAACCCAGGCCTATTCAGAACCTTGGGCTCCCAGCCTCCGGCAGAGGTGCTGCTGGGCAGGCCAGTGGGGACAGCCCCTGCCCTTCCCTGGAGGAGCAGAGAGGGCCAGGATCACGGCATCCACACTGCTCAGGCAGCGCACTGGGAGCTGGTGCAGGCCTGGTCCCCAAGGGGTCTGAGGACAGGGAGCAGGTCGGCCTCCAGGAGTGCCCCTGAGGACAAGAGGGTGCGGGGGACCGAGCCTGGCACAGCAAGGACATTCTGGTGGCGTGAATGCAGGAACAAAGCTGGTGGAAGTGTGGAGGGGTGTGAAGGAGGAGGAGGAAAAGGAGAAGGAGGAGGAAGAGGAGAAGGAGGAGGAGGAGGAGGAGGAGGAGGAGGAGGTGGAGGAGGAGGAGGAGGAGGAGGAGGAGGAGGAGGAGGCGGCGGCGGAGGCGGCGGCTCGCCTGGGACCAGCCGCCCAGTCATCGGGCGACCGGCCCAAGGGCAGCGGGTGATGCAGGGGACAGAGCCTGCAGGGCTGGGGGCTTAGTGCAGTCCACTGGGCTGATGTGGTGCCCGCGCACCCCCGCCGGCCCCTGCACCGGAGACCGGGGCCTCCCGCGAGGTCGGGCGGGGGGCGCCGGCCCCAACCCACCGCCCCGAGCGCGCCGCGGAGAGCTCGGGTGCATGACTCAGCCGCGCGCGGTGGGGGCGGGGGCCCGCGCGGCTGCGGGGGCGCTCACCGGGCTCCGGCGCTTCAGCGTCACGTTCTTCCAGAGCAGCAGCTGCAGCTGGTGCAAGAAACCCATGGCGGGGCCGCCCGGCCGCTCGCCGCCGCCGCCCGTTCCTCTGCGCGCCAGCCGCCCGTTCCGCACAGCTCCACATAGCCCGCGCGGGGGCGGGGCGGGGAGACTCCGCCCCTGGGCGGGGCCGCGAGAGACCCCGCCTTGTATGGGATAGGCGACTCCGCCCCGGGCGGGGCCACCAGAGGCTCCGCCCCCGGGCGGCCCCGGGAGACTCCGCCCCTGGGAGGGGGCCGCGGGTGGCCCCGCCCCGCGCAGGCTTCAGGTGCAGGGATGGGCCCCACCTAGGGGCGCACCGCGAGAATCAGGCGGGGCAGTTCCCGGTGTGCGACCGCCTTCCGCCAAGCCTCCAACCTGCCCCCACGCAGCTCGTCACCGGACAGTAAGGGGCGCCAGCAGAGCCCACCCCGCGCCCTGTCCAGGCTGGCCCCGTCCTTCCGCAGAAGCGCCCGCGGGTGGCCAGAGGAACCACCTGTGGACGCGGAGCCAGACCACGTGGTCCAGCACTGCCCCTGCTGAAGGGGAGCCCAGCAGGCGTCTCCGGACACCTCAGCAGGGACTGAGCGGGGCTGTCAGCCTGAGAGTTACGTGTCGTCCGTGCGCGGCCCGCCCAGGGGCCATCCCCTGAGCATCACCGCGCCGGGACCCCCAAAACAAAGCAAAAACAGTTGCCTGTGTCCCTTCTCCCTGAGTTTTCTGGTCACCAGAGCACCCACGCGAAAGCCCCTTCCCAGGGCGGCACCCAGCGGACTGCCTCCGAGGGTCACTGTGGCAGGTCCTCTGGGAATGGCTCCTTCGGCCTCTGCAGAGTCGTGGTGGGCAGAGCTAAGGAGTAGAGGACTCCTGGCCAGGTGGCTCTGAGTGGGGACTCTCAGGCGCCAATCCCTGGGGGGCCAGCAGAGGGCAGTAGAAGACAGACCACAGTCCCTGTAGAGGTATGGCCTGGCTCCTGTCCTGCCTCAGTTTCCCCCCTTGGAATAGGAGGAGAGGGCTGGGGCAAAAAGTGCCTTGGGAAGGTGCTTGCCTTGTACATGCCCCACCCAGATTCAATTCCTGGCACCCGATATGGTCTCCCAAGCCCCTCCAAGAGTGATCTCTGAGCTCAGGGCCAGGACCCGGTCCTGATCACAGCCGGGTGTGTCCCCAAACAAGAGTCACAAGGAGAGGTGAGAGCCACACAAACAGCACACTGGAAGCTGAATGGCAGATCTGGGGACCCATAGCTCCTCTAAGAGGAGCCTCCTGTCCCCACAGGCGTGAGACTATTCCGTCCCCGGGTCAGCCTGGGGAGAAGTCAGGGCAGGACGTCACACAGGTCTTTCCCACAGCCACTGCAGAGGGGGCAGATGGCTTCCAGCCCACACAGGCCGGACAGGGCCTTGACCTGCAGAGCCTGGCCAGCCCCACATGCCGTCACCTCCACCACTGAGGAAGGCTCAGTCACCGGAGTTCAAGGGAGGTGGGAGAGGTCCCAGGGCAGGACAGGGGTCCCGGGAACTGGGACAGGAAAGCGGGACCCGGCAGGCAGTCCTGTCTTGCTCTCATCTTTATTGCAGTTGACACGCCACAGAGGACGCAGCCAGGAGCCAGATCACCACGCCCTGGGCACTCACCACTGCTGCAGGGTGTGGGAGGGAGGGTAGGAGCATCCCCCAACCCCAGCAGGGGATGCTGGCTCCACCTCTCCCGGCCACTGTCCTGGGTCAGCTCTGCCCCAGCCGACTCACACACCTGAGCCCCAGCCGTCCGCTGCGCCAGGGCCTGCTCGAGACACCCAGCTCCCCCAGATGGGTCCCTGCTGCTCAGCCCTTACTGAATCTGACAGTGCCAGCGTGAGCTGCAGCTGCAGTGAAGACCGACGCCGAGGCTCTGTCAGCAAGGCGCAGCCTGAGTCCCACCCCTGTGCTCTGCTCAGGCCTGGTACCAGCGCTCCAGGTCCTGGTACACCTGGCCCCGGGGCAGGTGTGGGTACCGCGTGCAGATGGCACAGAACCTCTCCCTCCAGTCGCTGATCAGCCGGACCCGGAACTGGTCTCGCCAGGCGAAGTAGCGCCGGTAGCTGCTCTGGTTCATACTGGCGAGGAAGGCAGCCAGCTCGCCGGCAGAGGTGAAGTCCTCCACGTGCACAAAGGCGCCAGGCGGGACGAAGGCCTCGTACGTGGCCCGCGGGGGGCCCAGTGCCACAGGCACGGCACCTGCTGCCAGCGCGTTGCGCCAGAACTTCTCCGTGATGTAGTCGCGGTGCTGTGAGTTCTCAAAGGCCAGGTAGAAGAGGTAGCGGGCCACAGTGGGCAGCAGGCAGCTGGCGCACAGTGGTCGCTGGGTGGCCTGGCCAAACACATCCACCCGCAGGTGCGACTGCAGCTGTCGGAAGAACCGTGTGCGCTGGTGCTGCTCCTGGAAGTTGCTGACCACCCAGGCGGCCAGTCCACTCTTGGGGGGTAGCGGGGGCACTGGGCCCTGCCGGGGCTCCAGGCAGCCGTAGGGCACAGAGATGTCAGCATCCCGCCGGTAGCTCAGCACCCAGTTGAAGATGCCTCCGAGGTGGCCCAGGCCCCGCGTGTGGCTGGGTGACTCCAACGAGGCCCACACCCAGGGCTGGCCCGGTGGGCGTGCGGCCAGAGGCAGGTGGGCCCCCCGGGCCTGCAGGTCCCGGTGGTGGAAGACCACAGCGTCCGCGTGGGCCAGCAGGCTGCGGTCGGTGCTCAGGAGGCAGTGGGCTACCCCGAAGGCGGTGCAGGTGTTCCTAGGCAGCTCTGGGGGCTGCTGGCCGAAGGGCCAGTGCCACACCAGAATGGTGAGTGGGGCCGGCGGGGGCGCCGTGGGAGCTGGCCACAGGAGCCAGAGTATCCCCATCAGGGCTGCACATGCCAGGGTCCCTAGCCTCCGAGCCAGACTGCATCCTGCACAGGAGAGGGGGAGGGCTGGGTCTGGGGGTGCTCCGGCTCCCCCCCCCACCAGGCACTCGAGAGGGCACTCACCAGCACGGACCATGGGGTCAGCCACTGCAGGCACAGTTCTGAGTCTCAGCCGCCACAGCACCCTGAAACCACAGCTGCCCTGTCCACCCTGCCTCTCCTCCTCCACGCCAGGGGCTGGGACACCTTCAGCCGTCCCCTGCCCTGGAGGTGCTGTCTTGGACCAGCACAGGCCCAAGCAGTGACCAGCCACTGCCTGCTACCCAGGCCAGCCAGGGTAACCCCAAAGCAGTGCCCACCACCCGCAGCCCTGTTCCCTCCTGCTGTGGCCGGGCACGGGTGCTCAGTCCCCACTGGCCTCCTCACCGCTCGCCCCGACCCAGAGCCTGGCCCGGGAGGCTCTCTCCACTGCAGAGGTCCCGCAGGAGCAGATGCTTGCCCCTGCCTAGCTCCTCGCCGCTGTGCCCTGCTCAGCCTCCTGCCTCAGGCCAGCCCTGGGCCCTGGGCCCTGGAGGGCGGCGCGGGCAGGGGGCTTTCCAGGCTGGAAGGGGAAGGAGCCACTCGGCCTCTGGGGCTGGCGGCAGGGGGCTGGCACCGTACAGGAAGTGGAAGGACAGCGTCTGGGGGCCCGTGACCCTGGCCACTTCCGCTTCCACTCCGTCCCCCAGCCCAGTCGAGCCGCGTGGGGGGCTGTGCCGGCCCCAGACCTCTGATCCCCCCAGCCTCACGCCTGGCTCCCGGGTTGTGCTCTCGAAGCAGCAGATCTCAGCTCTCCCAGGGGCCTCGCCGGGCCCTGCTGGACCTTCCTGGCCCTCCGTCCACCCCGGGAGCCTGGGGGCAGGCTGAGCGTGCATCTGTCCCGATGGCGATTCGCGCTGCCGAGTCACTTCAGAGCTCAGGCGGGGCCTTGCGCAACGCTGGGGACGGGTGGGGCGGTTGCAAACCACCAAGGGCCTGGCCTAGCTCCCTGCCGGAGTCCCAGGCCCCAGCCTCCCCTCTCCTCCACCCCGCGGCTCTGCCTACCCGCCTCGCCCCTCCACACGGCACCCGCTGCCACATGCCTTGAGGTGCACAGGGGCCAAGCCGCAGGCTGCATGCTCAACCTGGCCCCCACGCCCACCGCCTCTGAAACCCTCCAAAGCCCCAGGCAGGGCTGCGACTCACTCTCACACACGGGACCTGCTAGCTGGGGGGCGGCCCGCCCAGAAGGAGCAAAAGGAAATGTAGCGGAAAGAAGGTACGCTAATGAGTCAAAGGGAAAGTGCAGCCTCGCCCTGCCGGCCTCCGACACAGGCCCCACGCACCCAGCCGCCGCTGCCCACTGCCCCTGGAGGACCAGGACACCCTCCTTGCAGGGGGCTGGGCTCAGGGGCTCTGGGGGAGGAGGGTGCAGACGCTGGCAGGAGAGCAAAGGGAGCACAACCCGCCCGGCTCACACCCCCCACCCCTCTCCACGCATACTGGCTGGTGGGACTGGCTGGGGCTGGGTGGGGGTCCCACCTGAGGAGGGCGCTGGGGTGGAGCAGGGTGAGACCAGGGCTGCTGGGGTGCCGAAGGGGCAGTCCAGGCAGGGTGGGCAGGGGCAATGGGGCGTGGATGACCAAGGGCGGGCACCAGCTCCAGGGCAGGAGCGGGCTCAGGGCAGGGAGGCGAGGGCACCCGAGTGGTGGCAGGAACCAGGGCGGGCAGGACGGGGCGAAGTGCCTGGAGGACAGGGCTGGGAAGAGTGGATTGGCCCCCGCCCTGCAGTCAGGCCTGCTCCGGGTGGCACAGGACCCGTGACAGTGGACGTGAGGCCCCACCCTGACACAGGGACTGTGCCCACGCATAGGACACTGGATCACGACCCAGGGAGCTCCGCACAGGTCTTGTCCACCTCAGGCCAGAGCACCCGAGACCCCACAGTAAGGGGTCTCCTCTGCCTGGGCCCCCAGCCCCCCTCGCATGGGACCCTGCCACAGTCCCCTTCGCCTGGCTGTCCCCGCCACCAACTGCACCGTCCAGGGTCCTGTATGGCCACTGAGACTGACCAGCCCCGCTGCTGTCCCTCCCCCACACCAGGTCAGACGGGGCCATGGCGCCCTCTGCTGGCCGCCCCTGGTGCCGTACCACCCCTCCGTGGGCCCCAGGTGGGGATGGTGGGGAGGGGACTTCCACGCAGGGCACAGAGTCGCCCCAGGCCACAGGTTTGAAATGTACTTTAATTGGCTTGTTCCCGAGTTGCAGGGCCCAGGCCCAGATGCCTGGCGGGTTGCCAAGCCAAGGGTCTCGCCGACGTGGCCTCGTCCTCCCAGAGAGCGGTCACTGCGGTTCCCGCGTGGACAGCGAGGCGTGGTTGAACAGCGGGTTGCGCACCTCCATCTCTCCGGTCTGTGGAGGCGGGCGTTAGGTGTGCGGAGGGCGCCGCGGTACCCCCGCCCTTCCGCCGCACTCACCGGGGCCAGGCCCGGGCACTCGTACACCGTGAAGTCTCCATCTTCATTCTCCTCGTCCGAGGCGGCGGTGGCAACATCGGGCCCTGCGGGCGGCTCCTGGTGCCTGGGGGCAAGGGCACTGCTGGTCCTGGGGTCCACAGCCTGGGCAGGGCGGGCAGGGGCTACACGGGCACTTACCGCTGCAGGCACAGCATCTGCTGCCGCTGATGCTGGTAGTGGTACACCTCGGCGCTGTGCGCCAGCCTCTGGTCGCCAGGCTGCGGGCAGCAGGGGGTGCTGGGTGCGAGCACGGCTGGGAGGGGCGGGGAGGGAGGAGGCATGCCGGGCGAGGGGCGGGCACCCACCGAGGGGCTGGGGTCTGTGGGGCAGCTGGCCGCCTGCGGGGCCACGTAGTCCACCTTCTGGGTCAGCCGGATCTCCCTCTGCAGCCTGGCGGGGGGATAGGCTCAGCCCCACGTCACCCCTCGGCCCGCACCCCCCCCCCACCCCCCGCGCCCAGAGCCCCACTCACCGGCACCAGCAGAGAACGGCCATGACCAAGGCTGCAGCACCGGCCACAGAGCAGGCCAGGATCAACACTGAGGGTGGACAGGGCGCAGTCGGGCGCAGCTGGGGCGCCCAGGGACCCCGGGGGCACCTGCCCCACCGCCCAGGCCCACTCCCACTCCCTCACCTACACCTACCGAGGACCAAGGCGTGGCTGTGCAGGCCCCGGGGTCCCAGGGGGGCCATGTGCACGGGCCCCATGGTGGAGGCCAGGGATCTGTGGGGTGTGGGCGCCGGGGCCCCCCGGGTGGGGGGCGGGCCAGGATCCGAGAGTGCCGGAGTGGCAGCTGCGAAGGGAGAGAAGGGAGATCAGGGCCAGGGCCAGGGGCTGGGGGACAGGAGTGGGGGTGGGTCTCACCAGGCTGGGCGTGTCCTCCCTCCCGCTGAGCGAGCTCCTGGGCCAAGAAGTCGATCTCATCCTCCAGTGGTGGCCGGGTGGTACCAGCCCCTAGGAGGGAAGGGGTCTCAGGATTGCCCCCAGATTCGGCCCAGGCCCGCCAGGGTGAAAGGTTGGCTGTGGGCTTTGGAGACCCTGGAGCCGGCCTCCTGCCCCAGCCCCCCCCCAAGGCCTGAGGGGGTCCCGAGCCCACGCCCTACCCAGTGGCCGATGCGCCCTGGGCACGCAGTGCCCCTGCAGGTCCTCCTGGAAGGGCTGGAGGCACGGCCCGCACATGTGGGCTCCCGGGGGGCACCGAGCCCGACGCCTCAGGGCGCAGTCCAGGCTCCCAGGGCAGGAGGCAGCATCTGGGGACAAGCAGAGGGCAGGGTGGGTCACGTGGGTCCACTCCCGGGGGCAGGCGCCTGGCCGCCTCCGGTCATTGTCCTGGGAAGGGCCTTCCTGCCTGCAATCTAACCAGGGACTGGTACCAGGAAGACAGAAACAACAGGGGCCTCTAGGAAGGCCCGACCCTGACTCAGTCCGGCACCCCAGGCTCGGGTTCAGCAGGGGGTCAGGTGGAGAGACGGCCCCCCGACCCTCCCTGCAGATGGACAGACGGGACCTGGCCCTCCCTGCAGACACTCTAGGCGCCAGAGGCAGCACAGGCTCGCCCACCTGCCCCTCACTCAGGGCCGTGCCCTCCGCTGTGCCTTGCAGCCTTGGTGAGCCAGTGAGGGCCCTGGTGACTGTCCTCCCGGAGCATCTGCTTGTCCCTGGGGTTGGGGCGCTGCAGAGCCGCCCACATGTGAAGCTGGTTGCTGAGCAGCCGACCCCATCTGAGACCCTGTCCCTGGGGTCCTGCACCCTTCCTCGGCCAGCCTCTTCCCGGTGTGGGGCCAGAAGGATGGGGCCCCCTCGGTGGCCAAGTGCCCGCTGGGCAGAGGGGGCTCCCCACGGGCTGCTGGCAGACGGGTGGGCATTTGCCTGGCCCCGCCCGGCTTTAGGAGGGCCACCAGGGCCCGGGTGACGTGGGTAAGTGGAGCTGCCTGGCTCTCTGCTCCCAGACTGTCTCCTTGGTGACAGATGCAGCTTCCTGGATGCACCCACACCGGGCAGTGCCAGCAGCAGGCCTCTGCCCTGGGCAAACGTTAAGGGTCCCAAACTCCCACAGGCCTCTGGGCAAACCCTGTGCTGGCACTGAGAACTAAGTGTCCCAGTCGAGCCAGGCGCCAGCCTCCCCAGCCCCGAGGCCCTGGTTCTGGCTGGTGTGTGGGAGGCAGCCCTGGGAATCAGGACAGCTGGAAAGCGGCTGGCTCCCTGCCCAGAGCTCCTCCCAGCGGCCACGGGCAGGGGGCTGCCCAGGGCCACGTCGGGCGCAGGTGGAACCCCCGGAGGATGCAGCCGGGCACCTGTGGCCCGTTTCCCCGACGCCCCAGCCTGTGCCTCTGGGGAAAAGGAGGGGCTGTTGGCAGCCTCCATTGCCCACCCCTGCTCCGCCTTCTGGGGAGCCCCCATCCACCCTCTGTGCAGTGGCCGGGAGCGCCCCAGGGGGGCATCCCGGTTGCTGCGCAGCCGGCCGAAGGCCTCTGTCTCCACCCGCTGTCAGGTGGGCAAAGGGCGCCCCGGCAGAAGGCAGAGAGGCCCTCACGGGTGGGTCCGCCCTGGCTGCGTCCCGGACCCAGCTTCTACACTGTGCCTGGAGCTCCGGCGCCGCACGTCCCCCGCGCCCCGTGGACAGAGGCGGGAGGCCCGCTGGCCCGGTCCGCGCGGACGCGCGAGGGACGCGGGCAGGCGCGGGTCCCGGGACAGAGAGCCGCACCCCGACGCACGGCTCCCGCCGACCCACCCCGCGCCCCGCGCTCACCCGGGCGGCCGGCGGCGGCGCCGGTCCCGCGCAGGGCCGCGCCGAGGACGAGGCCGGAGAGCAGCAGCCGCAGCAGGCGCACGGGCCGCGGCGAGGGCGCGGGGCGCGGGGTCGGCATCCTTCAGCGCGGCCGCCGGGGCAGCATGGCCCGGCGCGGGGCGGGCGCGGCCTGGCCGGGGAGGTGCGGGGCGCGGGCGGTGCGGGGAGGCAGCCTGGGCGCGCGGCCCGGCGGAGACGCGGGGCGCCGGCAGTGCGGGGCGCGGGGAGGTGCGGGCCCGGCGGAGGTGCGGCCCAGGAGGAGGTGCGGGGCCCCGCGGAGATGCGGGGCGCGGGCGCGGGCAAGCGGCTGAACCGGTGACGCTGCAGCCCCGGATCCGGGAGGGGCGCGGCCAGTGCGCGCCTGCGCGCTGTACCCGCGAGGCGGGTTAGCGCGCCGGCGGCCCCTCCCCCAGGCCCCCCACACCGCCCTCGGTTTCAGGTGTCCGGCCCTGCGGCCTTGGCACCCGGGTCCTTCCTGCTCGCCACTGATGCACCGCGGGGCTGGCCGGGCGCGGTTTCTCCGACTGGCCCTCCGGTGCCTGCCCCCACTCACGCCCACCCCGACCGGCCTGGGCCTGCGGTCTGCATGCCCGCGTGGACCGGTGCAGGGGACTCACTGGGTGCCTCCGGGCACGCGAACCCCTCTCCCGACGGGACGCATGGGGCGGCCTGGAGTTGGGGCCGCGGCTCGGTGCCCAGGGAGGACGCCAGGGGGCAGGAGAGAGCCGGTGCCGCCTGCGGCCGGCCGGGAGCTGTCCGCGGTCCCCGGCGCCTTCCGGCCCCTGCGGCCCCAGCACACTTCTCTTCCAGCTGCTAGCCGCCCAGCCAGGGGAGTCCGCCCACCGACCTGGAAAGCTCCAATTCAGGACCCCAGAGTACGAGGTTGGGACCCGCGGCTGGGTCTGGGGTCTCTCGTCAGCACAAGCCACAGGAGGGGCAGCATTCCTCACCCCAGATTCACTGGCTCTGGGGCTCTCCAGGGCCAGCCAGCAGGGTCGCCCAGAGCCGGGGCCAGGCACCTCGCGCACATGCACACACATACACGCACGCACACATATACACGCGCACACGCACACACACGAACGTGGACATACACACACGTGCCGGGAGGGGATGCAGTGGCAGGGAGGCCCGCCCCATGGAGCAGACAGTGCCCCTTCTAGACAAGGTTTTTATTACAAAATGCATACAAGGGGGCCTGCCAGATCCCCAGCCTGGGGGCCCTGATCAACCCCAGTACCCACACAGACTTCAGAGGGGCATGAGGATCCAGCTGTTGGATCACAGGCCCCACTGCAGGGAAAGCAGCCTGCAGCGCCCGGCTGAGGCTGGGAGGAGTCTGACCCCCACTCCAGGAAGAGAAGGGGCTGGTGGCCTTGGGCAAAACCAGGGTGCGTGCAGGAAGGGGGCTTTTGGACGCCTGTCCCTGCGTGTGCACATCCCACAGTCTCAGGGTTCTGGGGCTGACTTCAAGGAAGCGCATGTGAGTGAGGTGGGGGCGGGTGGAAGGACTTATGGCTTGGCCAGACGCAGCAGTGGCCAGCGGCTGGCCTGCCTGCACTCTAAATGACACTTGATGACTTGGCAGAGCGCGCCTGGCACAGCAGCAGAACAAAAGCTGCCAGGACCGCAGCGGCGAAGAGCAGGAGAAGGGCCACCCAAGAGTGGACGTTGATGCCCTTGCGCAGCACAGGAGACTCGGAGGGGATCAGGTTGGTGAGGTTCAACATGTAGCCCAGCGCCCAGCCCACAGCAGTGTCCCCAGCCTGCAAGTCAGGGACACGGGATCAGTCCTGCCCAGGCCTGCCCCTGCCCCCACTCGGCCCTTCTCCACTCTGCCCAGGCCCCGCCCTAAACCGCCTGGTCCTCCCTTGCCCCTCCCAGGCCCCGCCCATTCCACCCTCGTTCCGCCCCTCTGCCCAGGCCCTCCTCTCCGGCCCTGCCCCACCTTGCAGTGCCCACCTTCTTCTGGAAGGTCACCCCACTGAAGGTGCCCTCATCGAACCCGTAGCCGCGGCTCAGCAGCTGAAGCACAAACGTGGCCATGGCACAGTAGTGGGGCAGGTGGTCCTTGGGGCCGGAAACCCAAGCCTGCAGCTGGGACACAGTGGGAGATGTGTCCAGCGACCTCTGGGAGATCTGGGCCCTCCACACAACAGTGCACGCATGCACACACCACCGCGTGGACACTCGCACACACACACAACCCAAGTCAGGCCCCAGGAACGCCACGCAAGGGGCAGAGCTCTGGGAGAGAGGGTGACAGTCTTCTGGGCCTGGCAGGCCGACCTGGAGAGGGCAGCGGCTGGCCATCGGCCAGGGCAGTAGGAGAGGCCTCTCGGCCCCAGCCACTCTGCCCTCCCTACAGTGGGGCCACTCTCCACCAGAGTGGGAAGGCCTCCAGGGTCTTTTTCCCTCCCTCTGGGGGACCCTAACACCCCCACCTGTCTACCTGGCACAGGTGTCTGGCCTAAGGCTAGCCGGTCTCCACTGCTCCCCGCCCCAGTTCTACTGCCAAGTCTACCCCAATGCCTCTGCCTCTCCCTCGGCCAGCCTCGCTCACTGCCTCATCCCGCCCTCCTGCTCTGGGCCCTAGCACCAGGCGTCAGGGAAGTTCAGAACCGCTCCAGCCTGTCACTGCCCACAGCGGGCCCATGTGCCCAGCGGTGCCCCACAGGCTCACCTCGTCCCAGCTCTGACTACAGAGTGTCCGTACTGCTATCTCCAGCTGCGACAGGCTGGCCACGGGCAGCCCCATCGTTGTCCTCAGGAAGTCCACCGTGTAGAAGAAGGCAGAGAAGGCCTGTGCATGCATGGGGGACGGGGTCACACCATGACTGGGCCCTGCACTGCGGCCTCCCCCGCCCCCCGCACGCACAATAAAGTTTCCTGCCACGGGGGGCTGGAAGGTGCCGTTGAAGGAGCATCGGGAGAAGTGACAGGAGGAGAAGCTGAAGAGCTGGGAGACCAAGTGGTGGCAGAGGACAGGGTCACTGCCGCCCGACACGCTGACCCGGCCGCTGCTGTTGAAGGTCTGGGGCCGCAGGGCAGCCAGGCACGGTGACTCATACAAGCTCTGGAGCTGCACTTGGGCGGAGTAGTTCCTGGGCCAGCAGGGGTGCAAGCCGTGGGCCTGGGGACAGTGAGGCAGTGGGGCGGCTGCTCCAGAGGGCCAGCGGTCACCTCGGGGTTGTGCTCAGAGTAACCACGAACCCTGCGGCCCAGTGGCCTCTGGTCCTGAGGGCTGCTCCCCCACCCCCACTGCCCATGCTGGCCCTCCTGCAACACCCAACCAGTTCCAGCTCCACTAGAGCCTGCTGCAGGAAGCCCCCCCACCCCTCCCAGGCACCTGCACGGCAGCAGCCAGTAGCCTCTGCAGGACCTGGTCTCGGCCGTAGCAGAGGAAGCTGTGGGTGTAGAGGTGGTAGCGGTGCCCATAAAGCTGCAGCTGCACAGCCGTACTGGGGTCCTCGAGGTGTGTGGCGGTCTCAAAGGTAATCTGGGTGGAGGCTCCCCCCAGGTCCAGAGCCCCCAACGTCTTCCTCCTTGGCCAGGACCACAGGCCCCCCAAGTCACACTGCGGGTGGGAAGGTGTCAGCTGTGGGCGCATGTGGCCTGCCCTGCTGCCTGACTGAGGCCTACCTTGATGAAGTTCTCTAGCAGATAGTTTGCGGTCACCCAGCCAAACACGCCCTCGGCTTGGCTGGAGAGGATGTGCGCACCACGGAAGTCAAAGGGGTACTGGGAGAGCACGCGCTCCACGGCCTGGAGGACGCTGGCGGAGGCTTCGGGACGGCGCAGGCTGGGACACAGAGAGAACTCTGAGGGCCCTCCCGGGGAGCAAGACCCTGCAGTGGGAACGGGCTGGGGACTCTTGCCCGGAGCCAGGTGTGACGGGCACTCACTAGAGCAGGCGCATGCCCGCCGTGGCCCCCAGATAGAGGGGTGTGCCCGGCTGTCTCTCCTGGGGCACCTCCCGAAGTGCCTGGTCCAGGCACTCCACGAGACTCTGGCCCGCGCCGGGTGGGTTGTCTGCGTAGCTGGAGATGCCTCCACCTAGGGGCAGGTGGGGTGGGCCCAAGGCCGGTGGCCCCGCCCTCGGGCCATGGCAGCACCCCCCTGCTTTCCAGGGCCTCCGAGCCGCCCTCAGGGGCCAGGTCAGAGGCGAACAAAGGGCCCACTGCCACCTGGTCGAGAGCCTGCCGCTGCATGCGCTGGGTGTGGGCACAGGTGCCAGGACAAAGCAGAGACCCGGCCGCCCTCCGGTCCCAGCATGGGCGGCCCCTGGCCCCGTCCCATAGCAGTCATCCAGGCTGGGAAGGGCTCAAAGGCCCCAGCTGCTCCCAGGCTTCCGTCCAGAGCGAGACTGCTTGCTCCTTGCGGACAGCAGCCAGCGTGGTTCTGTGGGTTCCCACGGCACTGCCTGCATGGGCACCCCCCCAGACGCTGTCCATGGGCACTGTGGGGGCCACTCACCACGCACGTCACAGGAGCTGAGCTGGCTCACGATACCCGTGTCGTTCTCCTTGTCCGCCGGCCACTTGTAGATGAACATGGACGTGTGGGAAGAGCCAGCGTCCAGGACTATCCCATACTGCGGGGCAGGGTGTCACGGTCAGCTATGGGGCCACATGTAGCCCGAGACCTGGGGCTCCCTGGCCACCCACAGAGGGATGAACACAGACTCAATGCCAAGGACTGGGCAGTGGTCCGGCTCAATTGGGGGACTGGGTGGTCCCCGCTTCTGGGGACTTCCAGGCAAGGGGCTGTGTCAGGGGCAGAGGTAGCCAGGAGCATCCTTGGAACGCTGCCCTGAGGACTTGGGAGTACAGGTTCGAGGAGAGATTGAAGCCCCTGGAGCCGGTGACCCAGCAGCAGGCCCCGAAGGCCGCCCCACCCGAGGCCCCGCCCCGGACCAGATGCGCGCCCTGGCGCGTTGCAGCGCCCCGGAGGCCCCTGGAGGCGCCGGGACCTCATCCAGGAACTCGCTCGAGCTTCCCGGAAGCGCCGCGGCAGCCCGGCCGCGGGGGGTGGGGGCGAACCTCGGGGCGCTGGCGGCCTGGCCGGCGGTCAGGACCCCGTCCCCCGGGCACAGGGCCACCCCGCCCGGCAGACGCGGAGGGCGCGCGCGGGGTTCCTGGGCGCGGTGGCGGAGCACCTTGAGGGCGAGCGGCTCCCGGACGTCGCGAGTGGGCACGCTCAGCAGCAGCAGGCCGGCGAGGCCCGCCGCGGCCAGCAGCAGCGGGGGCAGCAGCGAGGGCAGCAGCGAGAGCGCCTTCCCAGCCATGGGCGCCGCGGGTGGCCGGGCTGGCCGGAGCTGGGCCGGCGGGTGGCCAGGCTAGCACGCAGCTGGGCGCCGCGAGTGGCCGGGCTGGCGGGATCCGGGCGCCGCAAGTGGCCGGGCTGGCGGGATCCGGGCGCCGCGAGTGGCCGAGTTAGCACGCAGCTGGGCGCCCCGAGTGGCCGTGCTAACACGCAGCTGGGTGTCGCGGGCCGGGCCGCGGGGTCGGCACCCGGGGCGGGCTGGGGCGGGGCCTCTTCTGGCCACGCCCAGCGCAGGCCACGCCCCCGTCAGGGGCGCAGGTGCGTGACCTCGGCCACCCTTCCCCGGCCCGCAACTCCTGCGCGCCTTCTCTTGGCGTGGTCGCTGACCTGTCCTCCTCAGGGCTCGCCGCTGGCCGCCTGGGCCGGCGCAGGGCCGGCGCAGGGCCGGCGCAGGGCCGGCCCGGGTGCTTCGTGCGAGGCTCAGGCGTTGTGTGCCTGGGAACAAAGCAGAGATGGCCCCCGAGCTGCGCCAGCTTTTGATGTGCCAGGGGTAGGTCCAGCCGCAGCTGCCCACACTGTGGAGGCAGCTGCCCGCTTTGGGAGTGGACGGTCGGGCAAAGCAGTGTTCCGCTGGCCTTCCATGCAGAAGAACCAGTGTTGGAGTACAAGAAGCTTAGGTTTATCTGGTTACACCCATTAATCTGGTTACACCTATCACAGTGCTCCAGAGGCACTTCCACTTCCATTGTGTTTACATGTAAACATGTAAACAGTCTTCCCTATGCTCTCCTTCCCACCCAGTTAATCAGCTTCCCCCTTAATCAGACTTTGTTAATTTGTAAGATCAGTTTCCCAGAAATCTATGATTTTCTATGTATGAGTGAAATATTGCCTTTCTCCTCTCCTTATGCCTTATGAACAGTTTACCTTAAAGTAATATCCTTTTTGTATAGATACAGGAAGACCATTAACATTATGCTTTGTAATTTAGGATTTGATTGGCCTTGAATATTATTCACTCCCGGGCATCTTCTTTCTCGACTTAAGCCTCAGTTGCCCTTAGTTCCTAACACCCCAAAAGCAGGGTCCTGACGAGGGACTGAATGGACCCAGGGCAAGCGGTGAGCTACCCTGGCAGCGAAATGGGCCAGGCCAAAGTGCCACGATTCTTAACTATAAGAGTTTGATCATAGACAAATGCTGTCATGATCCAAAGGTAACGACAAGACTAGGATCCTGCTAGGGGTGGGAAAGACTATCTGGCCTGAGCATCGTAGTCTGAGATGGAGATGGCCCTAGGAGAGCAATTCTATAAGTTTAAGATATTTCTTACTGTATCCATACAAAATGATTTATATTATATTCTTATATGCTTGTCGGACTAGGAGAGCAGAGGCACGCCCATGGGATTATGCTCTAGGGTGGGTCCTCCTGCTGAGGAAGGATCTGTCCTAGGAACGGTCTTCCCTGAGGCCAAGATTTCTACCCCTGTTGATCTCCACCCCTATTGATTGTGACCACACCTTTATGTAATTGTTTGCCCCATTCTCTTGGAGAGAGATATAAGGAGACTGTAGATTGGGCAGTGGGGGCAGACAGAAGGAGAGACGAGGAGAAACAGAGAAGGAGAGAGGGAGCAGAGACAGATGAAGAGAGAATCAGAATAAACTACGACTAATACCAACCAGCCTGGCCCTCGTTCCTTCCTCCGCCTGACCATCGCCATCAACCTCTCCGGGGTGGGAGAAGGGTGAGACTACCGAACGCGGGCGGTGGGAGAGATAGAGCCACCACCGCTGTGGGTGCCGAGCCCCCCTTGTGTGAGTTTACACAAACCAGGACCCACTAGGCACAGCGCTGCCCTCTCGGCGCAAGGCCAGACTGTCCCATGAGGTGGAGGACACAGGCAAGAGGGACCAGGATGGCCGTGGTGGTACCAAGGGTCCGAAGGGAGAGGGTGCCTCTGAGGGCGCCCAGCACCCCCGAGCCCGCCGACCCTTGGTCACCCTGGCCAAGCAGCTCATCTCCACACCAAAGGCCACCCCCCTTTCTGCAAAATGTGGGGATTCCAGCGAAATTAGGCAAAACGTAAACTCCAGCACCCAGAACCCCAGCTTTCAGGCAGTGAGGGCATGTGACAGCCGAGGGATCCAAAGGGCAGGCTCTGCATCGCCCGGGGCGGGAGCGAGGGACAACGCCAATCTGCTGAGGGTCGGGGTCAGGGCAGAAAGGGGCCTTTCTTCCAGCTCTGGCCCACAGGAAGGGGGGGGCTGCACCCGCCCCGAGCGTCTGGGATCCGGCTGGACCTCGGGGCGAGGCCTCTGGCCAGACCCCCCAGCCCCGCCCTGAAGGCCTGCAGCTGGGAGAGACAAGGCTGAGAGCATGGGATGGAGCCTCAGGGACACGGGTGGACCAGCGCCCGGACAGAGAAGGAGGGGAGAACTACAGCCGGGCTGGTGGGCGCAGGCTCAGAGCAGGACAGGACAAGGGTGGAACTCTGGCAGGGACACTGTGTGCATTTGGAGCAGAGGAAAGCGGGGGTCCTGGGGGATGGGAGGGGCAGCCGCCCGGTTGGACAGGCCTGGGGTGGGGCGGCACAGGGTGGAGAGCAGGAAGAGGCCCTGGTCCCTGTCCTCCTTGGGCGTGACCAGGGCTGCGCAGACTGGCGGGGGTCGGGATTGCCTACAGGAGGGCGCCTATGTGAGGGGCAAGGGCCGCCGCTCCCGAGGGGCCCCAGAACGAAGGGCCCCTGGGGCGGCTGGGAGCGGAGGGCCCCACCCCGCTTTCTCGCCCAAGGCCCGGGTGCGGGTGCGCTCTGTTCCCTGCAGCCTGAGGGGTCCCCGAGACGCCCAGCCCTACTCCAGGACGGGAGCTAGGACGGGACCCCCATTCCTGCAGGCACCGACGCCCCCTCCCCGCAATCCCGCCCCCGGTCCCCCCAGCCCCGCACCCCACAACCCGCAACGTCCTCGGCCCCACACACCACGCCCCGCTCCCGGCCCTGCCTCCCACGCAACTCCCGCGCCCGACCCCGCCCTCGGCAGCACGCCTCGCCCCGCCCCGCGCCCGCCCCTCCCGCCCCGCGCCCGCCCCAGCCCCCGCCCCGCTCCTCCCGCCCGCCCCGCCCACGCCCCTGCCCGCCTCGCCCCGCTGTTCCTGGCTTCGGGGGGACACGCGGGCGGAGCGGCGGGGCCTGGGCTCTGCGCCCAGCCGGAAACTCCGCCAGTGCCGTGGGTGGGCGCCCCCGGGTCTCCGTGAGTCACCGCCCGCGGCGCAGGATGCTCCGGGTCGTTTCCCAAAGCTCTGCTGTTCCGCCGGCCCCTCGCGCCCGCTGCCCAGGACCAGCCGCTGCCCCGCACAGGTGCCCCTCGCTCGCCGCACCATCCCCGGGGCCCGTGGGAGGGGCCGGAGTGACGCCCCCTCGAGCGGAGTCGGCCCGGTGGGGCGGGCTGGGCTGCTGGCCTTGCCGCAGGGACCCGGGCCACCTTCCTCTCCGGGGAAGGGCGCCAGAGACCCCCCGCACTCAGCACCTCGGTCCCGCGCGCGCCCTCGTGGGCGCCCCCCGCGCTCCGGGAAGTCGGGAGGGCCGGGCCAGGAGCAATGCCCGGGACGGCCGGGGAGGGCCGAGCCGGGAGCGACCCCTGGACGGCCGAAGGAGGCCGCGGAGCCCAGGAGCCAGAACCCGGGAAGGAACAGCGTTCAGGCACCGGCCTCGCGCGCCCGCCAGGTGTGCTCCCCAAATTAGCACATGCCGTGTTTTTCCGTTTTAGGGTGCGGGAGCTTGGCTACACCCAGCGGCGTTCAGGGCTCGCTCTAGACCCTGCGCCTGGAACCACTCCTGGCGGGCTCGGGGACCACGGGGGTGCTGGGGACTGGACCCAGATAGGCCACGTATAGGGCAAACACCTTGCTTGCTGAATTCTCATTCCAGCGCTTAGTTCCGTTTGTTTTGGTTTTTCCTGGACCACACCCGGTGATGCTCAGGGGACCCTCCCCGGCTCGCCGCTCTGAACTCGCTCCTAGCGGTGCCAAGGGAGCGTCTAGGTTGCCAGGGACCCGGCCCAGCTCGGGAGCATACAAGGGAAGTACCCCCATCTCTCCAGCCCTCGAATATATATGTACATGCATTATTGTTCATATTGTTAAAGAAATTGCATACTTTGCCCTGGGATTTTGTACTTGATGTAATATTTTGCCATTTTATATTATGTTCTGTTTGTTTCTCGGGCCATACGCAGCAGCGCTCAGCGCTTACTCTGGGCTCTGTGCTAAGGAATCAACTCCTGGAGGGCTGAGGGCACAATATGAGGATGGTGCTGAGGATGGAAGCTGGGCCAGCCACAAGCAAACAGCCTCCCCGCTGCCATCACCCTAGTCAGGAGGTTACATTTTTTGGGGGGGGGGTCACACCCGGCGTTGCTCAGGGGTTACTCCTGGCTCATGCACTCAGGAATTGCTCCTGGCGGTGCTCAGGGGACCATATGGGGTGCTGGGAATTGAACCTGTGTTGGCCATGTTGGCTGCGTGCAAGGCAAACGCCCTACCTGCTGTGGTATCGCTCCAGTCCCACCGAGGTTACATATTTTAAGGGTTATATTGCTCCTTCTAGAAAGTTAGTGGGGGAGTGGAGTGATAGTATGGTAGGGAGGGCATTTGCCTTGCATGTGGCTGGCCCAGGTTTGATCTCCGGCATCCCTTTGGTCCCCCGAGCACTGCCAGAGTCCTCCCGAGTCACCCCCGAGGGTAGAGCCAGGAGTAACCCTTGAGCATCACCTGGGTGTGACCCAAAAAGCAAAAACAACAAACAGCAAAAGCAAACTAGAAAGTTTGTAGGCTTCTTAACACTTTTCTGTGATCTTCTTAACACTTTTCCTTAAACTGTCATTCAGTGCCCTGCTCCCCTCCTCCCTCCCCTGCTGTTGGTGGGGATTTGGGAAAGGATGGGCTCACATATGGTTCTCAGAGTGCTCAGAAAGTGCTCTCATGCAGTGGTCACACATGGTTCTCACACAGTGCACACTCACAGTGGTCTCAGAGTACTCACATGGTGCCCTCAAACAGTGCTCATGTCGTGTTCTCACTCACAGTGTTCACACAGTGTATTCACACATGGTGCACAAAGTACTCACACACATGTGTGTTCCTGCATAGTGTTCTCACAGAATACTCACATGGCATCCTCACACAGTGCTCGTGTGGTGTTCTCACTTATAGTGCTCGCCTGGTAGTTCTTGGTAGTGGTCTCAGCCCCGTTCCAGTGCAGTGATTTGTGCCCCCATCGCACTACTCAGGAGCTATAAGGGCACACCTGGTGGTGCTTGGGGACCAAGTGGGCCAGGGCTCAAGCCCAGCCCTCCCTGTGCCTGTCCCAGGCTCGCCTGTGCTGTCTGAGGACTCTCAGGCTGCACAGCTCATGGGGCCTTAGCATTGGGGGCCACAGCTGGCAGGGCACAGGAGCTGCCCAACTTTCTGTGCATGCAGGTTCCCTTCCGGCGGTCCTGGGGGCCCCCTCTCTGGTCCCACAACTCAGCTTGGACGTCAAATCAAAGTCCCTGTTATTTGACAGACTTGCCTTGCACCCAGGTGTGGCCTCCAGACAAAAATAAACAAAAAATTTCTTTTACCTCAAAGGGCTGGAACTTTCTTTTGGACTTTTTTTGGGGGGCCACATCTGGCAGTGCTCAGGTGACTTCTGGCTCTGCACTCAGGAATCACTCCTGGTGGAGGGACAGGTGCCGGGACGCAGAGGACCGTGTGCAAGGCAAGTGTCCTCCCCGCTGGCCTATGGCTCTGGCCCTTCCTCTGGAGAGTTCCAATTCTCTGTGCAGTTTGGAACAGAGTAGACCTTCAAAGGTAATGCTAATTTAATCCTGATAGAAATGCTTTCGTTCCCACTACATAGTAAGGTTCTTGGATAGACTCTTAGTTTCCAAAAAATTCTTTACACGCGACCAACTTAGTGTCATTAATTTTTGTTTCTTGAGTCACAGCTGGTGATGCCCAGGGCTTTCTCCTGCGGGGCCTGGGGACCCATCCAGTCAGTCTTACTATTGCTCCAGCACCTGTTCTTCTCTTCACCTAATGTAATTTTATGCCCCTCTCGGAGAGCCTGGCAAGCTACCGAGAGTATCACGCCCACACGGCAAAGCCTGGCAAGCTACCGGTGACGTATTCGATATGCCAAACACAGTAACAATTGTCACAATGGAGATGTTACTGGGCCCACTTGAGGAAATCGATGAACAACCGGAGGACGGTGACAATGACAGTGGCACCTGAACGTGGTTGCAGCAGTGCCCGCACTGTGGGTACCCCAGGCCACTGCTCTGCAGTGCCCTGCACCGGGACCTCAGGCACCTCCAGCCTGGTGACCTGCTCTTACGTTTTGGCCCTTTGAAGTCCTCATAGGTTCACAAGATGTTGTAAGAAACAGAACAAAAATCACACGTGCTCCTTCCTCAGTGGCCCCAGGTGCGTCCGACCCAGGACACAAGCTCAAGAAATGGACGCAGAGACGGAAAATCAACTCTGATACCCTTCAGGGGCTGGTCATGTGCAACTGGGTACCTGGCTGGCCTCCAAGAGCCCGGCCAGCATGTCCACTGCTCACAGCGCCCCCATCCCTCACGCTTCCCTGAAGAACGCACCCTTGTGAGGGGCCAGAAGCGCTAGCTGAGGCAGCTGGCCCACAGGCGGGCCCCTCACTGCCACTCTGGGCTGCTGAGTGACACTAAGCTCCACCACCCCTAGGGCCCAGGCGCCCTCAGAGCCGGCACCGTTTGGGCTCCCCTGGGGTGTGTCCTGGCTGCACCTGCCCGTAATGGGTGTCTGGAGGCTGGGCCTCACCCCTGCAGGTGGGCCCTCAGACCCAGTCTAGCAGCCTCCTGGTGGGGGTCCTGCTGTCTGTCCCCAAGTGACAGCTGCCTTTCCAGCCCCCCAGGAGCCTTCTGGACTGGGCTTTACAGTTTTGTCGGCCTCCTGAGCACTGCTCGTGGGAGCTGGGACCATGCTTGTGGTGTGCCCAGCCAGAACAGTCGGGGGGGGGGGGGGGACGGGGGGAGCCCGGGGCCCCAGCCCCAACGCCCAGCTCCCTGGCCTTCCATGTCCTTTTCCTATTTTGGAGCTACACCTGGCAGTGCTCAGGGCTGACTCCTGGGTCTGCACTCAAGCACTCCTGCCAGTGCTCTCCTGAGGTGCCAGGGATCAAGCCCAGGTGAGCTGTGTGCAAGCACACACCCCTGCAGCACTGGGGCTCTCTTTAGGCACAGGGTACGTGGCCTGGTACTTTTCTTGCCTGCCTGGCAGGGGTATCCCAGACACCTCCCCAGCCAGGTCAGGCAGGCTCAGTGGTGTCCAGGCACTGCTGACCCGGACCCACTAGCTCGAGGCCCCCCTGCCCAGCCCTCTGGTGGGACGTTCTGATTTTGACTTTGGGTCACACCCCTGGTACTTGGGGCTGACTCCTGGCTCTGTGTCATGACCAAACCCCTGCCAGAGAAACTACACAGGTAGGGGATTAACTCTGGCTTGGTCAGCAGCACCCGCCATGTTGCCCCGAGCCGGTGCCTCCCCGCTAGACTCTCCCAGTACCCCTCTTTGCTTCCTATAGATGCACCTCGCTGCCATCCCAGGGCCCCACTGCCTCAGGGTCTTTTGGGCCCGTAAACGCTAACCCCTTCCTGCTGACAGCCTGCAACCCGAGGCCTGGGGCTGCCGGCCCATGTGGGGGCATTCTGGAGGCCATGAGCTGTGCTGGGGCAGTGGCTAGGGACACTGCAGTCACCAGTGTGAGCTGAGGTCCACGGGGCTGGTGGGGCCCCCATGAGGCGCCACACACACAGCTGACCCACACCAGCCCAGAAAGTGCTGTGCACAGCTGATGGGTGTGCAGTCCTGTGGGCAGTGGGGAAGAGGCCAGGGGACAGACCACAGCCTGGTCCTGGGGAGGGAAGTGGAGATGGGCAAGGGTCTGGCACCACCTGGCTCTCGTCCTAGCAGTTGTGAGAGAGCTGTCCTCCCGCCTTGTCCCAAGTCTGGTCTAGGGCCTTAGGCACCATAACCCTCATCCGAGGGTGCCCCGTCCAGTGGCCGCCTTGAGCTCAGGACCCATCTTGAAGGGGCCTCAGTTCCCTCACCTCCTACCTGAGGTTCCCAGGCACGACTCTAAGCCTGGGAACTCGGTGAGACAGGAGCACAGGTGCATCCCTCCTGCCCATGTGAGCCAAGACTCCTTGGATGGCTGCTTGAGGAGGTGGGACGCTCCCTGGCAGCTCGAGGGGCTGCAGGCTGCTCCTCAGCAAGATCCTACCACCACTCCCCACGGGGCCCCCAGAGCTGGACATGGGACTCTTCCCTGAGGGAGAGCCGGGAGAGTCCCTGGGGACCCACCCTACACCAGCCCCTGGTCCCTCCAGAGAACAGTGCGCAGGCAGCGACCTCTGCTGGCCACCATGGGAAATGCAGTCTGTGTCCTGGGAGTGTTTTACTGGGGACCCCAAGACACAGGGGACAGGACAGCTGTAAACACATAGGCAAGGCTGCCCCAGACCTTGTAAACACGGGGTTTGGTCCTGCACCATCCACTGACAGGGCAGCAGTTCCAGGCAGTGTCCGCACCACACCGGTCCACTCTGCAGCCTCACCAGGACTGAGGCAGTGTGGGCGCACCAAGGGCCAGGAGGAGTTTGGGGAGTAGAGGGTGAAGGTGGGGGACCAGTGGGTGATCTGGTGGGCCAGTGGCTGTCAGTCTGGCCGGGAGGGACACTAGATGAAGGTGGAGTCCAGAGGCCCAGTGTCCTGCTGGCTGAGGGCACGGGCCTCGAACAGCTGCTTGATGAGAGCCGACTTCTCCTGCTCCAGCTGGGTGATGCGCTCGCTCCTGTCCGTCACCTCCTGGGGGGACAGTGCTCAGGGCTGGCCAGGCCACCATGCATGTACACACCACACACACAATGCACAGCACATATTTGCACACACCACATGCACACATATCACATGCACACACACCACACATGCACACACATTTATGCACACACCACACATGTACACATATACCACACGGGCACACCACACATGCACACACCAATGCACTCACTGCACATGCAAACCACACATACATGCATGTGCATATCACACACGCTGCACACCACACTGCAAAAGCACACCGTATGCATACACATCACACACCTACACACATCTGTATGCTGTACACGCACACCACATACACTGCACACGCATATCACACACATAATACACTGCACACACCGCACATGTACCACACACATACACCGCATACACATCACATTTACACACCACACACTGCACATCACAAGCACACACACCACACACTATACACATTGCTCATTTACGCCACACGCATGCACATTGCACACTGTACACTGCACATGCACTAACATACGCTGCACACACCACACACATGCATGCACACACACTGCAGATAGATGCTCACCACATGCATACGTCACACACATACATGCGACACGCATACATACCGCATGCATAAACACCACATATGTATACCACAAGAGTACACACATACACACCACACATGCACACGCCCCCCCCCTCACCTGGGTGAGGAGCCGGTTCTGCTCCTTCAGCATGGTGATGGTCTGTTGCTGCCAGCTGGGGGCCGCGGGGGGCGAGGCCGGGAGCCCCGAGGATGAGGGCAGGGCCTGCGGGAGACGGCGAGCAGCTGGTGCCGGTGCCCCGACAGTCTCCAGGGCCGGAGAGAGGGGCGGGCGGTGGGGGCCACTCACCCTGCCGGCACAGGCCGCCGCCAGCAGCTCCCCCAGGCATCGGGCCACCTCCTGGACCTTGGGCAGCAGGCGGCCCAGCAGGCCGGGGCTCCCCTCCGCGCCAGTGTCCTGGAGAGAAGAAGGGAGCCGTGGGTGCGGGGTCGGCCGCGGCTTCCGCCCCCCGCCCGGGGGTGAGGGGCACTCACGGCGCTGGCCCTGCTCCGGCCCAGACGGCGCTGCCGCTCCTGCACGCGCTGCAGCTGCTGCTGGTACCAGTCGCGGCCGCGCGCCATCATGGCCAGGCCCTGCAGCAGCACCTCGCGCTCCTGCTCCAGCTCCTCCAGCTGCCGGAGCTGCGGCCGGGCGAGCACAGGCGCCGTCAGCCCGCGGGATCCGCCGGGCCGCGCGAGCGCCCCCCGGGAGCCGCCCCCAGCCCCGGGCACAGCCTCACCAGCTCACAGTCCACGCCATTGCTGATGGTGTGTCTCCGCCGCTGACCCCGGGCGCGCGGTGCCCGCCGGCTGTCCCCCACCGCCGGCTCCCAGGCCCTGCAGCCCACCGCACCTGCAGAGGGCGGCCCGGGACCCCGTCAAGACCCCCGGGCCCACACCCCAGCAGCTCAGGGCCCGTCCAGCCCGGCGTGAGTGGGGCAGGTGGGGCTGCTGGCGGGGACCGGGTGTCCGGGAGGTGCGCGCAGGGAGCGGTCAGCTCCGCGGACAGAGGTGCAGAGGTGGGGCGCCGCACGCGGGGCCGGCGGCTGGGGGGACGCGGCCGGCGCCGCAGGCCTGAGCGAGGGAGGGGCGCCGGGGCAGCGGCGAGGGCGGCTCCTCCCTCCCCATTCACAACTTCCTAAAGACTTTGGGCCTTTGGGTTACCCCCGCGACGCTCTGCACTCGGGAGTCTCGGGCCGGCCGCCGCAAGGCCCACGCCCTCCCCGCCGCGCGGCCACTCCGGCCCCTCACCCGCGGCCGCGCCGGGCAGCGCCTTCCGCTCCAGCACAGTGCGCGGCTCGTCGGCGGGCGCGAAGAGCAGGCGCGGCGGCGGCGCGGGGGGCGCGGGGCCGTCGGCGGCCGGCAGCGAGGCGCGCAGACCGGCCACGAAGCGCTCGAAGGTCAGGTGGCCGCTGGCCGGGGCCACGCGCCGCAGCCCCTCGAGCACGCCGCGGGGCAGCTCGCGCGCGTCGGCGCCCTGCCAGCGCGACTCGATTTCGCGCAGGTGCACGTAGCCGCGCCGCCGGTCGTCCAGAATGTCGAAGAGCGTGCGCAGGCTCTGCAGGAAGGCGCGCGGCAGCGCCTCGGCGCCCGGCGCTGCCGGCGCGGCCCCGGCCATGCGCTCCGCGCGCCCGCCGCGCGCCGCCACAATAGCGGCTACTTTTTGAACGGGCCCCGCGTGGCGTCGGCGCTCATTAGCATGCACGCCGGCCATTGGCCCCGGCCCCGCGCCGCCGCGCTCATTAGCATGCGCGCCGGTCATTGGCCCCGGCCGGCCCTAGTCCGCTCCCATTGGCCGAGCGGCCGGCGTCCCGGTTTGATTTCCCGGGGGCGGGGCGGCCCGCGGAGGGGGCCCCGCGCCCGCAGGAAGCGTGTCCCCGGGGGGCGGCGGGCGGCCGGGCCTGCCCCTCCCGGGAGGGCCTGCCCGGAAGGCCCCGGGTGGGCGGGGGGGGGATCGAGGGCTCCGGCGCGGCGCTTCCCGGCACAGAGGCCCGTCTGTCCCCGCGGCCCCTCGGGACGCCCGGCCTCTCCTGTCCTCTGCAGGACAAAGCCGCCCTTTCCTGCGTCCTCAGCTGGTGGCCAGCTTCCCTGGGCTCCGGGGACCCTCTGCCCTAGCCCTCCGCAGACTCACGCTGCACTCTGGGGGCGGGGAAGGTCTAGCTTGCAGCCTCGGGACTGCGGGGCGCCGGGGGCAAGCTATGTGTGCAGCCCCCACGCCTCCCGCACCTTGTCCTGGAGCGTGGCCCCAATGTTTCCTGCTGCCTCTGCTCTTCTCAGCAGACCGTCCCCCACCCTCAGGTGTATCCAGTCAGAAAACGCCCTCTCGGGAGCGGCCCCTGGCGCCCCTGGCCTTCCTAGAGCTGCTTCTGGACGGCTGCCCACCTGGTCTTCCACGTCATCCAGGGGCCCCAACGCACCGGAGCCTGGCTGGGCTGTCCTGGGTCTGCTTTCCCACTGGGACGACCCCTCAAAATCAAAATCAGGAACCTTCTTGGTGGGGACTGGCTCTCCCCAGCCCAGCAGTGTCCAAAGCCTCATCTGCATCTTCTCCCCTGCTGCTGTCCTCCGGAGCCAGCTTCAGGGACTCTGCACACAGGACTCTCCTGGGAAGGCTATCCTGGCAAATTGCTGGGTAGGGGTGGGGGTGGGCCAGCCCCCAACTCCGGCCAGATGTCCCGCTTTCCAACTATGGTGCGGGCTCCTGAGTCCCAGTGCTCTGCGCCTGGGCTGGACACCATGCCTGGGCAGCGGAGGCTGTGGGGCTGGAGGCAGTGGCTTTAGGTGAATTTTCCACCTTGCAGTGGACACAGGCTCTTCTCCAAGTGTGGGAGCTGCAGGGAAGGTGGCCCCTGGACTTGGACTTGAGTCTGAAAGGGAACAGAGCACAGTCCCCATATCTGTCATCGGAAACGCTGACCCTGCCTTCCTGTGCTGCTCTGCCGACTCTCCTGGGAGCCACCTGAGAAGACCAGGGGGTCCCAGTCCCTGGTCCCAGTCCCTGGAGATGTGGCTCCAGGGTGGGCGGTCCACACTCCACGTTGTTTGGAGAGAAAGCCAGCCTCTCCCTTAGCCTGGCCCAGGCCTGCATCTCCATCCTCAGCAAGGCCCAGGGATCAGCCCTTGCCAGTGACCTGCTTCCGCCTCACACTATCTTCTCTGAGGCCAGGCAGGGGCCACGTCCCTTGTCCTGGACCCAAGTCCAAACCCTCTGAGCTCAGCCCCACCCCTTACTTGGAGACTGGAGCCAAAAGAACCCTGAATGTTCTTATCCTTGATTTTCTTTCTTTGGGCCACACCTGTCTGTGCTTATAGCTGGTTGGGCTCTGGGACTCTCTGTGGTGCCAGAAATCAAACCTGGGTCAGCCACATGCCAGGCAAGCGCCCTTCCCCCACAGCACCTCTCTGGCCTAGACCTTCCTTTACTGAAACATGCTTCCAAGGGCACATGTGAGCTGTAGACTCTGGCTTAGGGTATGGAGTCCACCGTGCTCCGAACACCTCTCCGTGGTCACATCTTCTTCAGCTCACCCCCTTGCACTGTGAACAAGGTTGACTATGGGCTGGGTTGACCCAGCGCAGCCCCCAGTATGTGTGGGCCATGGGCCACAGTGACTATCTGGGTCATGAGAGAAAAATATCTGGTTCTGGGGGTCAGAGCTAGGGAAAGCAAGAGTCAGGCAGACAGGCCCGTGGGTGCTCAGCCAACCTGACTGCTCAAGGGGCTCCGGCAGGACTGGTGGTAGGGAGCAGAGACTGGGGAGGGTAAGGTAGGAAGCCCCGTGACACTCTTTGGAGGAGTCTTGCTGGCTGGAGGTGGCCAGTGGGCTGTCAGCTCTCTGCTGGCCCAGGTGGGGAGGCAGAGTCCTGTGTGCATCAGGGCTGGGCTGGGAGCTCCAGGAGAGAGGTGGCTTTTCACCTTGGGTCCATGAGCCCATACTACTTTTCAGCCTAATAAGACGAGTTTCTCAAGAAAGGTCTGGGGTCAGGAGATGGTCAAAGCACTGCAGCATGGGCATTGCATGTGGGGCCCCGTTTCATCTCTGGCACCGCACAGTCCCCAAGCAGCAATGAGTGCTATTTGGGTACCCCAAACAGAGGGTTTGACAAGTGTTCTATCCCCCAGTTGCTGGATCTATTTTTCATATATTTTCATGAGGGAGTGTGTAAAGAAAGGTACCACAGAGACAGCATAGCAGGTACGGTGCCTGCCTTGCATGCAGCTGGCCCAGATTTGATCCCTGGCACTCCATAGGGTCCCCTTGAGCCCCACCAGGAATGCTTCCAAAGTGCAGAACCAGGAGTAAGCCCTCCACACTGTTGAGCCAAAATAAAATAAAAGTACTCAGGCAGAGGGAGCACGTGTGAGTGGCTCTGTGGCTCTGGTCATATAGCATCCAGAAGAAGGAAGGTGAAGAAGGGACCCTCCCAAGAGGCTGAACAACCTTCCAGTATTTTAGAGGGGTTACACCTGGCAGTGCTAGGTGGGCCCCTGGGGACACTTTCTTGCTGAGAATACAGTGTTCAGCCCAGCGGGAATGAGACTCTCTCATTCTCCAGGCAAATACCGGTAGTCAGCTACCAGACAGGTAAGTGCAAAATTGGCAGGGAGGCTTGAGACCCGCCCTCTAGAGCCCCCCCTGTCACCCAGGGTGAATTAGAACTCAAGTCAGCCCTCGCGCCAGGACAGAAATGTGCCAGGACCCGAGGGGCAACGCCAAGCAACGCCAAGCCTCGGAACCTTTCCAGAGTTTCACCAGCTCCCTAAGGAGCAGGAGAAGATTCTAGGGTCTCGGAGTCAGGGAGGAGGCGGGGCCATGATAGGGATCGGGGCTTGGCGGGGCCAGGGTCGGGGACGGCCCGGGAGCGGGCCCGGAGGGGGCGTGGCCGGTCTGTGAGCCCACCCCGAAGGGGCGTGGGCAGCATGTGAGGGGGCGCCCGAGGGGCGTGGCCGACCCTGAGCTGCCCGGGGGCGTGGCCGGCGAGTGAGCGCGTCCCGGAGGGGGCGTGGCCGGCCTCGAGCGGCCCGGGGGGCGTGACCCAGGCTGGAGCGGCGGCCGCCCCGTCGGGTCTCGTGACGGCGCGGCTGCAGGTCACGAGTGCGGCGCGGCGACATGGCCTCGGAGCAGGCGGTGCGCGAGCGGCTGCGGCGCGCGGGCCAGGAGCACCTCCTGCGCTTCTGCGCCGAGCTGGCGCCTGGGCCGCGTGCCGCGCTGCTGGCCGAGCTGGCGCCGCTGGAGCCCGACGCGCTGCGCGAGCACTGCCGGCGCGCGGCCGCGTTCCGCGCGCGACCCCCGGGCCCGCCGGCCGGCCTGGCCGCGCGCCTGCAACCGCTACCCCCCGAGCGCGTGGGCAGCGCCCCCCGCGGCGACCCCGACGCGCGGCGTCTGTGGGAGGATGAAGGTAAGGGGCGGAGCGGCCGGCCCGCTGTGGGTCCGCGCTGCGCGCCTCGCCGGGTCGGGCCGGCTGGGGCACGCTGGGCGGGGCCCCGGCCCGGTAAGATCAGAATGTCTCCTGGCAGTTTTTGTCGGTGGCTCGCAGGGGTCTTCCTGCCCAGGCCCGGGTGGGCTTGCGGAGAGAGGGCAGCCGGGTGGCGGGCCCAGGCACCCCTCACTCATGGCACACTGGTACCCCAGGTTTCCACCAGATCGCTCTGGGCAAGGTGGCTGTGCTGCTGCTGGCTGGCGGGCAGGGCACGCGCCTGGGCGTGCCCTACCCCAAGGGCATGTACCAGGTGGGACTGCCCAGCCAGAAAACCCTGTACCAGCTGCAGGCCGAGAGGATCCGGCGGGTGGAGCAGCTGGCTGGCCAACGCCATGGGACACGCTGCGCCGTACCTTGGTGCGCCCTGTGGGCAGCAGAGACCCCAGAGTAACCCTCTCGAGCCCAGCCCTGTCCCCCACCCGACCCCAGCAGGAAGCCCTGCCTGGCCCCTAGGACTTAGGGGTCGGCCTCCCGCAGGTACATCATGACAAGTGAGTTCACGCTCGGGCCCACAGCCGAGTTCTTCCGGGAGCACAGCTTCTTCCAACTGGACCCCAAGAACATCGTCATGTTCGAGCAGCGCATGCTGCCTGCCGTGGGCTTTGATGGCAGGGCCATCCTGGAGCGGAAGGACAAGGTCGCCATGGCACCAGGTAACAGCCTCCACTTGCCTGTGTTCAATTCACTGCCCACCAGGGGCACTGTATCCTCTGGTAGCTCAGGGGCTCATTCTTTGCACCTGTCTATGCTGCAAGCTCGGCCTGGGCCACGAGGTGGCAGGCGCAGGGGGCCTGCCTGGCTGGGCTGCGCAGCCTCCAGCAGGCCAAGGGTCAGCCCACCACGCTCCCTCCCCAGACGGCAACGGGGGTCTGTACTGCGCGCTGGCAGACCACCAGATCCTGGAGGACATGGAGCGCCGCGGGGTGGAGTTCGTGCACGTCTACTGTGTGGACAACATCCTGGTGCGGCTGGCCGACCCGCTGTTCATCGGCTTCTGCGTGTGCCAGGCGGCCGACTGCGGGACCAAGGTGGGTTGGTGCCGCCTCTCGCCTCCTCTGCCCCGGTCCTGCCTGGACCTGGACTGAGCCTGTGCCTGGCGGCTGTAGGTGGTGCAAAAAGCGTACCCCGAGGAGCCCGTGGGCGTGGTGTGCCAGGTGGATGGTGTGCCCCAGGTGGTGGAGTACAGTGAGATGGACCTGGAGGCCATGCAGCTGCGTGGGCCGGACGGGGACCTGCTGTTCGGCGCAGGCAACATCTGTAACCACTTCTTCACCAGGGACTTCCTCCAGAGGGTCATCAGGTGGGCAGTGTGGAGGCAGCCTGCTGCCCCTGGGTCTGGGCACCTGAACTCGGACCTCAGTCTGAGCCGGGCCCTCTCCTCCCCCGACACGCCCAGGGAGTGTGAGCCGCTGCTGCAGCCCCACGTGGCTGTCAAGAAGGTCCCGTACGTGGACGAGGAAGGGAACCCAGTCAGGCCGCTCGAGCCCAATGGAATCAAGATGGAGAAGTTTGTGTTCGACGTGTTCCAGTTTGCTACGTTAGTGGATACCGCCAGCCTCCTCTTCTCCCTCCCTGTGGGGGGCTCTGATACCCTGTGGGCAGGAACTGTGGGCTGGGTGGCTGCAGGGAGCGTCCTGGGGTGCCTGTCCCCTCCTGCGCTCTCGTGTTTCTCCCCTGGCATTGGGAACTGTTTGGCAGGGGGCTGCTGGGGGTCATGGCCTGAGCTCTCCTGGGATCTGAGGCCTGGGACGTTGTCTGGGGGTCTCAAGAGCTGGGGCTCGTGGCAGGCCTGGGGGCCTCTGGCTGCCCTCAGCCTGTGTCAGTCACTGCACCTCCGGGCCTGGATGCCACCCACCAGCCTCTCCCTGCTAGGAACTTCGTGGCCTTTGAGGTGCAAAGGGAGGAGGAGTTTTCTCCACTGAAGAATGGGAATTCTGCCGCTAGAGACTCCCCGGCCACGGCCCGCCGGGCCCTGCTGTGGCAGCACTACCGTTGGGCCCTCCAGGCGGGGGCCCGTTTCCTCGACACACATGGGGCCCCACTTCCGGAGAAGCCCAGGTGAGTGGCTAGGGGCATCCCACGGCACCTGACAAGTCCTGCCATCCAGTAAGAGCCCCAGAAACCAGGATGCCAGCCTGGGTGTCGGAAGGGACAGCGTGAGAGGAGGGCCAAGGGCTCCATACCAAGCGGCTTGGCCCATGAGCACTGGGGCAGGAGTAGCTCCAAGTGCCCCAGTTGCTCTACCCCAGGACCAACACAGGGACAGTTCCCAGTATGCTGGGCTGTCAGAGAGGAGATGGCTGAGAAGGGGCCCCCGGAGACGCCTGGGTCCCCTGACTGAGTTGCTCCCCAGCCTGCTGGACGGAGAAGAGCCACCGGCCATCTGTGAGATCTCACCCCTGGTGTCCTGCTCTGGAGAGGTCAGTCCTGCTGATTTGAGCCCACACTTGAATCCTTTCTGTGGGATATGGGTGGTGGATTGGAGGGCAGATCTGAGCTGGCTCTGGGCAGACACGGGCCCCCACCAGGGACTGACAGGGTTACTGATTTTGTTTTTCCAGGGACTGGAGATGTACCTGCGAGGCCGGGAGTTCCGGTCCCCCCTCATCCTGGATGAGAAGAAAGCCAGGGCACTACAGCCGTGACCAGCCACCCTCTGCCTGCACTGGACACAGGACGACTTCGTCCACTCACAGAAAGACGTGGTCCAAGGGGCTGCCTTCTGCCCAGCAGCAGCCAAAGCTGGCATGACACGGGCTGCCCCACCGCTCGCGCCTGGCTTCCGACTTACACTGGTCTGCATCTCTGCAGGAAGGGTGGAGCAGAGCGGAGGCTTTGGGGCTCCCCCCAGCAGCTCTACCCTGGCTGGCCCGTGTCCCTTGCTGGAAAGATCACGCTCTCTCTTAAGGGTCCTCTTCTCGGGCTCCCTCCTGCCATTCTCCCTGAACGACTCCTTCTCACCCCAGCACTGGGGGGCACTCTGCAGACACTGCCCGAGACATCTATTCCCAGCCATCCTTCCTGGAGGTGGCCTGTCCAGCCCAGTGCAGGAATGCTGGCGGGGGCCCGGCTGCCTCACTCCTCTGGGTGCCCACACGCCAGCAGCAGACACTGCTCTGTGGGCCTGTCCCCACTGCCAGACACTCCTTCCCTTACCTCCAGCCCTGTGTGGGGCTTGTGAAAGCCTAACAGGATGGCCACCAACGTGAAGGTGGGGTTCCCAATAAACAGGTGCTCTGACGACATTTAGCCTGCATGGTATGTGTGTAGCAGCTCCCCAGGATGTCAGTTTTTGTGCGTGTATCCTTGTAACCTGGGACATGTGCCCTGCTTGACTGCTGCGCCTAAGTGTCCACGGGTGTGTCGCTGGGTTTGCTGGGTTTGGGAGGAGGCAGTCACCTGCTGTGACACTCAACCTGGTCTGACCATAGCCCTCGGACAGGCTCGAACGTGCCAGGTAACCCTGGGTCCCCAGCTCAGGAAGGCACCCTGCAGGACCAGCGAGCCCCAGGTGCGGGGAAGGTTCAGATGAGGGGGCCCTGCCCGGGGGCCAGTCTCCACTCAGGGAAGCGGCCGGACGCCCCAACTAAGCAAGAGCCAATCCCAGCCCCCGCAAGATTGCACGGGGCGCAGCGGGCGTCCACGAAGGGCAGAGAGGGCCGCTTGTCGCCCCAGCCGGGCGTCCTCGTGCTCAGGCCCGCGGGAGAGAGGAGCACAGGTTCTGATGGCAGCAGGGACCGGAGGGTGCGCGGGCAGGGTACATGCCACTGTTTCAGTCCGACCAGCCAGTTCCCAAGAACTGCGCAGGCGCGGCCCCGCGAGCACCGGAGGCGTGGTCTCCGCAAAGTACGCCGAGCACGTGGGCGGGCACGAAACGGGATGAGGCGGGGCATGTGTGTTGTGGGGGAGGGGGACGTGTGAAGCGCTTAGGCGCGGAGCGGCCGGTGGAGGAGCGCAGGCGCAGAGCGGCGGATAGCGTGGGGGGGCAGCGCGCGCAGAAGCAGAGCGGCGGCGGTGGGTGGGGGGGGGAGGCTCAGACAACGCGCGCAGGCGCAGAGCGGCAAAAGGTGGGAGCGCAGAGCACGTGCGCAGGCGCAGAGAAGCGAAGGGGGGGGAAAAAGCAGCGCGCGCAGGCTCCTGAGGGACGCGGGGCGGCGCGCAGGCGCGACGCGGGTCGGAGGACGTGGCGCAGGCGCGTTGGCGCGCGCCGCGATGGGCGTGGTGTGTCCGGAGCTGCGATGTCGGCGCCCGGGAGCGGCGGCGGCGGGCCCCTGGGCTGTCCTCGTAGCCCGTCCTGACGCCGCAGCCGCGCGGGGTCCCGCGAGCCCCGTCGGCTGCGGCCATGTATCTGCCGGCCGCGCCGGGGCCGCGCCGAGACTTCATCTCGGTGACGCTGAGCCCGGGCCCGGGTGGCGATGGCAGCAAGCGGCGGCGGCCGCGCTCCTGCTGGCGGGTGAGCGCCGGGCAGGGCCGCGCCGCGCCGCGCCGCGCCGCCCCCCGTCGCGCCGCCCCGTCCCGCCCTTGGCATTCCCGCTCTCTCCCCTAGAAATGGAAGCAGCTGTCCCGGCTGCAGCGGAACGTCATCCTGCTGCTCGCCGCCTTCCTGCTGCTCTGCGGCCTGATATCCTACGTGCACACGACTGAGCCCTGGAGAGGTACCGGCGCTCGCGCCCGGCCCGGTCCGGGCAGGCGGGTGTGCGACCCCGGGGCGTGCGCGGCGGGTCTCCCAGGGTCCCTGTCCGCAGGGTGGGCGGGGGCGCCCGCGAGGAGATGGGCGGCGGGCCGGGCGCTAACGCGGCCCCTCCGCAGCCCTCGCAGCGCGGGCGGTGCAGGAGAAGAGGATGAGGCCGGCCGCCGCCCCCGTGCTGCCCGCGCCGCAGGAGGCCCGAGCCGACGCGCAGCCCGCACCGGGCCCACCACCCCCGGTAGGTCTGCGCCGCCCCGGCCGGCCGCTTGCCGCGGCAGGGTGACTGGGCAGAGGCACGTTCCCTTCTGCTGGGAGAGCAACGTGCAGGGAAACCCCGGACCGGGCGCCTGGGGAGCCGAGGGGGGTTTTTAGGCAGGCCAGACCTTCTCTCCGGGTCAGGTGGCGGGGGGAGGGGGGGAGTGCACAGGGGCTGGGGACACTGATGGCCCAGTGTCAAGGGGACATAAGGCAAGTCTCAGGTGCAAGAGGGTCTGGCACCCTGCAGAGTTCGTGTCAGGACCCAAACGTTTGGGAGCAAACAGGGCCCTCGGGGACCCTCAGCTCCATCCGGTTCTGGGATCTGATCCCAATGTGGGGAGCAGAGCTCAGGATCACACCCCAGGGGTTAGGGAGGGCGTCCCTGCAGAACCAGGAGCCTTTGTGGCAGTTGGTGGGGAAAGCAGAGCGTGGAACCCCACCCCAGGCACTGAGGCCCCGACTCGCGTCCCTGGGAGAAGGGCCCTGGGGGGCTGGCGCACCACAAGTACTGCAGTGGGGGTGGAGGCAAGGGAGGACTGGGAACGTGGGGCCCTGAGAGGCCTCCTGGGCAGGGCAGGGTCCCCTTGGCGGCCCTGGGGGGCAGGTGTAGGCAGGCACGGTTGGGGCACACATGGTCGGGGAGGCCGAGGAGTGCTACTCACAGGGGACTCTTATTTGACTAGAAGTCACAGCGGCACATGCGCCGGGGACCGCCCAACCTGCAGATCCGCGCCCCTGACAGGCGATCCGTGGTGTCCAGGAGGCCGGAGGCCGCGGCCGGCGCCCGGGAGGAGCTGGTGCAGAGGACGCTCAGGCATGGGCAGCACCGGACACGTCTCCTGCAGGCCAAGAGGGCGAGGGCCGGGTCGTGGTGGGCCGGACCCTGCCCGTGGGTCCCTCCTTCAGGGCGGGAGCCGTCCTCTGCGTCCATGCCGGCCAACGGCACATTCTTCTCTCCCCAGCTGGAGGGGAGCTGGGCCGGAGCCAGGCACTGGCCACCTGTCTGGGAGAGCGGGAGCCTCCTCCCTGCCCGCCCTGCCTGCCAGAAGGCTCCCCAGCCCCACAGGTAACACCCACCTGCTTCCTGGCGTCCCGCACGGGGCTGTCAACTGTGGGTGATGCACCGCTGGGGCTCCTCCTCCTGGCGTCCGGGGTCTGCGTGTGCATGTCCACCGTGGGCCTGCGGGGATCGGGGGCAGGTTCTGTCCCTCTCCAGCCCAGGTCGGGGGGCTCAGGCCATGTGCCGGGCCGATGGACCCGAGGGCTGGCGTCCACCAAGCTGGGGGCAACTGGGAGCGGCCGTAGCGCCGGGTGTCGCTCTGCATCCGGCCCGCCTGGCTGTGCCCCTCTGCTTCCTGACCGGTCTCCTCCCCCATCTCCTGCAGGTGCCCGCAACCCCCGGCAGCAGGCCGTGGTCGAGGCCTTCCGCCACGCGTGGGAGGGCTACCGCGCCTTCGCCTGGGGCCATGACGAGCTCAAGCCTGTGTCCAGGTCCTTCAGCGAGTGGTTTGGCCTCGGCCTCACGCTCATCGACGCACTGGACACCATGTGGATACTGGGTCTGAGAAAAGGTATCGCCGTCTGCCTGTCTGGCCCCACCGGTCTCTGGGCGCCATGGGGCCCGCAGGGCTGCTGAGGCCTCTGGTGGTCCCCACCCATGTCCTCTGTCCCCACTCGTATCCTTTCTCTGTTCCCTGTGTCCTCTCACTGTCTTCTCCCACATTCTCTCTGTGCCCTCCTCTCACTGTTCCTCTGTGTTCTTTGTCCGTTCTTGTCCTGCTGTCCCTTCCTGTATGGGGTGTTTTGTGTATGTATTCCTTGGCTGGGCTGCTCTCTGAAGTGTCAGGGTGGAGCCCAGACTCATGACGGGCTCGGACCCTTCCCTGGCCTGGACATGGACATGGCTCGGGGTCTCTGAATCGGGGGCCTTCAGTGAGCTGCGGCTCTTGGCTGCTGGGAAGCATGAGGTCAGCCTCACCGTGGGCCTGGGTCCGACTCCTGGGCTGGCGGGCGCGGAGGTCCCTGAGCCTCGTGTTCTGTGTCTAGAGTTTGCTGAAGCGCGGAGCTGGGTGTCCAGGGAGCTGCGCTTTGATAAGGATGTGGATGTCAACCTGTTTGAGAGCACCATCCGGATTCTGGGGGGCCTGCTCAGCGCCTACCACCTGTCCGGGGACCCCCTTTTCCTGCAGAAGGCGGTGAGCAGGGCCATGCTGGGTGCTGCTTGCTTTTCTTTGGCCAGTGGTGCTGCTGCCCCAGGCCCCGGTTGGCAGTGGTCCTGGGTGGTCTGGAGTAGGGGTTCCAGCCTGCTCCCTGGGACTCGGCTCAATGGCTGTGGGTAAGGGCCTAGCCAAGGGCAGCTGGACGATGGTCCACACCTGTGTCCTGTGTCTGTCAGGAGGATCTGGGGGATCGGCTCATGCCTGCTTTCAAGACTCCGTCCAACATCCCATATTCGGACGTCAACCTTGGCACAGGTGTGGCCCACCCGCCAGTCTGGACGTCGGACAGCACTGTGGCCGAAGTGACCAGCATCCAGCTGGAGTTCCGGGAGCTCTCGCGCCTCACGGGCAACAGCAAGTACCAGGTGGGCCAGGGCAGGTTCCATTTGCCGGGGAGCTGGGTGGGGCCGTGTTCCTGTTGCCTTAGCAGCCCCGGGGCTTCTGCCATGGCTCGCTCCCACATAGGATGGAACTGCTGGGATCAGACCTGGCCCTGCCCTGGGTCCCCTCAGATCCGCCACCCTACTCTTGTGCGGCTGTAGCTGTGCACTGATCGGGGCTATGCATCCACCCTCCGGGCTCAGGACTGCCCCACGCATGTTCCCAGGTCCATGCCTGCCCCTTCTGCCGCACGACCGTCTGTGGTCTGTCCAGGTTTGGATCGAATCCAAGCCTGTGTGCAACCCTCCGATGACTGTCTTGCTGTTGTCCCCCACGTTCTGGGACACATGTGTCTCCATGTCCCACTGTGCTCAACCTGAACCACCCACTCTTACTCCTGACAGACCAGTGAAGGGCCCACTTAGCGCCTGTGTCAAGGGAGGACGGGGTGTTGCCAGGAGGCTAGCGGGCGGAACGGGCGGGGCTCTGACCCACTCGCCGTCCCCCTCTGTGCACCAGGAGGCTGCGGAGAAGGTGACGCGGCACGTGCACACGCTGGCGGGCAAGAAGGATGGGCTGGTGCCCATGTTCATCAACACACACAGCGGCCTCTTCACGCACCTGGGCGTGTTCACACTGGGCGCCAGGGCCGACAGCTACTACGAGTACCTGCTGAAGCAGTGGGTCCAGGGCGGGAAGAAGGAGACCCAGTGAGGACCTGTAGCCCACCCCGGGAGGGGGTCCCCTGGATGCTCCTCCGCCTGTTCCCTCAGCCCACGGCGCCCATCTCCCCAGGTTACGGGACGATTACCTGGAGGCCATTGAGGGGATCAGGAAACACCTGCTCCGCAGGTCGGCACCCACGAATCTCAGCTTCGTGGGGGAGCTCAACCACGGGCGCTTCAGCAACAAGATGGTGAGGCGCCCAGGGCTGCCCCTCACTTGGTGCCTGGTTGACCCCTGGCTGCTGGCCTTCCCACCCGCTGCCCCTCCCTCCCGCCACTCCCCCTGAGGTGGCCCCTTTTTGCTGAGGGGACCCTCTGTTTCAGGACCACCTGGTGTGCTTCCTGCCAGGGACTCTGGCGCTTGGTGCGCACCACGGCCTGCCTGCAGAGCACATGGAGCTAGCCCGGGCGCTCATGGACACCTGCTACCAGATGAACCGGCAGATGGAGACGGGGCTGAGCCCTGAGATTGTGCACTTCAACCTGTACCCTCAGAAGGTGCAGAAGGACGTGAATGTCAAGGTGAGGCAGCTGATCTGAGGCCCAGGCCGTGGGCCCCTGTGGTCTGCTCTGACCCTCTTGGCTTCACAGGTGGGCGACAGGCACAACCTGCTGCGGCCCGAGACTGTGGAGAGTCTTTTCTACCTGTACCGCCTCACTGGGGACCCCAAGTACCAGGACTGGGGCTGGGAGCTCCTGCAGAGCTTCAACACGCACACACGGGTGAGCACCCATGCCACCGTACAGGGATCGGAGGCTTGGGCCCGGGACTCTGCAGCCTGGTCCCTCGCTATGCTGTGGGCAGCCCCACATTGGGACCAGAGCACCAACACCCGCTTGGTGCCTTTGCAGGTCCCCTCGGGTGGCTTCTCTTCCATCAAGAATGTCCAGGACCCCAAAAACCCGCAGCCCCTGGACAAGATGGAGAGTTTCTTCCTGGGAGAGACACTCAAGTACTTGTTTCTGCTCTTCTCTGACGAGCCGGGCCTGCTCAGTCTGGATGCCTATGTGTTCAACACTGAGGCACACCCCCTGCCCATCTGGAACCCAACCTAGGGTGGCCAGTCCTGTGTGGGCATGGCCCATGTGCCAACTTGTCCTGGGGGAGCACCCGTCTGGGTGGGCACTGGGTCAGTTAGTCCAGGCCCCTCGGGATAGGCAGCCTGAGACCCAGTACCTGGAGCTTCCTCCTGGATTCAGTCCCCACACTCGCCCAGGCCTGGGTGGTCGGGACTCTCCACATGGACTTGGGGCTCTCCTGGGCAGCACCCTCCAGCTGTGTCTGAACCCTCCCTGTTGTGCTCAGGGTTAGGGCCTGCCTCGCTTGACACCATGACCCACCCGTTCCTACCACCTGGTGAGATGACACTTCTTTCTGGAAAGTTCCTGGCCACAAGAGCCAGGCTGATCTGCGTGGAAGTGCTGCAGGGCCACAATGGGCCCAGATGTCTCATTCAGCCGAGCTGGTGTCGAGGCAGCAACTGGCACTGTCAGCTGTAGTGGCGCAGGCCACAGCACATGCCCCCTGGTGGGGCTGACCAGCGCAGTACAGAAGAGCCCTGTGGATGTGGGTGCAGGGATCAGACCAGACTGCATTTGGAACAGACACAGCGCCAGTGGGGCCTGCCCTGATTGAACAGCAGGGGGCTGAGTTCACCCTGTTTATTAAAGACTCTCCGGGCTGCGTGCGTGTCACTGCTCACTGCCTGGCTGTCTGTCCCGTCCGCTGGGGCATGGCTCAGCGCCTACTGCTCTTAGCCTCCTGCACCCACTGGTGGATGACGGCAGCCTCCAGCTCTCGTGCCTCCCGGACAGATGGTGGGTCTTGCGGGTGTGATCCTCTGAGGAATAGCAGAGAGTGGAGGCATGGGTTAGGCAGGCTCTCTGGGCCCTGCCCCCCTGGCCCCCACCCTCTCAGCCCTCCTGCTGGAGTGCACCTGAGGTCCATATGATGGGCTGCACCCTGGATGTTGATGGCCACAACCGAGGAGCTTAGATTCCTCAGGATCTGCCAAGGGAAGATGCCAGCTGGCTGTAGGCCAGGCCTCCTGGTGCAGCCCAGCTGCAGGCTTTCCTGCCCTGTACTCACCCCGCCCCTGGCCCAGGGATCCAGGTTGCCATTGGAGAAGATGATGTTACTGGCAGCTCTGAGGTCTGTGAAGGGCAGAGCGTGCAGTGGAGCCCAGGCCTGGCAGTCATGGGCCGCCTCCCCACCTGCTCCCTGCCTCCAGCCTCACCGTCCCCCCCAAAGTTGGTGCGGAGCCAGTCGGGCCGGGGCCACACGCCCCACGTGTGCAGGCAATACTGCTGCCGGAGACCCTCGGTGAAGGTGAGGGCCGGGAAGAAATCGGTGACGTTGTTGCTGGAGAACATCAGGTTGATCTCAGTGCAGGCCTGTGGGCAGCCTCCTGTCAGTCCCAGGCCGGGTGCCCCATGCTGACCCCTGCCACCGGGGTAGCACCTACACACCTGGTAGTCCCAGGCCCTGGCGTTGGAGCCGTTGCCACAGCCAGTGGGGTCAGCACACGCCTTGTACAGCTTGTAGATGTCATAGCAGCACTGGGTACCCGAACTGTTGTACACCAACCCTAGGAACACCACAAGCCTCAGGACCCCACAGGCTCCTGCGCTGCCCCGGGGGTGGGGGGGCGGCCCCCAGCAAGGCTGGTAGGTGGTGCTCGCCTTACTGTGCTCGGGGTAGGGCAGGGTCACGGGGGTGCGAACTCACCCACCAGCGAGCGGAGTCCCTCGATGCACAGTGTTTTCAGCACCCGTTCACAGGCCACCTGGTGTGCAAAATGCCTCTCAGGACCCATCTCTGACCCCTCTGGGACGGCAGGGCCAATTCCCTGCCAGCCAGTGGCTAACAGTCACCCACCTTCACAGGGTTGGCGGGCAGGGGCCCCAGGAAGTCAGTGGGGTATGGGTAATCCATCATGGCCATCACGGTGAAGGCATTGCGGGCAAAGCTGAAGAGCTGGATCAGGTCCCGCTGGCTGGACAGCCGCTGGCAGGTGCCGAAAGTCTGGCCGACCTTGTCCAAGGCTGGGAGGGGGGTCAGGGAGCTCTAGAGGCTGCTGTGAGGGGGGGGGTGCCCGGGAGGGGGGGCAGCAACCTCACCTCCAGCCATGAACATGCGCTTGATTTGCCAGAAAGAGTCCTGCACCGCCTGGGCACACTTGGGGCTATGGGCCTCGAAGTCCTGGACACGGAGAGGCTGGGTGGTGGCTGCTGCGGTCTGGCCCTGCCTCCGCCCTCACTCCCAAGCCCGTACTCACGGCCGTGACATCGTGGAAGAACTGGTAGGGGTCTCCGAGCCCCGCTGCGGACAGGACGGGTGCACTGGATGCCAAAGCCCCCGCCACGAGCTGGGGGTACTTCATCCGCATGTAGGCGCTGAGCATCCCCCCATAGCTGGGTAGGCACACAGCGTTAGCACGCGGGCGCGGCCCCCGCCCCCGCCCCGGGAGGGGCCCACGGGGACAGGGACTCCCACCTCCCGCCGAAGGTGATGACAGGGACGTGGGGGCTGTCGAGGTCCCGGCGCAGTGCCTGCAGCAGCTCGGCGTAGTCGGCCAGCGCCTGCTCCACCGTCAGCAGCTCCGTGTGGCCACGCTCCGTGGACTGTGGCCCGAAAGGCAGCGACTCCCCGTAGTAGCGCTGTGGGGCGCGGCAGGCTGAGCCGGTCCCGGAGCCGGAGACGGTCCCGGAGCCGGTCCCGGCCCTCCACCCCCCACCACCCCCCGGCCCCGGCCCGGCCCGGCCCCCGGCCCGCCCGCACGCACGTGCTCCGCGAAGACCAGCAGGGCCCGCTCCTGCGCCGCCAGCTCCACCACGAAGCCCGAGTTGTTGGCGAAGGACCACACGTCGCCCTCGTTGCCCGTGTAGAAGAAGATGGGCCCCTCGGCCCGGTCCCAGAACTTGTCTGGGGGCGGGGACGGGCGGTGAGGCGCGGTGAAGCCCGCCCCGACGCCCGCCCGGAGGTCCATCCCGAGGCCCGCCGCGAGGTCCATCCCGAGGTCCATCCCGACGCCCGTCCCGACGCCCGCCCGGCCCCGGCCCCGCCCCGCCCCCCTCACCCGACAGCAGGAATCGCTGCTTGAACGTCCGGTTGCCGAAGAGCTCGAAGTCGAAGTGGTCGAGCTGCTGCGCGAAGTAGGCCTCGCGGAAGCAGGGGTCGGGGTGCGGCCGCTCGGGCACCCACGCCCCGGCCGCCCTCAGGCCCAGCAGCGCGGGCAGCAGCGCCCAGACCAGGGCAGCGCAGGCAGCGGCCGCCGGGCTCATGGCGCCTTTGCCGGCGCCGTCACGTGGGCCGCGCCACGTGACCCTCGCCGCCACGTGACCGCGCGCGTGCGCGGAGATGGTCGTCATGGAGACGCGGCGGGAGACGCGGCGGGAGCCGGTGGCTGCGGCGGGCACGGGGCTGCTTCCTGGCACCGCCTTGGCCCCAGCGGCGGCGCAGGGCGAAGGCATGGCCTTGCCAGCCGCTGAGCGTCACCGGGTGTGACCCACAAAGTAATCATGATAATAAAAATCAGTTTATTTTAAAACAAAGGAGAACCAAAGGGATGGGCCGAGTGGAAAGGACGTTATTGGGGCCGGAGCGGTAGTGCAGTGATCAGGCCCTTGCCTTGCTCACAGCAGACCCTGGTTTCATCCCTGGCATCTCATACAGGCCTGGGCAGAGCCAGGAGTAACCCCTGAGTATCACTGGGGGTGCCTCCCACCCCCCAGTGGAGCATTACTGGTACACACCGGTCTTACCTGCTTCATAGAAGGTTTTGGCATGTTTTTCGGGAAATTTGCTCGGTCAGAGAGAGTATGGGATTAAGGGGCTTGCCTTACATGACACCCATCCACAGGATCCCCAGAACCACATGTGGTCTCCAAGACAACACCGAGGTGACTTTTGAGCGCAGAGGCACAATGAGCCAGGTGTGGCTCAAACCCAGCGAAGTGATTTATTTTGGGGGGACACACCCCGTTGCGCTCAAGCCCTTCCTGGTGGTGCAGTTTTATCTTGCACCACGACTCTGTACTCTGGAGTATCTGCCAAAACTGCTCCTCACAGACTTCTATGAACGCAAGTTGACAAATAGCGAAAGATAAGCATTATACCACACACAGGGTACTATATTCAAGCAGCAGGAGACAACGTGGTATGCTCGAATTTAGGAAACAGGTTTTAATTAATAAATGGGAAAAAAGAAAGGGCGGGAGGCTCCCCTGGTAGAGGAGAAAGGTGGAACCCTTCTCGGGGGCGCTGGTGGGCAGTTCATTCCAGTCTCCTGGCAGGGACAGAGATAGGACAGGGCCTAAGGCACTTGCTTTTTTTTTTTTTTTTTTTTTTTTTTTAGCTTTTTGAGTCATACCTGGCAATGACTGATGATGCTCAGGGGTTACTCCTGACTCTCCACTCAGGAACTGCTCCTGGCAGTGCTTGGGGAACCATAGGGGGTGCCAGGGATCAAACCCAGGCTGGCCATGTGCAAGGCAAATGCCTTACCTGCTATACTATTGCTCTGGCCCCAAGGCACTTGCTTTATGTGAGTCTAACCACGGTCTGAGCTTTAGCATCAGTTATGGCCACCAAGCACCACTAGAAGTGATCTGAGCAGAGAACCAGATGTGGCCCCAAAACTCAGTCAGTAAAGTGTAAGTAAAGTAAGAAGGTGGCAGGGAAGGGCAAAGCATGACAGTCTGCTGCTAGGATGTTCACAAGAAGAGCCTTGGATCCTTTATGGGCCATTTTATGTTCTCATCATGACCTTCAGAGCAGAAAACTGCTGAGGGGACCCAGCCTTCTCTGGGTGGCGCCTTTATTTCTTTGAGCTCAGTATTTGCTTTTCAAAGTCTTTGCACCCATGGACTATTTCAGGCAGGTGACCTTTAGTCTCATCTTGCTTTGATTACTAAAGGAAAACCTGATTTCAGGGGTTAAGACACTTGGTTTGGGGCTGGAGTGATAGCACAGCGGGTAGGGCATTTGCCTTGTACGCGGTCAACCCGGGTTCAATTCCCAGCATCCCATATGGTCATATGGTCCCCCAAGCACCTCCAGGAGTAATTCCTGAGTGCATAAACCAGGAGTAACCCCTGTGCATCACCAGGTGCGACCCAAAAAGAGACTTGGCTTGCATGAGGTGACCCTGGTTTAATTCCTGCCAGTACATGATGCCCTAAGCAAGAACATTTGCTGAATTTTGTGACATACAACTTTTCAAAAATATCCAGAATTAACCAGGACTACAACTCTTAAGGATTTCTAAATAACTTTAGAATACCCACATTATTATTCACATGTTTAACATATATGAGGTTAAACATTTTTGGTTTTTGGCCACACCTGGTGGTGCTCAGGGCTTACTCCTGGCTCTGCACTCAGGAATCACTCCTGGCAATGCTTGGAGCACCATATGGGGTGCTGGGGATCGAACCTGGGTCAGCCGCATGCAGGCCCTACACACCATACTATCACTCTGGTCCCTGAGGTTAAACATTCTTATGTCATAGTGCTTCCCATGAAGCTTAGCATACCACACACGTCTGATCTATACAAATTATATATATATAGATATATAATGTGCATATACCATGAGATGCCGTAGCTCTAAGTCCTTCCATATTTACTTTCTCTTTAACCAAAAATTTTGTTTTTGGGTCACAACTGGTTACTCCTGTTGGGGCTCAGGGGAATATATCAGAGGCCAAGGACCAAACCTGGGTCAGCAGGGCAAACACTCTACCCACTTTCGTATCCCTTTAGCCCCTAATCAAGAATTTTTCTTAATAGTTTTTGTTTTTGGGTTAAGTTTTGTGTCATGGGTCGAAACAACTATGCAGCAATATTCAGGACCATCTAAAAATGTATTTGAAATATTAATAATCAATTCCGGCAGAAGGTTAACAGTACTCAATACACACCTTCAAAGACTCTGTTAGAATTTTATTTCTATTTGGTGTCTTATTTAAGTCAAACAATCCTTTACTCACCCTTTCACCTCTGGTGTGGCCCCTCCATCTCAGAGATGTTGTTATTGTTTTGTTGTCAGTCTTTTTCTTATTATTTTTTGAAATCACACCCAGCAATGCTATGCTCCTAGAACCTTGTCCAGGGAACCATTTTTGATGTCAGGGTTCAACTTGTGGTCACCAAATGCAAGGCAAAGTACCTTGCCCATGTACCTCTCTGGTTCCTCTTTACATTATTTCTCTACCTGTCTATCCATTTAATCTTCCCTAACAAGAAATTTAGTTAGAAAATTCCAATTTTTCCTCACAGGCCAAATAACCAGAAATCTTCCAAGCTAATTGTTATCCAACAAATCAAAAACATCTTTTGGGAATGGAGAGAGTAGGGTGCTTGCGTTACATGCAGCAGACCTGGCTCTAATCTTGGCCTCCCATATGTCCTTAAGCACTACCAGGAGTAATTCCTGAGTGCAGGGCCAGGAGTAACTCATGAACATTGCCAGATGTGGCCCCAAAACAAAAGTTTTCGGGTTTTCTAACAGATCCAAAATTCACTCACCATAAGGTAGGACCAAGAAGAAAGAACCAACATATAACAACAGTCTTAGCTACACTTAGATCTCTTGGAGCATGAGCCCCCTCAGACCTTCAGACAGCTGCTTTCCAGTAACAGGAAAGGTAGACCTGAGACCTCACAAAGGCATAAAGCTAAAAGTCAACTATAAAAAAAACCTCTCTAGATGGGGGGATGGGAGGTGGAGAGATACTGGGATCAGTGGTGGTGGAGAGTGGGCACTGATGGAGGAATGGGTACTCGATCATTGTATAATTGAAACCCAAGCACAAAAATTTGTTAAGTCCACAACTGTACCTCATGGTGTTTCACTAATAAAAAATTTCTTAAAAAAAAAAGAACCTCTCTACACCCGTGGATTCAAATAATCCTGAAAGCCGTGGCACTTCACATGTAACATGAACAAAACAGCTCATGAACTAATCACCTGGCCAGCCTCTGTCCACAACCAGGGCCGGGGGAGGGGTGTGGAGAGGTGGGTAGGAGCATCAGCCCTTTGTGGAACAGGGACCCTGTCTCTGGGGTCCGAGAGAGGGTCCGAGAGATGGGCTGCTCTGCTCCCGGCTGCCATTCTGCACACCCTGTTTAAGTTACAGCCACCTGAGCAGATGGTCTCTACTCCAAAATCAGCCTTCTGGAGATGCCACAGGTGGTCACTGTCATTGTTCTCCCGGCCCAGTTGTGAGACTTGTTGTTACTGTTTGGCATATTTTGCCATGAGGGTGAGATACTCTTGGCAGCTTGCCGGGCTCTCTGACAGGGGGGGAGGAATCGAACTCGGATCGGCCATGTTGGCTGCCTGCAAGGCAAACACCCTACCCGCTGTGCTATAGCTCCAGCCACAAGTGGTAAGGTATTTTAAAGCATTATATCTTTTTCTCAGCACACTGTCCCTGCTTGGGGAATAACAATCATAGATGCCACGAACTGATTCAGTTTTGGGCAGAACTGGTTTTCCCACTGCAAAGATCACCCCTGGTCCCAGACAGTTTCTTGGGTGTGCAGCTGGAGACAACTTTTCCATTCACACAGAAGGGGCCAATCTATTGGCTTACCCACACCTATTTCTCTGACCCAATGATGTGAGCTGAGGGGTGCTGGTGCCAAGGGAGCAAGAGGGCACAGCCTCCAAGCCAAGGGTTTGCCCCAAAGGTTCTCAGTCCAAGGTCCGCGCCCTGGAGCAGAGGCCACTCAAGCATGGCATTGCTAAATTGTAGCCACGAAGGTTTGGTTCCACTGCCACTCAAGGGCCAATCAAATGAGAGACACAAGCTGTGAACAGTATACTGCTAGACTGAGTAGCTAGTTTCCTTGGGGATGGCGCGAACAATCCTGTGTCTTCAGCAGTATGGTTCTTGTAACTCACGAGAGGTCAGCTCGTTAAGGCAGGGCTCCCGGGGGCTGCCTTCTGGCCTGGGGAGCTCCAGCCTCTTCCATCAGCTCTTCCTGGTAATGCAGCACCTAACCAGCGCGCAGGACTGGTGCCCAGAGCCTCTAGTTAGTCCCTGCCCTGTGATTGGCTAGCCTGATCTGAACAAGACTGTGAAAGCCCATCCTTCTGATTGGCCATTCACAGAACGTCCCCAATGGCAGCCAATCAGATCACCCAGTTAAAGACCAATCAGAGTGCCTCTCACAGCGCCCACCCAGAGGATCTATACAAAGGAGCCAGCTTCACTCCAACGTCCTCCAGAGTCCCCCAGGGATGCTCTGGAGCTGAGGGGGTGGGAGTTTACTTTTCACTTGGCATTAAGGTCTGACTTGAA